CCCCCCCAGACCCCCCTGCCCACACAGGGTACCTGATACACCAGCACATATTTAATAAATATTTCATTAGAGTCTCAGCTGTTTCCGTCCGTTGCCACATGCGTTCAGGATTATGTCATACGTTTTCACCACGACACCACAGCCAGTACAATGCCCCAGGGCATAGCAAACTCGTCAGTTGTGCATGCAACGGCCACGCTTCTCAGCCCTCTGCAGCCACTTCTCCACCGCCTTGTGGTTCCGAAGCGGCCCCCGCATCGGAACCACCGTTGCCCCTGCCACCGCTGCTGCTGCTACCAGCATCGCCGCTACTGGGTTTTGGCCTGCCGGTGGTCAGGAATGCTTTGACGCTACCCTGACCAGCTATAGTAGTTAATTTCTTGGGCCCCATCGCTCATTTATAACTTATTTATACTAAAATAGAACGTCTCTGGGGAGAGACGTCTTCTGGGGCCCCGCCCCGGCTCCGTAACGACCGTACCAGGCCTTTACCATGGTCTATGACGGAGCGCAGAACGCAAATATGCCATTTTATTACGGAACCGTAATATATTACGGAAAAAAATACACTGGATGGATGGATAGATGGATGGGTGGGTGGAAAGCGGAGCAGATGCCGGGGCGTAGTCCATATCAAGACGATAAGGGCGTGTGCGGGTATATCACGGAAATCACGAAGGGCCATGGGTTCCTACGCCCGGATTAAGACAATCGGAGAACCTCGAAAAAGTTTGACTGTTTGACTATTGATGAAGGACCCTCTCGCCTTATTGAGATCAAAAATGGTCGCACTCCTGCATATAGGCAGGCGGCTGGCAGAGGTTAAGGCCTGACTTCTGCTCCCGGCCGACCCGGGTTCGGCTCCTCGGGTGTTTGAGGAGTGTGGCCCCCTATCATATGGACGATGTAGGACGTGATATAATCAACTTGCGAGCTAACCAGGAACTAAGTTGATGCGCCGTTGATCCGCTAGATTTGGTTGGATGCTGGTGGAACCCAACGAATACATTCTGAAGTCGGATGGGTGACGAATTAGGGTGCCCCTCTAGCAGGGGAGAGCAGGGACTGCCCCGGGAAAGGGGGCCGCTGGCGAAGTTAACCACCCTGTAACAACATACATACAGGGAAAAGAGAACCATCACCTGGAAGGCCGAATAAGAAGTTCTGGACAGCCTGGCTGAATCGCGGCTCCACGAAGCCCTACGTGACAGACGCAGGCAGGCAGACACGAAGACGGCGTGCGTGCACACTTCCGGCCAAGCAAGTTCATGTTGCCGATATGATGGCGGGTACGATTTCCGTACACCAGTTACGTAGCAAATTGGCTTGTAATGGATGTGGTACAATGCAAAACCTTATCACCGGGATTTCTAATATATAAAAACAGGAGTTGTAAGTTGCGGGTAATTAAGAACCTTATAATTAGACAAGGTTAATGACCAAGAGGCCCATCCCTGTTAGATTCTAACCAAGTACTATGAGATCTTGCTAAGTGTTTTTGGCTCCGCCGTCCATACCTGCACCCGCACTGTTAACCCGCGCAGGACGGGTTCGATTCCCGCAGACAGCGAGACGGTCGGACTGTACATACGTTGCAGTGGGCAGTGGGAATCACACGTTAACCGCATGATTTGGTGCTTCCCGCAAAAATATACTTCCTTACACACACTTATACATACAGACATACACACGTGTCAAACAAACAAAAACAATGGCGAGACCCTAAGCATGGCCCACGATTGGTTTCTGATGACTCGTCCGGCAAACATCCGACATAACGGTAACCCACGGCATTAAGTCGTCATATGCGGCTTTACTGTAAACGTCTTTAATTGCCACATGTTCCTTGTATGGACAGTCGAGTCCGTATACGGATAAGTACGACTTACTTGAAGTATGCCTGGCTGAGCAACAGATGTCCCTCCGGGATTTCATTGCCCTCGTCGTCGACGCGCAGAATAATATCGGTTACCTCTGAGTGGCCGTACCGGTAGGCTACGGTACTGAAGAAGACATCAATGGAGGGGTCGACAGAGGCGTTGTAGCCGCGATAGAGCGGCAGCGTGATGCCCAGCGCGGGAATGTATTCATAGAAGCAGACACGCTGCGATTGGCAGTCAACGTTGCATTTTTGCAGCTACCGGCAAAAAAACTGGGCAAAAGACGCCTTAGTAAGAGAAAACAACAATTAAATCAAGGGTAGGAGACCCAGCATCTCGCCCAACTACAATACAATGCCACGGAGACACGTGTGACCAATTTCACAAAATTTTGGCCCAAACGCCAATCACCAGAATGGCTCCTAGTCAACCCATGGACCGACTCATGCGATCGTCATTCCCTCGCACGCTCTTGCACACTGCTCCCATGCGCTCACATACCTGCATGTATGCAATGTTCCATTTCCGCGCTTCCTGAAACAGCTTCTCGTCATCCCAATCGGGTTGCTGTGCAGCCAGCTCCGAAGCCAGGCGGTTATGTTCTCGAACCCACAACGTCTGTAACGCCAACACGGGGGGGTCCACGTTGCCACGGACATCGCCGGCGGCCCGCAGCGCCCCTCCAGGTACCCTGTTTGCGTCATTAGCCCTAGGAACAACCCGGATGCGGACGTTAGGAGCGGATGAAGCGTGAAAACAAAATAGGTGTGTGTATGTGCGTGTGCGTGTGCGTGTATGTGCGTGTGCGTGTATGTGCGTGTACGTGTGCGTGTGTGTGTGTGTGCGCGTCTGTGTGTGCACGTGTGTGTGTGCGCGTGTGTGTGTGTGTGCGTGTGTGTGCGCGTGTGTGTGTGCGCGTGTGTGTATGCGCGTGTGTGTATGCGCGTGTGTGTGTGCGCGTGTGTGTGTGCGCGTGTGTGTGTGCGCGTGTGTGTGTGCGCGTGTGTGTGTGCGCGTGTGTGTATGCGCGTGTGTGTGTGCGCGTGTGTGTGTGCGCGTGTGTGTGTGCGCGTGTGTGTGTGCGCGTGTGTGTGTGCGCGTGTGTGTGTGCGCGTGTGTGTGTGCGCGTGTGTGTGTGTGCGTGTGTGTGTGCGCGTGTGTGTGTGCGCGTATGTTTTATAATTTTTAATACGAAATCTAGCATGCCGTTGTAGCTCAGTGGTAGAGCGTTTGTCTTGTAAACAAAAGGTAAACAAAAGGTCCCTGGTTCAATCCCAGGCTGCGGCAGCAAATCTTAATGAACTTTTCTATTTCATACGTTAATGCCCTAGTTGACTTTTCATCCTCTATTAGGAGAGCACATCGAGAGGAGCCGGGGTACAGTCGGTGAGTGTACTAAAACTCTGTGGCAAACAACCATGCAGTACTGCATGTGGGGGATGGCGGAAAAAGCGACGGTTAGACAACGGTCAGGACCATCACAACGCAAAACTATGTACAACACAGACATGTTCTGCACTACGTACATGTACGTGGCGGAGATGTTGACAGAGCCCACAAGAGGCAACATGGACCCCATGGCGGCGTCCTTCGACTCGTTGACGACCGCCACTCGCAGTTTGCCGCCGGTATGGGCGCGCAGAGCGTCGGTGACACGTACGTCACTGCCGTACACCAGCGACCCGTCTATGAACGCCGTGATGAGGTTGATTGGCACGCGGTACGATGAGACGTTCGGCTGCACGTACGCCGACCTGCGAATGAATAATAATCACTATAATATATATGCGGACTGGAAGAATACATATTTTTCTTCGTATCACCAGAATATTTTCTTCGTATTCCCCGGATACTTTCTTCCGTATCTGAAGGGAAATTATGAAAAGGTCTATCTGGTCACGACACGGGACACGACTCTTGCGGATCCCTTCATTCGAGCCAAACCACCGGTGTAGAATACACACTGCTGACTCAAGTGCCCTCACTGGGGCGGAGATAGCTCTCTCTTCGGCCCATTCAGCACCAACGTGGCGCACTTCGCGGCACTTAAGTTCACCACCGTGATGATGGTATTGCGTCACTAGTCCAAATTCACCGTGATGACATATTTTGGCGTCACATGATTAAGTGCTTACACCACGAACTCAGCCTCCCAAGAATCCGAACCCTCCGGGCTCACGAGCATCTTATTCCTGTTCCTTACTGGGCCCCGTAGTGGCCGCATACCTTGTGAATGGCATGGTCAGGTTGCCCACGCCCTTAGGGTCATAGAACGGGTCGCCCTTGGGAATGGGGATGGGCGCCGCATCCCGGGTTCCGTTCCCGTCCTTGGTCTTGTCCAAGTCATGGTCGAAGAACTGTCCTGTAAGTCCAAGGGGAGGGGATACTTGCGCGGACTTCAACCACGAACTGGCGACAGACTTCCACGAACCACGAACAGCCAGGATTAGCGGTGGTGGGAGCGGCAGGCCGGGGGCTGTACGGTGTACGACATTGACTGTGACGGTATTTCCTGCTGCCTCTGCGGCGATATCTAAAGGCTGCTAAGACGGCACAACCGCTCTCTACGAGCTTTGTAGGCCGTAGGAAGGATGGACAGACGACCTCATCGATAATCCAGACAGGGGTTAGCGTACATGAATTCATTGAATTGTCATCATTTATATTTTTAACTAGCACTGCTCGTTGGACGAAAGCACCCGCGCGTAATGTATACATTATTAGATTGTTTAGATTGATTTTTATTAAAATAATTAGAAAAAAGCAAGTACCATGGAAGGCCGTAAAATGTTGGCACAAGTAGACACGTACCTGCCACGATTGTGCGCAGTAAAACAAGCAGGAAAAGCATGGAAATAGTAGGAACGCTAGGAGACAACAACTCACAAATCCTAGTTTCGTCAATTCCATCCTCACCAGCGTACGTCAGCATGTCTTCATTGTACAGTTGCCATGGTACAAGACGGCATCAGCAGAAGTCGATCGGTGCATTTTCCGCCGAGTCGAGCCATGTGAAGGGAGGGGAACGTCAAGAGGAATATTGGTGTAGAACAATGCGTTTGCATGTGTGTGTCTCTCTCTTTCCTTTCCTTCGTTTCCAAACTGGGACAAACTATTAATCACACTTGGGGTTGCCAAACACATTACAGCATGTTTACCCCACGTTCGGCGAATCGCAAGCTTATGCAGTTTAGGCTTTGCTGTTGGGCACTGGCGGCTAACAGAGCGCGTAAGGGACGGCGTTATATACCTAGGGAGGAGCGAGTATGCCCTTGCTGCGACACTGATAGCCACATCGAGGATGAGAAACACATTTTGCTGGACTGTCCGGTGTACGACGAAATCAGATCTGATATGGGCTTTCCACGCTTCGAACATATGAAGGACGCTATGAAGTGGGAACCTGAACGCCTGGCAAGGATGCTGGAACGCATATGGTCTCACCGCAACTCTATCGTTCCCTTTGGTCGTTAGTATACTTCATCACTTGTCTCGTTGGAAGTGCGAGGTAGGATGGTGCTTATAGGGGATTTGGCAGCCCTTGAGCCCTCGGCTCGTACTAGGGTGGTTTGCAGGTACGGGGAACGCACCCACGACCATGTACAACAACAACAACATTACAGCCGGAGCCGGATCCACACAGCTGAATAAATAAAATGCTCGAGAGCTTATGTACGATATACCAACCTCGTACATTTTGACCTTTGGAAAAAGGTCCTTTCGCACGGGGTCCTTTCGCAGTTTGACGAGATGGATGGACGGTCTTTCCCGAGCGGACGCATCCCTTTCAATTGCAGCACCTCAGCTACAGTCCTCCTGCAGCCTAATCGTATACCTGTATACGCGTCAACGATTAAATTTTGCCCGGAGTCTCGTCTCGGCTCAAAACGTCTGGGCTTTCCCCGCCCTCCCTTGCAAAACCCCCGTCGGCCCGCGCCTCCCCCCTTCCATCCACGTATACGCTGGAGTACGTAAGTAAACCCAGCCCACATGAACATGCGTTAGCAATCACCTGAGGTGGCCGCCTCAGTGTATCGCCTTTTATCTGGGTAATTCGTCGCCATGAGCGCGAGACTGATGTTGCGAGGGGTGGGGCGGTCGGAGCCCTGACAAAACGCACGGAATGGAAAGAGTTTAAACGAGGAAACGGAAATTATTAAATGAGAAATACTTAAGCTGAGCTCGTTTTTTAGACGTTTTGATTACGAAAAGCAGCAGAAGACCGTGACCTAGCGCTCGACCGTTGCCCGGTCGTAGGCGATGTAATGGCTCTGCGATCTTAATGCTGCTGGGAATCTGATGAGTAGCTGGGTACGCCTCAAAGAGTTTTAAAGCTTTAGCTCGGCATAATTTCGTGAGACCTTCCTTACCGTCAATTGTGACGTCGTGTTGCTGTATCCCACTGTCGGCACTTGAAGGCGGACGAAAGGCGTATTGGCCGCACTGCAAGACAAGAATCAACACATCATGACAAGGCGACAAGACGTGAGGGTGTTGCAGTCCGAGGAAGTCCAAACGAGCTTGTTATATCGCAAGAGAACGCGCATATTGCAGCGAAGTGCAGCACACAGCAAGGCATCGCAACGGCGACAGTGGCAGCAGCAGTTGATACCCAGCCGATATAAATCCAGCTCCGATCTCCACCGAAATGATTTGTCAGCGCAGTAGCACGGGAAATAATCCATGCGGGCTGGAGCGCCTCTCTCTGGTGCTGAAAGTCGACTGCCCACTGCCCGCAACCGATAGCCACCACGCTAGGGCAATGCCCTTCTAAAACATGTCCGTCGCTAATTTTAAAAGATACGATACACCGACATTGTTAGAAATGACCGGTCACTCATATACCAGCAGCGGAATGTGGGAGCAGTAATAGGACCCGAGGGGGTCCATGGCGCTTTGATCTGCTTTGTGATTATAAACGATTATAACGCACAAACCCGAACAGACAGTCCAGGACAAAGCTAGTAACTTCTTGCCGTGTCGTCTGTAGGTTCGTTCAAGTCTTGTTTCTCCTCCCCTCACCACTTACCCCCACTCCGGATGCACCAGGTTATTTCCCCAGCCGTCGATAGAACGATACTTGGCATGTTGCGTTAGCTGCTGCGCGATTGCGGTTAGTGACAGTAATATCGCTAGTGTAGCCGCCATCAGGGCTATTTGTCGAAGCTGCGCGATTGGAGGCGATCTACACATTTTTTCTGCGTACCTACAGCCTTTCGCACAGCCTCGTATTTTCGTCTTATAAAAGATAGTATCAGAGCATAACATAGCATGTAATCTGATTTTCTGTACTATCGAAACCACTTGCGATGCGTGCAACATAATTTGATCGGTACCGATCGACCGAGAGCGTACGGCATCAGGTAATAACCTCGACTCGGTGCCAAGGACAGGCAAGGACCATAATCCAACCTTGGAATGTTGGTAAATGTGCAAAAAAACTTAGGCCATAACTTAGGCCGCATGTGATGGCGTTGATGTCGGAACATATGTATAGAGGGACAGGTGGCTGGCAGACGAGCAGAGTCGCCTTGCCACCGAAGAGCTGCAGCAGCGCACCTTGGCTGCTGCGGCTGCTGGTGCTTACGTAGCTACGCGATTTACTGCACAGGCAGACAGCGGAAACCATTTGGTTCCCATTATCATGAAACCTTGAATGAACGATTCATGGATGTCGTCGCAGTGATGTGTCCAAGTGAGATGGAGCACCAACGCTGAGCATATCAACACGTGAATTTTATCCGTGGAAATTACTGGATCATCACATGTTAAGGTGGACCAAAAATGTCCAGCGACAGACCGGCTCGTCTCTCACGGTTGGGGTCGAGGGGGTCAACTCGCAGGCCATCGTAACAAGCGCGCCGTTGAACCCACCCCCAACCTTTCTGGCCTCTTAAAAGCCCTTTGAAAGGCCCAGTCATAATTCCTTCCATTGGTATTTCGGTTTTGACCGAACGAACACCAGCCAGTTGCATATCAACCACATCATGATGTTGATCAACATTAGTCCCCATAATTTCAGGATAACTACTTTGCCGGACACTAGAGCGCACGAAAAAGAAAAGGCCGGTGCAACATCATGTCACTGCGGTGTGTGCAGGCCTTTCAGGGAAGACCATGCGTTTGCAAGTGCACATTGCGATGGCAAGTGTGTTGCACCACATGGAGAGGGCCACTCTGCAAACTCTGGATGCCTAGCCAACCAGTCCTGCATGCGCTCCAGCCAGTCCGCCTGCGCCTGCTGAGGAGTGCCGCCCATCCCCCTCGTCCAAGCCACCGCATTTGACACAGGGCCGGCAGTCACCAATGCGCTCAGATAGCACGGGATACCCCTGGTGGTGTGGCAGGTGACCAGTGTATATGTAGGTGACTGTGGGTGGAGCATCCTTGAGTATAGTTGTTGTATGCAGTCAGTTTTTACTTATGTGTGTGTGTGTGTTACATGGTTGGGGGTGCGTGACCCCATACCTGTAAGACTACCCATACGAGCCGAAGGCCCAAGGGCAATACTACAACGCCTGAAAGCCACGGAGAAAAGGAAAAACACCGCACATCAGCCCAGACTAGCGTCCAAAGGGGGTAATTGAGTTTCGGTGAGCCCACATACGTTTCAACATCCTTGCCAGGCGTGCGGGTTCCCATTGCATGGCCTCCTCCAACATACTCTGTTGATGATCGAATCCCTCTTCAGCACGAATATCATTATAGGCTGGGCATTCCAATAACACGTGTTTTTCATCCTCAATTCGGCTATTAGGACCACAACAGTGGCAAAACCGCTGCCCCCTGGGGACATGGTACTTGCCCCTTCGCGCTCTGTTCGCCTCCAAAGCCCAGCAACATAAACGAAACTGCATTAGCTTACGATGTGCTAAACGAGGAATGAAAACCTTAGCATGTGTTGGCCACATGACGGCTGCGGCTCCCGAAAAGGGCAGCCCCATCCAGTGCTTATACTTCGCCATTTGCACTCCCGGTTGCTTCCCATCTGATGGGTACTCCTCTGGCAAGACAGTCAGACGCGTATGGTCCCAGCCGCTCATCAAACGCTCTCTTAGTGCCGTTATTATCGCTCCTTCTGGTAGAGGTCTACTCAACAACCAGTCAACACGCTCCTTTACCCCCACGACTTCTTGCGGTATTCCGCTCCAAATGTTGCACTCCAAGAAGGAAAACAGTCGTAACATTGAGATTCCCCAACCCTCCCATTCCGGGTTGGTCAGGGCATCGGTTATCTCCTGCCGTAAAACTGCATGAGCAATGGATCCCACTTGCTTTTGAAGGCGGTTCCAGAAACGGAGAATCTGCTTCACCATGTAATATTGTAAGGGGAGTTCAGCCAGCTCCGCGTACAACAGCCTGTGGGATGGCCGTGCCGTCCCCACTACCTGCCTCATGAATAAAATCTGCAGCTGGACTGCACTATCCTTCAAACAGGCTTCGAACATGCCCTCCGCAAAGGTTGGCTTTATCCCGCCGCCTTCCCGCCCTGTCCACGACCTCTGCCAGCGCAAAAGGGCCCCACGCCTGGCAGCCATACAACAGAATTGCTCGGACTTGGGTTGCAAAACACCGCATTCGCACATCGGGGGCAAACAGCTTCATTTTGTCCAGCTTTGCGCTTAAGGAAAACATAGCGGACCGACCTGTATCACACAACTGCTGACGGCACGCACTAAAAGGCCGTTCTGGCCCATATACCAAGCCCAGATAGCGAGCGCTATCTTTGGCAGGTACTACCTGGCCTGATAGCCGTAACTGTTGACATCTCCCGCTAAGTTCCGACTGCTGGGTGCCGTCACATGCAAAAACAAGCCTTTCACACTTTGAGACATTTGGTCGCATCCCAAAAGCTTCACAAAACAAGTCCACAAGATGTAGCAACTCAGACATTCGCTCTACTGACGTCGCTAGCAGACTAACATCGTCTGCATACAACAGTATGGAGACGCGCTTGCTGTCCACAAGGGTTGCGTCACACTTACGTGCACCAGCTTCTACAAGGTCATGAGTATCAATCAGATCGGCTAGTGTCTCGATGAAGAGTCCAAACAACTCCGTAGATAAAGGACACCCTCGCTTCACTCCTTGCTTAGACTCAAACTCTCCCCCCACTTTCTCATTTACCTTCATCACCATGGACACCTTCTCGTACGCTTTTCTCAGAGCACCTAGCATGGGGCCGCTAATCCCCCTCTCCTGCAACCGAAGCCACATGTGCTCGCGAGGCACCCTATCAAAGGCCTTCTCAAAGTCAATCTGTACTATTATCAACGGCGGTTTTTACTTATGGTCCAACCACCCCGTCTATTGAAAACATCCGTTCACGCCTTGTCCAGGCTGTAGATGGGCGAGCCCAGGCCGTACGAGCCCAGGCCAAACATGGACAGGTACGACTTCTTGTACGGCCCATTCTTGTACACCCCCTGCACCTTAGCCTGGGTCAGCGTGTAGTTCCAGGCGCTGGAGCCGGCAACGTAGCCTGCAGTGTTGATGATGCGGTGCCCAATGGTCAGGTCGCTGGCGGTGCCACGGATGATGGGGCGTGCGGCACCACCATCCATGCTCACGTCCGTGACGGACACTGCAGAGTACAGGTCGCCGTCCAGGAACACGTAGGCGGTGTTGTCACGCACCGTGACAGTGATGTTGACCCAGCGCTGCAGCGGCACATAGTCGATGTAGGTGACCAGGAAGCCGCTGGCGTACTTGCGGGCGGCGTCCTTCTGCAGGATGTCATCCAGCGACACCACTGCAGCCTTGACGCGGTTGGTGGCCCGCGCCACGTACAGCCGGTTGGTGTTCTTGTCCATGAACAGCACAGGGTTGCTGTTGTTGTCCATGCTGTCCTGTGCGGTCACGGCCAGCGTGCTGCGCTGCAGGATGAGCTTGTGGTTGGCGGTGGGCTGGTACACGGGGCCCAGGTACAGCCAGGTGCTGTACGAGAACTCATGGCCGGCATTGACCAGCGCCATCTTGCTGGTGTCCACACAGTACGGCACCTGCGTGCCGTTGTCCAGCTGGATGAGGGTGCCGCTCTGCAGCTCCACCTTCTGCAGCTGCGTCTGCTTGATCTTGGACATGATGTACATGATGACCAGGACCAGGACCAGCAGCGCGCCCAGGATCAGCAGCACCACACCGGTCTGCTGCACCCCTGTCTTGTACAGCGCGTCGATGGTGCCCCTCGCGGCCCTGCCGGCGGCCTCTGCACGATTCTGCATGTAGCTGGTCTCCGTGCCTCCTCCTGCAGTGTGGAACTTGGAGCGCATTTTACTGTAGCATCACAAAAGAATGTGTGCCGCACAAGGCGCACCAGTGACAGCATTCAACGATAAGGCACAATGGGCAGCGGAGCAGAGAAACATACCTACAGATACAGACATACCATGTCGCACTCCAACACAAACACACACACGAACAGCGCGTCGACTGGCACCACGTCCTCCTCGTCACTGCTGCCTGCTGCCCTTAGCGGCGGAGGAGGCAAGCAGCGCCACAACCCGCAGGAGGACCGGTACACCGACGAGGAGCTGGCCTTCTACCGCCACTTGCCGCTGGCCGAGCGCACCCGCATCACCGACCTGGAGCATGTGCTGGCGCTGGCCAACAACGTCGTGACGCCACTGCGTTTCAAGGTGCTGCTCACACGCATCATGATACACCCATGCAGCACCTATGGGCCATGCCCATCATCATAGGTGCCCATGAGCATAGGTGCACCATGGTGCACCCCAGCCCATAGGTGCACTGGGTGCAGCATGATGGGTGGCACTTTGCCCTGGGGCAGCGGGGCAAGGCAGCCGGCATCTTGGCAATGCACACCGCACACAGGTTGTAGCCGCATGCATCCTCACTGTAGGGCCAGTGGTACACCTTGTTGCTGCAGCCTTGATGCAGGTTGTAGATGGCTGCACAGCACAGGTTGCAGGTGGGCCTGGTTTCAGGGTCCATGCCCACATGCTGTGCCGCGTCTTCCACACGCGCATGCTCATAGCGCGTCATGCATCGCACTTGTTCATCTTGGGCGGCCACCTCCGCCTCGACAATCGGTCCAAGGAAAGCCAGCGCTCGGCGCGCACCGGCGTGCATCACCTGTTCGTGCATCTGCGGCCCTGGCCCAAACAGTGGCACTGTCTGCAGGCAGTCCTGCAGACGCAGGTAGGTGCCAGCAGTAACAAAGCAGTCACCATCACAGAGGTGATTGTGATCGTAATCACTTGTCAGTGGCGGACTACACCACACTCACTGTGCAGGAGCAGCACGTGCGGCAGACTGGGCAGCACCACACCAGCTCAAGCCAGGAGGCCAGGTGCAGCTGATGTGCGAGGGCCTGCAGGCACTGCATGCAGTGGCGGGTCTGGCACTGGTTCTTCTTCCCTCCATGCAAGGCCAGGCACGGGAACAGGGGCTTCTGCTGGTTGCACCGGTGGCACAGGTCATGTCGCTGCTTCACCCGCTCCACTTCATCGTTGGCTGCACTGCCAGGCTGCACCTGCACAGCGAAACAGCAACAGCGGCTTTGTGTGTGTGAGCAGGGTGTGTCTCGGGTTCAGTTGAACTGTGCTGGCTGGTGCAAAGCAAGGCGAAGCAAGCAAAGGTGCTGTCATGTACCTGCACTTGGGGACAGACCATGGCGTTATGGGGCATGGTCATGTGTGTCCATTCTTGCCCCAACACAGCGTCACTGTCGCTGCTGTGGTTGTGGTCTTCTGCATCCATTGTCCACAGTCACAGTCACCGTCACAGTATGACAGTCGCGGTCAACAGATGGATATGTATACCACCCCAGCACGGGGCTGCAAACGGAGCGGTTGGTCTTCTCAAAGAGCGGTTGCTTCTCAAATGCACAGTTGGTTGGGTGCCTGCTTTCAGTTCAACAGGCAATTGACTGGTCAGCCTGGAGTCTGGCACCCCGCTTTTGCCATTTCTACGTACGGACCATGCAGTTGTGATCACATATACAGCTCCAGCTCCAGCTCCAGTGCAGCGGCTGCCTACCTGCAGGGTTCACAGATCTACTTGGGTTGTGTAAGTTTTCTTGGCAGCGTTGAAGATGTTGAAGGTGTCGACTGCGGAGCGCTTCTCTTATGCTTCTGGAGTCCGCAGCGAGGCTGTGCAAAGAGCCGAGAAGGTGGGTTGGCTTCCCAAATGTGTGGCAGCAAGCTTGGCACAGGCTTTGGCACAGGCTTTGGCACAGGCCTAGGCACACTTGCAGCCGACGCAAGTGTGCCTAGTTGCTACAGCCACCGACGTCAGCGCTGTTGTTGGGGGGAATCTTATGGTATAGTAGGTAGTGTGGCATTGTCCCACTGACACAGTCAGTCTTGTTTACATGCTGCTCTATCTGCTGTGAATCGCTTGCTGCCTTTCGACAGCTGAGCAGCCCAATGGCTGGTCTGATGGACCCTGATTTGAGAAGTTACTGAGCATTTGTACTGTTTTGCCCTTCATCTTGCCGAACGCAATGCAGGCCTTGCTGCATGAGGTGCAGCGGATGCTGAATGTGCGTAGGACGGCCGGCACTACCTTCTTCCTTGGGCCCAACACCAAACGGAACTGGGAGTTGGGAGTGAAATGCATCCAGTGGCAGATGGAGCTGATGTTGCCCTTTGTGCAGCAGGAGGACATTCAAGCAGGTGTGGTCATCACAGAGCGCTCTGCAAGCAGGACGTCCATCACATGCTCCTGAGGCTGTGGGTCCAGCCTATGGAGCGGCAGGTCGCCTTCTGGCTGACGATGTTCATGGACCATGCGATCCTCTGCATCCATAATGAGACCAGGGGGCAAATATCTATTGCACTGAGCAGCATGAAGCGTTTTATGGACAACCTGGCTAACAGCGCCTGAAGCAGTTTTGCACAAGGTTGGGGTGCTGTAGGAATTCTATGCATCACTCAGTGTGCCAGGGGCTTTGCTCTGCAACATGGCCTGCCTGATCTGTCACTGGCAGCTATGCATGCAGAGAGCAAAACCTTGGCTTCCTCAGCCCGCAACCTCAAAACATAAAATATTTTAATTGCTACATAAGGCATCGTGCCCGACTTTTGACTTGTGGGTGAACCAAATACACGTGCTGAATTTTGATTGTGAGGCTACATGTACATGCGTCGCACCCATGATGTGCACATGAGCATGGACCGTCGCAGTCACAGTCACAGACGCAAACACGGCTGGTGTGCTTGCACGACGGTCACAACCACCGCAGTCCCGCCACAATCCGCAGCATCTGCGCGGGCATATGGCGCATGCTGAACAGCCCGCTGGACCTGCAGGGCGGCGCCAGCTTACAGGTTGAGTCGCTGGTGGGCCATCAGACGCGTTACCTGCTGCTTGTGGGTGATGAGGCGGTTGGCCACTGCACGTTGCAGAGACAGCAGCCCTTCATGAACATTGTGGAGCTGGAGGTGTTTGAGGAGCACAGGGGCAAAGGACATGGCAGTGAGTTTGTGAAGGTGTTGGTAGACTGGTGGCTGGATGTGACTGATTGTGATGACTGCTGCTGTGATGACTGTGGCATACGCCCTGTGCATGTGGATGATCCGGCGGCGGCGCGTTTTTGGTTTGCGTGCGAGGCGTGGCAGGACGTGCTGTTTGCGGACGGCGGCTTCAAGGACACGGCTGGTGTGCAGGCGTGGCTGACAGGGGAGTGCTGCTGGTCTCTGCCGGCAGCGGCTGAGTTTGCCAGGCTGTTGTCATTGTCAGGATGAGGATTACATAATCCAGAGTCATTGGACGAGTGCCAGTGTGTGGGGCTCGCATGAGATGACTGCATGTGTGCATGCCGTCACCCAGCAGTTCACACAGAGTCTGATGCATGGCTCCACACTGAATGCAGTCACATTCACAAACACACAGCAAGGCGATGACCATCATGTCTTAGACTCCATTGGGCACCACGAATTTGTCATCTTTAACTTCAACATCCTTGAAGTGCTCTCTAATGAACAGGAAGGCCTGCTTTTCATAGCCTCTATTCCCACGGATGCCCAGAGCCTCAGTGACTGCGTTCATGAACTTAGAGTCACCCAGCTCAACAGACGTTCCAGCATACTGCTGCAGCACTGCGCGCACGTCCTGCACCTTCTCCGCCTCGGGCCTGTGGATTGCAACATGTGTCACATGAGGCGGAACAGACGCTCAGCAGACCTACAGGAGCCATGCGCGTGCTTCTGCATGAACCGGCGTTCCTCCATGAAGGCATTGTACATGCTCTGGATGTGGTCATGCTCAGTCACAGCGGTGACTGCGAGCATGGCTTGATCAAATACTGTTTCACCCACTTTTGTCTTTCTTTCTGCATAGCCTCGTTAACTTTTTGCTGCGCAAACATTTCCAAAGCTTGCTCTTGAGTCATATGCTCAGGCAGTGGGATCTCGCCGAGTACAAACTTCTTCAGCTCATCCAGTGTGTAGTCTTCCATTTCTGATGTGTTAATGGACTAGCACAATTTAGCAGTAGCTTTGGAACGAAGCAGACACAAGGACCCAGTTCACAGCTAGTTTGGGCAAGTCATCCCATGTCGCGGTTGGTTTCGGAGTGTTACCTGCAAGCATGGGGTCGTTTGCTCACAATTCTTCTTCTTTTTTATTGCAGAGACAAGCGACAATATGGCACACTCCACACAAGCGAGTGTAGAATCACAGTTTCGACTGTTGCAGACATCGTTGCGAGCAACTGAGGTGGATCTGACACCACGCAACTACAAGGAGTTTGGCCCATGCAGATTGGGAACTGCGCCCGCCGGCAGCCACATAGTTGTACAGATTGTGCGCGGAGAGCAGGAGGATGTGATATGGCATCATGGCATCTACCTTGGGGACTACATGGCAGCGCACATGCACCCAGATGGCAACATCAGCATAGTCACCATTGAGAAGTTTATGGGTATGGAGCGTGGGGCACCACGCGGCGACTATGTGGGAAAAGCAGGCATTGTGGAGTACGCTGGTGACAATGACACCCTGCGCAACAAGACCTGCATCTTTGCACGCTGGGCTGCAGCTGACAAGGACGGGCAGCAAATAGTGTACAATGCCCTGAGCAGCAACTGCGAATGGTTTGCAACCTTGGCACGCACGGGCAGGTGCGTGGCCCAGGAGACCCTGTCGGCAATGCTGCTTGCTGTCCCAGCAGCAACAGTGTATGAGCCTATGCATCCAAAGGACAGGCTCTGGATGAGACTGTGACTGTGATTGTGTGTGCATGCAGGGGATCCTCTGAGCAGGTGGACAGAGTGGTGCGTGTTGTTGCAAGACTACTCTCCAATGTGGCAGTTGCAATGGTTGAGTATGGCAAGAGTCTGAAGTGATAACATCCTCAGCACATGGATGCTCCAGCCCCAGCGGGCAGCGTTCCAAAAAGAACACGCAAAAAGAAGCCCAAGCAGTAGGATTGTTGGACCATATGCTGTGATTTGTAGCCTTATAGTCATTGTCGACGGTCACACCAAACAAAGTACTGTTTTTTCTCTGTGTGACACGTGACATGTCAAAGGGTACTCAGACGGCGACGCTGTCATGAGTTTGCAAACCGGCAACCTTTGCACTAAGATATACCGCTTCTTGAAGTAGGCCGGCTTGCGAACGGCTGTGTATGTGTGGCATTGCTGCCCATGTGGCATGTGTCATCCCATGCATCACATGTCTCAGCAACTCACACACTTGATTCTACACCGGCATCTCGCCGGTCTGCATAAGATTATCATGCTGCTCAATGGCTTTCCAAAGCACTTGCAACCATTGGATTTGACCAACATGGAGCTGAGATGTCAACAGTGGCGTCTGGCGCCTGTCAGGCGTGTCGCATGACGGTCACTGGTTGACTTTGACTTGGTCAGTAGTTTCCAACCGCTACGACTACACACCAATATATACACCTCCTCCTGCCAGCCGACTTGAAAAGAGCTGCCAATGTGTGGGCTTGCATGAGGCATGTGTGCATGCTGTTGACAAAGGGAACACACGAAGCATCATGCGTGACTCACACACACATGATCATCAAACCCCACACCATCATGTGACGCTGACATGACTCTCGCTACGGGATGCGACGCGGCCGATTTGGGCCAGGTAAGTGTGAGTAATTGAAGGTATCAATGGACCAACCCGCAAAAAATGTACGGCCACTGCTGCGATATGTACGATATATACGGACGCCACCCCACATTTGTGCGGTACTGGTAACTAACAGACAATTATCCTGACGCGGGTGGTATGCCAAATTTGTTAGGGCCTATGTCTGTGCTCTGTAACCCAAACCTATCCTGTGGTTTGGCTGGGTCCAACAGCCAAAAGCCGAGTCGCGAAGGACGGGTAAAGACTTATGGCCTGGTACGCGAAAGCGTAATGGCGTAATCACAGCAGCGCGAGGGTACAGGAATGGCGGAAGATGTCGGTAGTAAAGTGAAAGCTGTGTAACGACATGCAGACGCCGCGGAGTCACAGGTCCAGGGATGCCAGGATAAGGTTGGATCTAGGATCACTCAAAAAACGAGAATGATACGTAGGTAGACGCATTCATTGGAGGAAGCGACAGGGTGAGGTTAAGGCGTACCGCAAGGGTAGCGTCCTTAAAATGGGGGAAGGTATGTTCGATGTCGGGGAGCACAACACGTGCTGCTGTTGCCTTTCTGGGAACCGTCCTGCTGACAATGTATACGCTATCGTCAGCGGAGAGGTGTTCGTGCCTTGAGCAGTTCCAGGCATCACTCCAAAGCGGAAGCCATAGCCTTCCCACATTTGATTCATACGATTGCAAGCGGAGGTTAAAAAACTCTAGTTTTTATCAATGATATTCTTTAGCCATGAGTCCTTCAATTCAGTGACCCTTACAACCCAACCCTGTTTGACAGGTGTGAGGCTGTCTTGAGTACAGGTTTATAACGCTTATCGAACAGATTACTCTTGTGTTGAGTTTTTGCATATCACAGCCTTACATGTCACATACATGACCACCATATTGGTTTCAATCTGGACATCGTCCAACGAATCTACTCAATCCGCGGTCATCAGAACGACCTTAAAACCAACCAGCACGCCCGCGGCGACACCTGGCCCAGACGAGGTGCCGCCCTGGAGCGATGCTAACCGATTTCTTGCCAGCGCGCTGCTCGCAATTCCAGCACAACCGTCTTTTTCCCTTAAACAACAGCAATTTGTTAGGGTTGACGAACGTGAAGGAAACTCGACCCGAACAAAGTCGACTTTGTCATGTCAACGGTATAGCATTCCTTCAAGCCACAAAGAACACAGTAGTTCAAATAGTAATAATAATAATGCTCTTATTATAGGAACAAGTATTTGCTCCGTTCTTGTATGTGCGATAGCGACAGCGACGTGCGGCATTCCAGCCTGCAATATGTGAGACAGAAAAGATGATAAATGCCTTATTGCTACTGGTGAACTTTGTAAAAATGAAAGCAAAACTGTCCAATGTCTTTCTGTACGGGCGGCGCAGGGGAGGGCGGCGCTGCACTGGGCGGCGCGGGGGAGGACGGCGCTGCACGGGGCGGCGCAGGGGTGTGTCCGTGAACACATGAGCACATGGGCAGAGGGCACACACATATCAAACACAAAAGACGGAGGGAAGGGCAAGGGAGAGCAGGGGACAGCAGAGGAGAAGGCACAGAAGGGCAGAAGGGAGGGCAGATGGGAGTTGAAGGGAGGATGACTTAGGGAGGGTGGAATAAGAGTGAGAAAAGGTATTGTGGAGGGTGGGGGGTGGTGGGAGGGGATTGTGGGGGTAGGGTGAAAGGATGGAGGGAGGGAGGGATGGCGCGCCACACATGTCTCCCTTCTTTCACACCCCGGAGGACAAAACAGCCACACTGGGCCGGCGACCTCAGTGTTATATAGCATATGCATCATTTGCGCCCACACGAATTCCCCAGGGTCCCTGTCGTGTTTAAAGCATTTAGCCGGTGGCTCCCCCGTTTTTTTGACTGGACGTCTACAGAAAATTCACACACACAACCTGCAGAGGCACACAAACGCGCGGCATGCTAAAACAGCCATCAAGCTTGTAATTAATTTTCAACTAGCGGAGAAGCACACCAGGGGTTCTTAATTGTTGGCGACGGCAGCAATCGTGACGGTGGAGATGGCGACAGCAGTAATGGCGATGGCATCACCATTGCCACCGTCGCCATCCCCCCCGTCGCTATTGCCACCGTCGCCATCCCCACTGCCGCCATTGCCACTGTCGCCATCCCTGCCATCGCCATTGATCCCGCCGTCGCCAGGAATGGCGACGGCAGGGATGGCGATGGCGGCAGTGGCGATGGCAGGGATGACGACAGTGGCAATGGTGATGGCAGGGATGGCGACGGTGGCAATTGTGATGGCAGGGATGCGACGCGGCAATGGCAGCAGTGAGGATGGTGACGTCAGGGATGGTGACGGTTGCAATGGTGACGGTGGGGATGGCAACAGTGGCAATGGCGACGGTGGTGATGATGATGGTGGCAGGGGTGACGATGGCAGGTGGTGGCGATGGCGGGGATGGTGATGGCGGCAATGGCGGCGGAAGGGATGGAGTTTTGTTTGGGCACACTGCGATGATGGGAGCCAATGGGAAAGAAGAACAGGCCTGGGCTAGGAGGGTTGTCAGTGTCAGTGAGGTGTCTGCAGCCCTTGGCAGGTCATGCAGTGGTGTTGAGGGTCGCCGTACAGAAAGACATTGGACAGTTTTGCTTTCATTTTTACAAAGTTCACCAGTAGCAATAAGGCATTTATCATCTTTTCTGTCTCACATATTGCAGGCTGGAATGCCGCACGTCGCTGTCGCTATCGCACATACAAGAACGGAGCAAATACTTGTTCCTATAATAAGAGCATTACTATTATTACTATTTGAACTACTGTGTTCTTTGTGGCTTGAAGGAATGCTATACCGTTGACATGACAAACTCGACTTTGTTCGGGTCGAGTTTCTTTCACGTTCGTCAACCCTACCAAATTGCTGTTGTTTAAGAGAAAAAGACGGTTGTGCTGGAATTGCGAGCAGCGCGCTGGCAAGAAATCGGTTAGCATCGCTCCAGGGCGGCACCTCGTCTGGGCCAGGTGTCGCGGACGGTATGCAACCAAAAACTACCGATGTGCTTTCCAAACTCCGACAAACATCTCAGATTTCATCATAGCTCACACTCCAGAAAACGCGAAACTTTACTCCAGCACGCGAAACTACGCCCGTAACAGCCCGCTCAAACGCACCGCGAAGTGAACACTACAAACATTCATGAACTGCTGGCAAAAATGTTTTCACAAAACAGTCAAGTCGCTCAAGAGCAATTTCTGTGGCGGAATTATTAGAGCAGAAGCGGCGCACTACGGAAAGCCGCCAAAGCGACGCGGCATGCATTCCAATTTGGCCAGCTTGCCCCGTAACCCCACCACCTCTACAAAACCATGGTCTCCTCTTCCCCTTGACCTACATTCCCCAAACCCCAGCGACAATACCCCAGCGCAAATTCCCAAACTTTCCTCAAACCTCGTGAGTCGCATGTGCCCCGATACACATTCCCCCTCGCATTCCTAGATCCCATGTCACCGGTTGTGCCATGTCTGCTCAAATCATCAACCCCCAAAACACAACTCATCAACACCGCACATCACACATACAAGCTTTCAGACAAAACCAGGCCGAGATTCGCTCTACTTATATCATGTACCAGAAACGGACGAGAGGTGGAACGAGGTGAAAGCCAGCGACGATGATGTCTCCGGACCCCATGGGAGATTGCGATAACGCCTTCCTCCGGCTGTCAGGACGGCGCCTTGGGTACTTGTAAAATGGCTCTTGTCATTACCACAGGCCAATCACCTTCCACCAGGCGCCGCCAATGCCCAGCCACACGGCCAGATAGAACACAGACAAAATGGCGCCCAGACGGAGCCAGTCGGACTGGAAAAAGGAGGGAGGGAGGGTGGAGGGAGGGAGAGGTAAGTGCAATAGGAGGCAATTACAGGAAGCGGGATGTAGGGAGGAATTAGAGGAGTAGAGAGGTTAGGGTAAAAGAGGACGAGACGGAGGCAAGGACGGCAAGATCGGCTAAATGGGTTTCAAGCATGCGCGAACTGGAAATTCAGTGTAACACGAAATGCATAAATTCCGAATCCCCATTCCCCCCTCCTATCCGGAACCGGTAAATAACCCTCCAAAACCCCAGATATAAAACTAATCTTCAAACGAAGCTAATAACCTGTCCTTACGTCTAAAAAAAGACAGAAAACCCTAAGACACGCACACAATGTGCACGTACCTGCGGAACGTAGCCGGCACCGAAGTACGGCGGCGCCGAGCCAATGCCGTACGTGGTCAGGCAGCCCATGAGGTTGGACAGCTGGCCGAGGGCAATGGCCGCAAGCATGGGGGGGGTGCCGCAAGCGGTGGCGACAGCCAGGAAGGCGGTGTACATGGCGCCAATGTGCGCGGCGCCGGAGGCGAAGAAGTAATGGCTGTAGAAGTACAGCGCCACCACGATGCCGAAGGCGCCCTGCCAGCCCAGGCCCAGACCGCCCACGACCTGAAGCCGGTGGCGGCGTTTCACGGTGCAAGGAAAAGATGCAGCTTGTGAGGGAGAAGGTCAAGGAAGAAAAAAAGAAGCCTGTCCACACGAGTCCAGAGCTACACCCTCCTCGCCAACATCGCCACGAGGTTTGCTTCCCCTCTCTCCGTGTCAAGAGTAAGGGACTAGGGTTCGCTGTGTGTCTGTCTGAATGTATGTGTGGTTTTACACCACCTTCTGGAGCTGCACAAGTTACCCAACTGCAAAAAAAGGGACTGATCCGGGACAGATCATCGGAACACTGCTTTTGGGCCCGCACATCAGCGGGCGCTCAAAAGGGGCCCTTGCCCAACCTTCCGGGTGGTCATAAACTTATAGTTTTACTCGAAGAATGGCTCATTTAATTAAAATTATTTTATTAATTTTTCAATAAAAGCATCTGAAGAAAAGCAACTCTTTAATACTTTCCTCGGCAGATCCTAAGGATACTATATCACCAGATCACTAGATTGCCAAACACAGCGTCCTGCCGACTGCCTCCTGCTGTCCCCTGCCCTCCCCCTAGCCTGTCCCATGATCACCCCTCCCCCTCCGCCCCGCATTCCCAACAGCCAAGACAAAATCCCCTCAACACGCACACACACAAACACTCACCTGAACGACGCTGTTGGACAGCCACGGGATGAAGCCGTACTTGTTGAGCGCTGCCGCCATGGCAATGAGGGCCGCGAACCAGGTGAGGGTGTCCCACGCGGCGTTGTTGTTGAGGCACTCCTTCCAGTTGGTGACGTTAGTCACCAGCAGGATGAACAGACCCACGATAGCCGCCGCCACGGCGTTGATGCCCAGCGAGCCGCCAAAGATCCAAAGAGCCACCGTGATGGCGAACGCACCTGCGTACGTATGTATGTACGTGTGTACGAACGGATGTATGTGTGTATGTACGTGTTGTGGGAGGGGGGCCGTGTGGGGGGCGTGTGAACATGTCGGGGACGATTGTGTGGGTGTGTGGGTGTGAGAGAGTAGGTTGGGTTTTTGAATATGTTTAATGGTGAGGAGGTGTGTATGCATACGTATATGTAGGTATGTATGTACACAGTGCAGTACAAACCAGTGCAATGCACTCAAATTCTGTATAATACTTTTCACAAATATCCCCCTCCTCTAAAAAAACGTAATCTCCAAAGCTGCTGTGCATAGGGCCCACACCTGCGGTGATCTTCTCGTTGGTGCTCATAGGGCCCAGTTTGGCAAGCTCCTTGGCCGCAGCAGCCGGAGCGTCCGGGGTGTCCTTGACCTGTACGACATGCACGAGAGCCGCAGAACTGTGTTACCGCATTACATCGGCATTGCGCATGGTTACTGAGTAGACGCTGTCCGTAAGGCAGTGTTGTAAGGTACACGCACAGTCATGTGCACACACACGCACACACACGCGCACGTAGAAGCCCCTCTGCACCCCTCTCTCCCCATACACCAGTTTACTTTCATCGTTTATTCCCCCATTCCTCCATTTCCTTCTACCTCAGAATCTACCTCAAATCAGCACCGGCGCGATACACGCGCATGTCCATGTCAACTACCCGCGCAAGTGCATCACATCTTCCAACAACCACTAACCCACTAACCCACAAGTATTTTTGAAGGCCAATCTAGTTTAGGTTTTTGTACGACCCTCATTAGCTACTTTTAGAGCTGTAGTTGCCCACCACCAGGCAGTCACGCACCTCCACTACAGCACGGCAACTTTTCACAGGCTCTCGATATCACTTCACAGGCTTCTGTTGCGAATATCTCGGGTTACTACAAGCTATGTCCACAACTGACTCCCAACGGAAAAGGCTTATTACACATCGCTATGTGAGGTTGAGAGCTCACATCGATACAGTTATTCGTGCACCCACTCGTCGTGAGGCTCCCAGTTAACAAAAACTCCAACTGTCTACACACACACACGGGCGCGCGTCACCCGCTCTCCCCCAAACCCACCTCTGGTGGATACAGCACGTACAGGATGAGCGGTACGGCAATCAGGGCCACCAGTCCGGGCACCAGACCCGCCAGAGCCCAGGTACCCCAGGAGATGTTGATGCCGGCGGCCGCAGCCAGGTTGACGGCCAGTGGGTTGGCGGCCATGGCGGTGATGAACATGGCCGAGGAGACGCAGGTCGTCTGTGAGGGCGGGGTTCGCCGCGGCGAGATGGGGGAGGGAGAGAGAGAGAGAGTTGAAGACAGGGAGGAGGGACAGGGCAAGCGACGGATACGCGGCGGCAACACAGTGGAGGGGGCGAGAGGGGACAGAAGGGGGTCCCTCATCACATTCCAACAACACGACGACCCACCGAAACACATTCATCCATTCCTGTCTCACGCCCCATCTGTTGGAGCCCCAAACTTAAAACCCAGACACACACCAACACACCCACCTGGAAGCAGGTCTTCATGACGTAGGCGCCCATCTTCTTGGCGGTGCCCTTCTCCGGGTCGGAGCCGCACGCCAGACACAGCGCCTTGGCAAGCGGGAAGAAGATACCGCCTGCAGAGAACCGATGTGAGTATCCGTGAGCCGCGGGTAATACATTTATTATACTTATATGCTTTATCCTTGTTAAGATATTACTAAAACTAACACCCTGCTCGAAGTCTGGTTGTTGCCTTTATACTCCACCCCCCCCGCTGGCCGCTCCTATGGAAGCATACGTCCTAAATACATACATACATACATTGTTCCACTGTCCTCGCACATTTCGTTCATCCTCCCTCCCCCCTACTCCTGATCCTCGCCGACACACTAATCCACACAACCCGGATTCCTCACCCGCAACCAACCCAACCCCCCTAACTCGCGGTTCCCTTCTCCGGGTCATCGATATGCGACCGTCAACAGCGCTATACCTTTCCGACATCTGTCTTATTCGGGCAAAACGCAGCCCTCGTACCTATCTACCCCGCCCCGCTTCCCCACCTCAGCCAACCGAAATAACCCCTCCTAAACTATCAGTTAACTCAGGATACTGCTTCATTCGCCAGTGGCTCGTCTGAACCCCCCTTCCCCCGTTTACCTGCCCTAGCCGCCACGGAGGGGATGGCGGGGGAAAGCAGGGCCTCCGCAAACACAAGCGCGTAGGTCAGACCAAGCGTGGTCTTGCCCAGAGCGCCCACAATGGCGTAGGCAATGCGGTTACCCAGACCGGACTTGATGAAGCCGCCGGCCAGGAAGTAGGCAATGGCGATCAGCCACCTAAACAGCAAAAAGGGTGTGAATGGGGGACGGGGAAGAGGGAGGAGAAGGAAATAAGGGATGAGGCAACGGGACATAAAAAGGTGCTGACTCGTGATATGATTGTGCTCTCGTTCATCTGCAAGAGGGTACACCGTCTCGTGAAATTTGTCACAAACGGGGCATTATTTGTCGTGAGGTAAGGTCAACAGAAAGCCCTTCAAAGGTGCGGTGGTGGCGGTGGCGGTGGCTATAGCGGCAGTGACGGATAAGGGGGGGAGAGAATTGGCATACAGTGCGGGGGGCCATGCAGTGGCAGGGGGAAAGACAGCCGTTTACTCTGCCACTGATAATGATAAACCGACCGAATGAATGGGCGATTTGTTTCCCATTACTGGGAAACGGAGGTGTGCAGTTCAGCAACGAAGTACAGGATGCGAATGTGCATGTCTACCTGTATGTATGCCTGTATGTTTGTTACAAAACGGTCCGGGCCCGTATGCATGTAAGTTTGTGTGTATGGGATCTTTCCGGGTAAGCCGGGCAACGACGGGGGACGAGCGAAACCTACACGGCCGTAGACCCGCCTGCCGGAAATCAACTTCCCCCTATCGCACTGGTTTTATAACCATGTGTGATTGTTTCTAACCGTAACCTTTTCACTTTTAATTCTGCGACAGCATTAAGGGAGAGGGAGGAGAAGAGAGACTTAGGTTTTCATCCAGTAGCGGCAACGACTGCGATAACAGTCCAAAGCCCTAAGCTTCAGCTGTGGAAAAAAGGCCTCGGGCGACACAGCTCCAGGTGGCTCATCAACACAAATACAGAGTCCTGTTAGATGAACGTAGTCGCTGAAACTACTGCGCGGCTGATGACGCTAAAACAACGGTTAGAAGACACAGCAGCAACAACAGGAGCAAAATACATCGCTCGTAGCTTTCAGTCTGTAAGGGTCGTTTGCGGGTCGCTACTGTGGTTTAATGTCCGAATCAGGTGAAGTCGAGGATTGTCGACTTTAAGCGCTGGACAAAACAGCAGGTAGGATTGGGTAAATGCGATCCATATGGACGTTTAAAATGTCACAAGTTGTGGTACTAAAGTAGCGCCTTACTATTTAACGCCACGCAAAGAGTCAACGCGGTGAACATCGGAACTTACGGGATCTCCGAAGCGAAAGCACTGAAAGCCTCCGCAAACGTCAGGACCTTAGTAATCATTGCAGCGCCGAGGCCCAACACGGCAACGGCGCCAAGCGGCAGAGGCGTGGTAATAATGCCCACAATCGTTCCTGCAAACGCGGAGAAGCCTCAACGAACTTAGTAAAACAAAAGAATTTAAATACGTCACCGAGATTAAACGGAAAACAAAGCCCAAGCTTAATGCAAGACTCATCTGAACAACCGCGCACTTACCGATGAAGACCGCCAGCAAGTGCCACGCCTTGGCCGTCACACCAGCCGGAGGTGGGATAAACCACAATAGGGTAGCAATACCGACGCAAATGCCCAAGTCTTTCATGTTAGCGCCCCACTTAAACGCGGGCTTTGCGGGCGCGGGCGACGAGGGAGTTGCTGCGGAAGCGGTCACACTCAAGGAACGCCGTCCGAGAGCCACCGTTTTCTGGATCACACGGTTGTGTACAGGAAGCGCCGTCATGCTGATGCCGCTGCGCAGAACCGGCGTAGTCGCTGTCCGCAACAAAGGTGATGGAGCTGGAGTAGGACGCCGCGTAGGCAGCCCAGCACGCAAGCCCTGCGCCTTAAGGATTGTAGCCATCTCTGACGCTGTTTGGTCGCAAGACTCGTGAAGCAACCAAAGAAGCTTCCTTCCGGAAGTGATTGCTAGCGGAACTGTAGCCCCCTAGCTTTGTCAATACGATCACCACAGGCAAGAACAAGATGAAGGACACCTTCACAAAGTGGGGTAGAGCAGGACGAGTAGCTTATAGCCGTAGGAAAAGAGCGACGAACCGAGATTTCATCGTACAAAATCGGTGAAAAATCAGAACATAGCCTCATGCGATGCACCTGTTACACATATATCTTTGGCACTTACAAGTTCAAAATGAGTGCAACTGCTTGTTTTGGCGCGCAGAGTGACCCATGGTGACCCAGCAAGGTAAAGGTAGCTTTGCTCTTGCCACTTCGCCGATGCCCTTAGCCGTAGCTTACTGTGTCGCTATCTTATGTTCACCTGATTGTTAAAAGATTATGTGCGTAGGACCATCACTGTGAGAAGACGTTCACGACCAACGTGTAGAAAACCAAGTCCATCATGGAAGCCCTATCAAGCGATTGCGGACAGATTTCTTCGTTTCATGCATAGCATTTAAGTCGTTTACGGCATCCTTAGCTACTCAGCCTGAACATGAACAGAGGCTTTCAGCACTCCTGCAGTGCCTATTGTAAAGCGTGCGTTGTCCCTTGTCTTTACTTTAAGCTTGGCGGGTGTGCGGCATGTATAACTGTGATGCCTTAGCATATCTGCATTGGGGGCTTAAGCGCATTGGCAAACAACGGTGCAGAACGTTGGAACGCGATGCGGCTTTTTCGTAAACATTTCGACCACCGCAATGTTTCCATTCCACAGCCATCGAGAAAACTACTTACAAACAACCATGTCCGGGAGACCGGGACTGTTACTCTTCAGTACGGGATGACCATGTACAGCATAGCCTGCGGAGGTGTTTAGCGTTTCGGGGTTTGATACAACACCACCAGTGCGCAAGGGTCACACAATTCATTACGAAAGTGATCTAAAAGATGCCTTCTCACTGTGTCATTGAGGATGTTACGGATAAATGGGACCCCGCGGAGGGCGACAAACAGCTGGGTGATATGTTGATCAAGCACGAAGGGGACGCGCAAAAGTTTCTTGTGACCGTGCTGGATTTCCTTAAACGGAAATCGAACTTTTTCAAGGGCGATGAACCCAAGCGGAGACTTCTCGAAGCTTTCAAGGAGGTGCGGTCGGCAGATCCAACTGACAGGCGTCACGTAGCGTCTTGCAAGAGAATTGTCGTTAGCTCAGACAGTCTGGTCACCTGCCGACGGCCGACCTGCATGATGTTTGGCGCCTAACATAGGTGGCTGGGGAGACGGGACCTGTTGCTGGCTTGAAAGGAGGCTTCCTTGCTTGTTCCAAAACAGCGGAATCTAAGGTAGGCTTTGCGCGTGGTCGGGCCACCTTTCGACAGCTTGGGGCGATGGCATCTCAACATCCCCCTAAAAGCCATACTTAAAATATGCTAAAACTTCCCAACGTACCCACGTCTCATATATTTCGTGGATTATGGCATCATGAACGCCTCTCCATTCCACTACCCAACCCCTCCTCCTGCATATAATTCTATCCCCTTTCGCAGGCAGCACCGACTGCGGACGACAACAAGCCCTCAACCCCAGCCGCTCCGGAGGCGAACCCTACTGCCGCAGGTCCGGACCGCCCCCACTTAACTCAAATCAAGCTCTTCCTCCCTCGAGCTTTCCATTCCCTTTCCCCGGCTCTGCGCACGCGATCTCCCTTGGGGTCTGGGGCTCGCTGTATTACCGACTACGCGATTGCCAAGGTCGCTCTCCTAGGGAGCGAAAAATTGAATCCCGGCGTATGGCGTTTTGATGATCAACTCCCCCGGAGGCGAGGGCGGGGATATATTTGGCTCGTATGAGCACTCGTTACACCCCTCTGGGTAACGCAACCGATGTGTAGCACACATACACACATACATTTGTCTCATCAGGAGTGTTCATCACAAACCCCCCTCACCATGCTAGCTATCCCTCTTCTGACCACCCGCCTCTCCACATCCCTCTACTCGGTCCAAATGCCTCTCCTGCCGTATGGAAGTGCGCTGCTTCCCCCCCATGAAGACTGCAGAGCGGCAGAGACCTGCTCGCAGCTGCTACGTTGCATGTTGCATATCGCACCGTTATCCTGGCATTTACTAATCCTTTGTACGGCTTGCCGTACAATGTCTCCTCAGAGGCAGCCCCGGCGGCAACGCAGGAGCAGCCGTTGGCGACGGCAGCGGCGGCGACAGAGTCGTCGTCTGAGCCGGCGGCGGTGGCGGCCTCAGCGGAAGCTGCCGCTCCGGCGGATGTTGGGTCGCCGACGGCGGCTGCCCCCGCGGTGGAGGGCGGCGAGGAGAAGGATGGGGACCCGGAAAGCTCGAAGGGCTTAAGTGAGTGGTCACAGGCACACACCTGCGTGTGGAACGTAAGGGGAAGGGTGAATAAACAAACAACTTGTTTAACTTGGAAAGCTGCTGCCGCACTACCCAAACACCAACCACACGCAGCTCCAGCAGCAGAAAGATTCGGTGACCGTTTTGTGCTGCAGCAAAGTTGTCCCACGTTTCTTAATCACGAGTTAGAAGGTGGAAGTGCAGGTCTGTATGGTGATTTGCATGGTGTCGATGCTTTCAAGTGCGTTGGTCCACGTCATCGAGGACACCAGGGTTAGGCACATTCGCTGCAGCTTCTCCACACACACGCGCACATTTCGACGCCTTCCGTGACTTCTCCTTGTAACTCTCACCCTGCTCACACTTCTTCCATTTTTACGAATTAATCTCCCCACCTCGTGCTTCGTCTTCCCCACAAGTCGCACATTTTTTTGCTTCAAAAATTATAGCTCACACATTTTTTGCTTCTACAAATAACAGCTATGTTCCCACATTCTCCATTTCCTGCTCACTGGGGCCCCCTGAGCCCTCTCCGCTGCCTCCACTCCGCTCCCCCCTCCACTCCCCACTCCGCTGTCCGACCCTACAGAGCCCAACTCTGGTCGCGGTGCCGATCTGGACCGCTACAGCTGGGCCCAGACCCTGAGCGAGGTGACCGTCAGTGTTCCGGTTCCCAAGGCCACCAAGGGCCGGATGCTGGATGTGGTCATCACCAAGTCGCACTTCAAAGTGGGGCTCAAGGGCCAGCCTGCCATCCTGGAGGTGAGTGGTTGCATGCGCGTGTGTGTTTGGGGGGAGGTTATAAGTTTTTTGCCTGTATAACATTATATGTGTAATAGGAGTTCTTGTTGTTGTTGTTGTCAGTTGTTATGGGAGGGAAAGACAAGTAGATCCGGCAGGCGGTGGTTAAAGAAGGACTATGTGGAACGTCCCTCCTCGCCACGCGTCAAGGCCTGCTTGGCTTTCCGTACACCAGTACGACATACGCTTTTGACCTCGTGGCGCATACCGGGTCATGTCCGCATCCCACGTCACCTTGGTACACTCCCCATACACTGGCAAAATCCACCACGTCGCTGGTGACTAGTGGGGCCTGTAACGGTGAAATTATTTGTGTACCACCACCAGCATTTCCCACATCACGTCCCACAACCCTAAGATGATTATTACACACAATTCACGCACATTCCAGCAATACCAATACTCCATAGAACCCAACCTCCCAACAACAACATCCTCATCCTCATCCTGACACCTCGGACCACACCGGAGATCCACATGGCCGGACTTCCCCGTGAGTCCTAACCTGGCCCTAAATCTCAAATATTTTAATATTTAAATAGTTATTAATTAACTGTTTCATGGCCTCATCTCACCCGCGTTAACCCTTTGGGGCCTACTGTCTCGCCCCAGTTACGCCCGCACCGGCAGCTACATTCCTTGTTCCCTTGCATATGATCCCCCCCGGTCGGCCCCCCACCCCACTCGAAGGGCGAGTTCACTGAGCCGGTCAAGGCGGATGACAGCATGTGGAACATCGTGGACAACGTGGTGGAGGTGACGCTGGCCAAGGCGGAGGGGATGCACTGGTGGGCGGCGGTAGTCAAGGGGGAGCCGGTCATCGACACGCAAAAGGTGGGTGGGGCCCGGGGGCCGGACATGGGGAGCGTGGGGAGACTGGGAATGGGGAGTTGGGGGAGGGGGGAGGGAGACGCGCCCAAATAGTGTGAAGTGCGCCGCGTGCGGGGGTGGGGTAGGGGGTTAAGGAGACGGACGAGATCAAGAAAAAGGCGAGCAGACCTAGACACGGTTTTTCTTTGCCGACGTGGTCGAGAGAACGGATGACGTGCATGGTTGCGTGGGGCGTGGATGGGGAACTGTTGCTTATTGAGAGAAATGTACGAGGTAGAGTGCGAAGATGCGAATTTGCGAATTTGGGGTGCCGGAGTAGCAGGAAAGGTAGCGCTTAGGGATGTCAGCAAGTTTTTGGAAAGGCTGCCCTTCGGCAACAATATCCACACCATGCAACTGCGTGCGATTGCCCAGGCTCATTGCCGTACAATTGCCGCACCTACTCTGCCGATACCTCAACGGACATGTCCTCCATCCCAACCACCCGCAGGTGGAACCGGAGAACAGCAAGCTCAGCGACCTGGATTCCGAAACGCGGAAGACCGTGGAGAAGATGATGGTGGGTGCAATGCGAAAGCACATTCCCTTGGAGCTTGCGCAGGGCGACAGGGGCGGGGAGTATCGGTCTACCCTTTACATCAGCTTCACTCGTTCGTGGTTCTTCTTCTCGCACGCATGCCGTGCTGGAGGAAGCTTCATGTTAAATCCGGATAGCAATAATACCAAGGCTGTTTCCTATCCACCAAACCTTCCCTGGGGCATCTCAGCCACAGCCAAACCCCCAGATCCTTTTTCCTCCAAAAAAAATCAGCCTTCCAGCTGCCTGTTTGGGAACGATTGCCTGCCCGTCGCTCGGCAGCTAATGATAACTGCAAGGAGAATTGCGTAAAAACTGACCCGCCTTCTCCTAGTTCTCGTTGTCCCCCGTTCTTTTTGTCCTACTTTTTCCGCTATTCCCTAAGCAGTTGAGCTGTTGATACTAATGGAAATTGCTCGTAAGATTGCGTAAAACTCACTTTTTTCTCGTCGTCCTGGACTTTTGTTTCCCTTACCTCTCGGCAGTTCGACCAGCGCCAGAAGGCTCTGGGCTTGCCCACCAGCGAAGAGCTGCAGAAGCAGGAGATGCTCAAAAAGTTCATGGCGGCGCACCCGGAGATGGACTTCTCCAAAGCCAAGCTCATGTGATGATGGTCGTCAACAACAATCTGTTTGTTGACGTGTGTTGTGATGGGACTTAATGAATGGAATGAAAATAAACTCTTCATCTGCATCCCTTATATGCAATATCCCTAATATGTAATATGCACGTATTCCAAGATTTCATGCCGCCACTTCTGGTGCCGCCACGTCACGCCATCATATGACCTGATAGAATGGAACGCGACAAGGGTGGGGTTGTGCTCTCGAGGGTGGGGTAAGGATGGAAGCCGACAGGGGGGATAGGTAGGTGGAGCGAGAGGTTGGGGTTGGGGAGGTAGGAGTGGTGACGAATGGGCGAAGCTAGGATGTAATGCGATGTGGTGGAGGTGGGAGGGGAGGGGAGGGGAGGCGAGGGGTGTGAAGCGGGAACGCTGTGGTTAGGGACACGCTTCACACTCACCAGTGAGCATGTAGAGTGTCAGACAGACAGACAGCCTAAGTAGCTGGATACGGATGCCCCCGATGGGTTCCGTCGACATGGACCTGGCCAGGTCCCATGGGAGGTGGTTGTGATGGTGGTTGTGATGGTGGGAGGTGGGAGAGGCAGAACGCAGCCAATGAGCAGCAAAATGTTGATGGCGCGAGCTTGCAACCCAGGCCCACCACTTTGAGCTGGTACTTGATGGGGCAAAGTTATTAAGCTCGAAATAAGCAACAAATTCTAAATGCCCACGTTCCGATAATAATGGCAAGCTACAGGGTAATGGAGAGCGAAATTACAGTCCTGTGCTCTAAAAGCAAAGGTTGATAAAGGACGGCACGTACGCAGCTGCCATTTCGTTCCTGATGCAGCCTTGTGCAGCAACAGCAGTATGCGAGTTGTCGAGTGCATCAACACAACACTGTGGGCCGTAAAGCTTGCACTGAGTGTCCAGCTAGTCGATCCAAGGCGCACCGACATCACTGGCCTAAATGCCCTCTGTTACTGCAACGAAACACGGAAAAAGCAGGGTATCCTGAGCCGGTGAATGTACGGGTGCCAGAAACAGGCGATGTAAAAGTCCAGGATGGGCGTGTTAAAAAGCCAAAGCACAGCCAAACCAGGGAAAGAACCTGCACCTCTTTGCCTCCTTCAACCACAACCCATCAGCGACTAGGGTGAAGTCTCCAGCTCCAGACTTTTGGTAACCCGACCTTCCTATCTTAATACTTGGCCTTGCATATCGGATGGTCTTCCATCATATCGGCACAGCTCAGCTGGCCATTCTTGTCTCCCCCCGGTATTATGCTTGTCTGTCGGGACACTGCACCTGCAGAAAGTAGTATGATAGGACACCTGGTATTTAAGTGTCCGATCGAGCTGCTGGCCTGCTGAGGCTCCCGGTTTGTTAGTGATGGGCGGCAGTGGCAGGTTCCACTCATTTATCACTGGTAATTTTTTTTTTGTCTTGAGTAGCACCACCCAACACCGTTGACAGACACCTACAGCTTTTCACTCCGAACCTTACTCAGCACCCGTCCTGCCCGGGGGAAATGGCAAGCTGAGGTATAACAATGACCCGGGGCGCCTCATGTACTGTTGCCCCGTTGTCCAATTTGGTGAACTTGCTGCACATCGTGGCACAGAATCTTGGCCAGGGTTACCAGATACCCCGGTGCGGTGAATGTATTCTGTATCATCCTGCACTCCTTGCTATCTTACCAGCTTATCCTTCAGCCAGTCTCGCAGGCGCCTTCTGGCATGTGCTTTGACCATTCCATAACGTCAGGTATTCGTGCTGTATCGCGAGCACCCTGACATAGCAAAACCAGGAAGAGGAGCTCTCGAGGTATTAAACTAGAGAGGAGTCAGCTTCAATGGCCTTCCAGCAGAAAGGACTCTAAACCGTTCCGCAACTGCCTTCCAACTAAGCAGCAACCGTCGTGAACCTTGCATAAGTATCGTTTACCCAATTTACCGACATTTGCAAACATAAAAAACTGTTTACCTCGTCTTACAAGTGCAACTTGTCGAAAAATCCAATCGCCGACAACGCGGCAAGCAGAAATCCGCGGTCATGCCACGTCATATGCTCTTTGCTTGCAAGCTCAATCAAAAAACCCCAAACCACGAAAACAAACAACACATAAACTGAACAAGAATGCAAAAAATGTACATATTTAATACCCGGTAGGGCTCTTGTATACAATTTTCTTCAACCCCCCGCCTATTTGATGCTCCAACCATTTTCAACTAAGGCATCGCAATCCAAGACCCAAACAACCTCACTTCTTACTGAACACGTACCCCTTCTCAACCCCTTTTTGCTACAACTTCCCCTCTCTTTTTCCATTTTCTTTCGGGATGGTCCGCAGAATCATTCCACGCGGAGGTCCACAAGGACGACTCTCGATGCTTGAACCACCAGAAGGCGGATAAACCGCCTCCTTTACGGATCGAACCCTGGACTTCACGCATAGGCGGAGCTGCCGGCCGGGTCGCCGGATGCCGCCCCTCCACGGCCGCCTCCGAGGAGGGGATCCGTTAGGCCCGGAGTACCCAACTGAGTACCGGCGCCGGTGAAGGCGTCGGGACGGGGCCCTGCGGTGGGAACGCCGCCATAAAAAGATGTAATTCCTTACAAATCTAGAGACACACGGATATGAAAGCAGGCTAAGCGGACGAGGTTTTTCTCTCTCTTTCTCTTACTTAGTTTTCTTCTAAAAGTGTTGTGGGTTCGGATAAGTGTTTGCTCGGTTGCAGCTGGGATGAGAGAGGACACAGGTGGAGATGGCAAATCCTAGAAAAACGCGGGCTGTCGTAGGTGCATCGCGGTAATCGGAAGCTGTGATGTGGGCGTCGTGGCTCAATTTTCCTTATTGCGCTGGGATGGGGTTATTAACAATACGGCTCACATCAGCAGCGCACTTGGGTTCCATCCAAGCTGTAAGGCCGCGAAGCCCTAAGGCCCCCTTATACTTCAGTTAATTATTAAGGAAACTACACACAGAATGAGCCCTTAATTAACTCAATTAAGGCTTCATTCTGTGGATCCGCATTAAGTGGCTGTGCATCCCCAGGTCCCCCCCAAACGCACTGAGCACGTGCACACACACTCATACAACAAACAGAGGTACATAGCCGGCCGGACATAACAATGATCCGCCGCCGCACGCAGAGCCATCCACTCACCTCCCATGTACATGCCCAGGCCGTGCACGGGCCATACCCACGCCACCGCCGCGCCGATGGCGGCCAGCTGGGCGAGCAGGTAGGACCAGCCCCAGGAGATGTTGCATCGGTAGACAATCATGTTGGCGATGACACGGGCGGGGTTGAGCGGGGAGCCGCCCGTGTAGAAACCGCCTGTATGTATGTACGTATGTATGTATATGCACGAGAGCAGTAACACGGATGTGAATTTACGGGACGAGTACATGCGTACACGGATCGGAACATGTGGACGGCACTTTGGGGCTGGAAGTGGTGACGGGAGTGGGTGAGTGTACGACGAATTTACCATCTTTCATTCGCACTCGGCGTCGCACGCGTGGAAGGGTGATGATTACGATGGTGGGTGCAACGCGGTGAATGATGACTGTTGTTCGAGTCTTCTTTAGAAGGAGATGATACCTACCATTAGTCATATGAAAAAGGAATGAAGACCGCAAAGTATCTTCTAGCGAAAGGATAGGTCCCAAGGGGTGCGCGGCGCGTCCATGTCATGCTACATCCTAAACCCCCCTAAAACCCTAAAACCCTAAAACCAGCTAAAACCCTAAAACCCCCTAAAACCCTAAAAAAACCTTTTCACTACGCATCAAGAGGGCACACAACTGTCAGCAACGAAACAGCTTCGCACATCTGGTCTCCAGGCCCCAGCCCCCACCCACCCACCCACCCACCCATCACCTGTGGACAGAGCCGCCAGTAGCGCCAGACCCGCAGCCAGGGGGGCGGCGGTACCCTGCCCCGGCGCCACGAATACGGCGGTGTACATGACTGTTCATCTCAACATGGGGGGAGGCGGGCATTGGGCTGTACGTCTGTACATACGTACGGATATGATGGTGTAAAAGGACGCGGGGGTGGTGGAATGCGAACAAGGCCCTCCTGTTCTGTTGAAACCAACCAACAAATGTCCGGTTAGCAAGGGCAGCTAGAAAGCGAGAGCAAGCAGCAAGCGCAGTAGGGGAGACAAGAGGGCTAGACAAGAGCAGGCATCGGAACACGATAGCACATGGGAAACCTAGCGGCTGGTTATATTAAGTAATGTTAACATTGCATTATAAAAAAAGATTGCAGTAAGGAGAAAAAAGAAGCTGCCATGAGCAAGGCTGTAAAAACAACAGTACAGAAAACAGGAAAACAAGGCTCAGCAGAGAAAGTTGTTTTTATTAGTTAGCACGCACCCGCCAAGAAGAAGAAAGTGCTGATGAACTCCCAGCCCCACAGCTCAGGGCCAGTCACATGGCGAGGCGGGGAGAAGCAACTCTCGCTGGGATGGCCGATGTCGTTGTCGTACACAAGGCCCACTTGGATGAGCGCACCGGCGATGGCGCCCAGAATCTGTACGATGGCGTACAGCAATCCCCGTACGAGATCCACGTGGCCGGTACCCGCGCCAGCAAGGCTGACCGCGGGGTTCAAATGACCGCCACTCAGGTTGTACGTCAAGTACACTGCGACCCGGAGAGCGACCAGCTAATTAAGGACTTTCCATGAATTAACGGTAATCAACGGTAGGAAGAGGACAGTCGTTTTGAGGCGCGTTGCGTGTTGACGCGCGTTGCGGCGGATGAATGATGGAGCAGTAATGTGCTCATATCAGTTAGCGAGCAGCCTCTCATAAGATGCTGTACGACGCCGTACTGTGAGCTCGGGAAACAGTGAAAATTACTTAAATTTGCTATTTTATTGCATGAACAAGATATGTCGCATGTGCAAGCTTATTCAGTTCAGTTAAATTGATTACAAGAAGAGAACAGAGTCTGGCTAGGTAATAAACTTTACGACATTTTCACAGCCACCATGGAATTTTCCACGAGCGAAACAGCGAGAGTAATTTAATCATTGATTATATGTAAAATGATCGCAATAAGTTGTTGTTTGGTTGCTTGGCAAAGCCCTGTTGAAGCGGAGCATACTCAACTAATCGCAGCGAACGAAGCGGCCGTTTCGATTGGTCCACGCGCAACGGCTCCGGAGTAGAGCTGAAACAGCAAAGTACCCAAAAACTCGGCCACGAGCGCCTGACAGGGGGGATGCGAGCGGCCAGAGCAAGACGTTCGTTTGGCGATTGGCTGCGATACGTTCTGCTAATCTTTGCCGAGCTTGCAACATGATCGTAAAAATTCATGTTAAAACAAACTATCCCAGTAAGAAATGATTCGATCTGAGATTCATACATCAGCATGCAGCGCCAAGAACAGGGATGCAGCCTCAAAGCCGTTACGAAGCAAATAATGTCAGGCATCACCCGCGAGTGTTCCTAAGCAAGGTTCATTATAGAACAAACTCAGTTAAGACTTCAACATAATTTAAGATTTGCTCGCCTGCCTGCTGCGCGGCCCATGAGAGCCTGGCTCGCAACGCAAGCAGAACCCTAAGGACCGCGAAAACAATCTCATCTGATCCTCGCTCATACAGACAAAAATGAAAATAAAGGATTTTAAAGTGTAAACAAAGGGAAGAAAACCGGGTTGCTCTGTCTTAGCAACGCCGCGACCCAGGGGTCCCGAGCTCGCTTTGCGTCATACTGGCGCAGCTGCTGTCGCTTGCATCTGCGTACAATTCTCTTTACCAAAGCTCAATAAACTCGTGGCCGGATCTCAGCTGCTGCAAAAACCTGCAGCAGCGCTGTTTCCTTGCAACACCATGTATTCGTGGCTGTGACCAGCTTGCGAATCTTCTCTCCTCACAGCTCGGTTTTCTAAAACGGCAAAGCTCCTTTTCCAGCGATGCCTATCCTGCTACAAAGCGAGAGGTCATACTCACCGTTATGAGGCGAGAGTCGCGCAGAGCGTGCGACAGGTGGGGGTGAGGAAGGCTAGGAAGCCGCATCTTTGCTGAGGTTGGTCTTGGGGTTGTTTGGTCCTTGTTGGGGTTGCCGCGGAGCAGACTAAATCAAAACAGCGGTGGGGACGAGGATGCGCAGTTACCTAAGGAGGGAGAACAAGAGGTCGAGAAAATCGTGGTGCTTCACAGCTAAGCTCTCTAAGTAACGATAAAATAAGGCGGGTGTAGCGTCTTTATGTGTTGTCACGGGCACCGCCGAAATGAAATCCAGGTCGAGTCAGCACGTTTCACGTTGACGCAAACAAAGCAACCTCTGTACAACAACGAGGACGATGAGAAGATGCTTTGCGCAAGTCTCTTCCTTTGTATTTTTACAGTATACAGGATCTGTAGCCAAGGAAAGCCTCACAGTTGGGAGATCTTGTGCCTTCTCCTGATTGCGAGGCAAAACTTTTGAATCTTTGCTCCAGCCAAGCTCTACCTCACCTCGACAGCGGTCACACGTCTCAAATGACGCAGTTTCGACGCTCAACTCATATGCTGTTCTCTGTCTGTTAACATCAAAACAACGATGTCCCCTCCCAGGATTCATGCAAGCGCACATCGGTATGCGCTATGGCATCACGAGTGCACCCCAGTTAAGTGAGGAACGTCCATCACCAAAAAACCAAACGTTTCGACGCATCCTCTCTTTTTTTCCTAATCACGAACGAAAACTAAACGCCTGGAAAACTCCGGGCCAAATAACCTGCTTGTAACCTGCAGTGCAGCATGCCATAACCTCCGGCGGCTTTTTCCACATCTTCTCAAGACGCGATGGCCGTTCACTTGCTCAGCGCTCTTCCACACATCTGGTTGGTTGCTTGCCTGATATCTTACGGTGTGCTGGCGCCCACCATTACAGACTCCCACAACCCCATCGGCAACGTAAGATCCAGCATTCCATGAATTCAACAAAACCTTTCAGTGCTCGCAGCCGTCGCCCTTCGTCTGAGGAGCAAAGATATCTTTAAAAATTCAGTTTTATCAGACTTTAAAACATCTTCGGCCCCCAGAAACCCCCTCTCCCTCTCCCTCTGGTAACAAACCGAAAATCGCACGCTCTGTTGCATACCCTGTCACATAACACCGTACTACGCACGACGAAACACCGAGCTCATCTCCGCTCCGCTCATCCCATTAGCATCAAGTTAGTGCTCCTTCTATCTCCCCAATCCTCACTCGCTTTAATTCTAAGAATCTGGTTTAGATGCACAGCCTTGTCGCTCCCTTTCTTTCCACTCCTTCTTCTGCTTCATCATCATCTCTTCTCTCCCCTCAACCTGAGAAATCTGACGATGACAAACCTGTTGGTGAACACGCATAGCTTTTATCATGGGTCACTCCACCTCCTCGACAGCCCCACGCGCCGCATCCCGGAAGGTCTCCCGACTTCCAACGGGGGTGAGAGTGCTCGCCCGGAAACCTCTGAAACCGCGCCAGGAGGGTGCGGAGGAGGACGGTGGACCCGGAGAGAGGCGGAGGAGGCGGAGGAGGACCCGGCCCTTCAGGCCAGCGACGCAGAAGGTAGTTAAGGTGCATAGGACTGGGCCCCGTTTAGTGGACGATTTATTCAGAGGCCCTGCCAGGAGAGACTTGGGAGGTGTACGGGCGAGTGGCCCACCAGCGGGTGGTCATACATGATGTCGTACAGGATGCGAGGCGCAAAGGGCTGCAGAGGCGGGCGGCATGTGTCCGAAACAAGGGCACCTTGGGATTGTGACAACATTCGAATTTTTGGACAGCAGCAGCAGCAGCAGCAGCTGCATCCTGGATGTCACCACTGAGAATGTCGTCGAGATCATCATCGTCAGAATCGTCCCGTCATTGCCGTCTTCACCGCCATCATCACGTGGGGCGGAAAGGAGTGGGCAGGCCCTCCTCCCCAGCACCCCCCACCACCACCATTACCACCACTGCCATCTCCACCACCGGCAGGACTATCAAGCGGAGCTCGACACCTCGTTGTGGGCCCCTCGCGCCGCCGCCTCAGCTGCCCGTACAGCCACCATGACATCACGGAAATCCCGTACAATCCATACAGCACCTGGAGGATTCGCGAACATGTGCGGGAGATGAAAGCGGAGCATCATCGTTTCAACTTCTTACCCACCTGACGCAGCCCAGACAAGAGATAGAACCTGACCCGTCGAGGCGCCTTATGGCGCATGCAAGCAGAGTAAGGCCCGAGAAGGACGCATCACCCACCTACCGCAGCACGCGGGCATCGGCAGCTCACGTTTTGCTTCTTTCATGTAAAGGATCCAGCCCCTTTCCTAGTGCAGCAAAATCCCATTACCCAAATCAACCCTTCCACGGAAGGCAGTTTCCTCATTCATGTCCCCTCTCCCCATAAGAAATTATTTATTGGCATGAATTTAATTACCTCCTCTTCCGACAGCCTAAATCCCCGTCCAAATGAAGGGTGAAATATCTGAACACCACCTATCGAAACCCTCCTATCTTTCGAAAAAACTAACAAATCGGCCCCATCCCGTCCCATTACCCCCCCTCCCCCACACACCCCTTCTCCTCCCCCCAACCCCCTAGGATAGTCGGGTCGGTCGGGTCGGTCGCGCGTTTTAGTTTGGGGGGTGGGGAGGAGCACTTGCATACCGACAGCCTTTCAGTATCAGCAAATCAGCTATTTCTCCTGGCCAGCAACTTTATGCCAGCTTTACGACAGCACTGCTTTACTACTTTTCCGCCGCCTTCACACCTACTTTTCTACACCTACTTCTTTACGGCTTGGCAATACTATTTCTTCTTTTTTAGTTCTGGCGACGTAGGTAGGTAGTCTTTCCGACATCCTCTTCACTTCGTCATCCCGAGGTCACGGTCTCGGTCTCGGTCTCGCCTTTCGGTCAGTTCTACGTTTGATACTCTCTTGCCCTGGCAGCAGCTTCAATCGTGTGTGGTTCGTCTTTCCCCAACCCCCTCCTCCTCACCAGCCTTCCTGAGCTCCTCCGGCTCCTGCCCCGTCATCAGCCCCACTACGGGAGCCCCCGCGGCCGCTCCCGCAGTCACACCTGAGGGGGAGTCCTCGAACACCACCACCTCACCTGCAGGTGCAAGGGCAGGTACAAGGGCAGGCACAAAAGGTGGAATGGCACGTAGGGAAGGGAAAGGGGAAATCACCCGCCAAAGGTGCAAAAGTAAAAGACGACGGCCTACGACCCAACGGGGGGGCGGGAGGCGAAGCAGGTATGTGTATGCATGTATGTATGTTGTGTGTATGTTATGCCGATCAACAGTGAAATCCGTGCGGCGCGCGGTCCGTGGATTTGAACGGCAAAAGACAGGACAATGAGGGACGAATGAAGGACAAAAACAGTTTCTCAAGCCGCAGTACATGCCGTACAAACCCGTTCTCACCCGGTGTAAGGCCCAGCAAGTCCATGGCGACAAGGTACGGGTCAGGGTACGGCTTTGCCCGGGTACACTCCTCGCCCAGCACCAGGTGCTGCGTGAGGTTGGAACGGTTGCGAGGTGGTTGGAGCGGTTATAACGGTTGGGGTGGTTGGGAAAAGATGCAAAAGCGGCGGTTGGGTGATGAAGTATGGGGTGCATCGCGAGGTCAGGTGGGGTCTGGATGGCGAGCTGACGAGTCCCGATCCCGTGAGTTCAACACACCTACACCAGGACCAACACCAGCACCCACAAACGCAAGCGCAATCACATGTTTGGTCCTAGACTGGCCATAGTAGGGTAGGGATAAGGCCCCTGGCGGTGTACTGCATGTACAGTACGGAACGGAAAGGACAAGTGGCCAAGGAGGGGGGGGAAAGGGCGGGTTGAGGGGGGAGGAGGTGAAAAACCAGTTCCCGTACCTCGAACATGGCTTCGATACCGAGCGCCGCCAACATCATCTCGGCATTGACCCTGCGCCTTTTCAGGTGGCCCCGGGTTGGAGTGGAGAGGAGTGAGGGGGAAAGGTGAGTGAGGGGGAGAGGTGAGTGAGGGGGAGAGGTGAGTGAGGGGGAAAGGTGAGTGAGGGGGAGAGGTGAGTGAGGGGGAAAGGTGAGTGAGGGGGAGAGGTGAGTGAGGGGGAGAGGTGAGTGAGGGGGAGAGGTGAGTGAGGGGGAGAGGTGAGTGAGGGGGAAAGGTGAGTGAGGGGGAAAGGTGAGTGAGGGGGAGAGGTGAGTGAGGGGGAGAGGTGAGTGAGGGGGAAAGGTGAGTGAGGGGGAAAGGTGAGTGAGGGGGAAAGGTGAGTGAGGGGGAAAGGTGAGTGAGGGGGAGAGGTGAGTGAGGGGGAGAGGTGAGTGAGGGGGAGAGGTGAGTGAGGGGGAGAGGTGAGTGAGGGGGAGAGGTGAGTGAGGGGGAGAGGTGAGTGAGGGGGAGAGGTGAGTGAGGGGGAGAGGTGAGTGAGGGGGAAAGGTGAGTGAGGGGGAAAGGTGAGTGAGGGGGAAAGGTGAGTGGGGGGGATAATTTAGGAGAGTCGACGGTGCGGGGTGGGGTGGGAAGCCATCCGGAAGTTACGGCACAGACGTGTCGTACCGGCTGGAACGGAAGCAGGACTTCAGGTGAGGCTTCAGCAGGATTAAGCGATTAACTAATCAACCAACGAACGAACAAAGACAGCTAAGCAGGAGGCTTACCGAGGTGCATTGGTGACGGCCGCGGTTCGCAGTCCTCGCTGCCGTACCCATTCTAAGAACTCACGGAGGCCCTAAAAATGGTTGCACGGGTATGCGGCAGCACAAGCCGGGTGTTGGGTGTTGGGACTGGATGGGGAGTTGAATCAATTAAAAGTGTTGCAATAAAGTACATGATAACCTGAACGAGCCCTGACACACACAAGCACAGACACAGACACACATACATACACACATACAGAGACACACAGACATACAGAGACACACATACAGACACACACAGCTTACGTGTTTAGGGGTTGAGTTAATCATGGGCCGAAAGCGGTGTACCTTTCTTACTCAAAGCGCAAGCGGGTGTGTGTACGTACGTACATACATTCGTACACGCATACGTACGTACATACATACAAGGCAGGCGGATGGCAGAGGTTAAGGCCTGACTTCTGCTCCCGGCCGACCCGGGTTAAAATCCGCCTGCCGGCTCCTCGGGTGTTTGAGGAGTGTTGAAATGGGAGGTGGCCCCCCATCATATGGACGATGTAGGACCTGATAATATAAACTTGCGAGCTGACCAGGAACTAAGTTCATGCGCCGTTGATCCGCTAGATTTGGTTGGATGCTGGTGGTGAGTTGCCGAACCCAAGGAATACATTCTGAAGTCGGATGGGGTGACGGATTAGGGTGCCCCTCTAGCAGGGGAGAGCAGGGACTGCCCCGGGAAAGGGGGCCGCTGGCGAAGTTAACCACCCTGTAACAACATACATACATACATACAAGCAAACGTACTTATACACATACGTACGTACGCACCTCCAGGGGTTCAAGCCCCGCGGCAGCCAACCGCCGGTAACGCTCCTGTGTGGGGGGGGGAGGGGTGATTGAGAATTGTGATTGCGGGAAGGGGGGGAACGGGTCGGGGGGATGTTAAAAGGGGGGTTTCCAGCTCCGAAACCCCGTCCTAGACAAATCGCAGGAAAGGGGAGGGGACGGAATAAACATTATTATGATATATTATTACTATTACTGTATTCTCATTGTTATTGTTATTGCTATTTATTATTGATTATAATACTAATAGTAATTTGATGACGGTGATGATTATGTAACGAGGACGAAATGGACGGCTAGTCTTATTCGCTGGCCGTTCGATGGGAAGTTAGTAGTCGGAGATCTGTGGCCGACAAAAAACCCCGAACGTTATGGAACCCTGCCCTAAATCAGCACCACCACACCACCCAGTCCACCAAGCAAGCTCGTCCAGTGTACGGCAGCCGCAAAACACCCACCCAGCCCTGCCTCCGCCCTGCTCACTAGGGGCCCCCCCACCTAAAACGACATCAGGAGGACCCACCGCCACAATATACACCTCCCCCTTCACCTCTCTCCGTCTTACTACCCCACGCCAGTTTCCTCTCACCCAAACAAACCGCCAAACCCTAAAACCCCAACACCTCCCAGCTCCCCCGTTACCTCTTTCTCCGTGTAAAAGGCCACTCGTCGAGCCTCCTCCCAATCCGGAAACAGATCAGCTGCAATGGCCGGGTTGTGGCGACCGCTGATGCGGCGCCGGAAGAAAGCCTCGTCAATGGGCTGTCCGTCGTTAAAACCTAACTCCAGCAGAATCTCCTGGAACCTGTTAACGACCAACGGTGCCAACGGTCCCGGGAGCAGGCGGCCAAGGGTGCAAGGAACCAATGCTCAACATTAATTGAACCAAATAATTATTAAAATTTCTGAAGTTAACTATTATTATCCATTATTACTTTTAATGTTCACTGCAGAAAGGCCATAGCTGCGACTTCTTGGCGATCCAGCTCAGCAACGCGTCTGTACGATTGTACGATTTCGGTGCGATCCACATCAACACGACGTGGCACAGGGCACCCTGAGCCCAAACTCACGCGCGAAAATGCAGTGGGTCGGATTCGACCAGTGTACCGTCGACATCGAACAGCACCCCGCGGATGGAGAGGAGGTCCAGCTGTGCGGGAGGGACCGCCGCGTCCACAAGAGTGGTGGTGGCGGCAGCGGCGCCCATGCTGCTGGCAGCTACGGTGCTGGGGAAACCTTCTCCAGCGGAGCTTGGTCGAGGTGAAACAGCCGCAGTTGTGGACGTGGGCGTGTTAGCGAGGAGGGAGGTCCGGCCTGCTGGCGCTATAGTAGAGGATCATAGAGATGAGGTGGCGGGAAAGAGACGAAAGTTAAAAAGTGCATACGTTCATCAGCTGTGCATGATTGGGCACTAGCAGGTCTTGAACAACTCAACCTTCAGACGACTTAAACGACCTAAATGCCTGATGGCTCGTTCGGATACTGTTCGTTAATAGAAGGCATATAATGAGACAATAAATTTGGCAGCTTTGGAGCGAAAGATTTCTTATGAGTTAAGGGCTTACCGGCCATCAGCATTCGCCGCTGGAAAGCCGAGGAGGACCCAAGACGCCAGCAGCCGCCGAGCGTTTGCATTTCAGCCCACTACAATGTAGTAAGATGGAGCCAGCCCAGCCGAAGGCGTGAGCGCTAAGTGGACCCGAAAAACGTCAAAGGACACCGCAGTGCGTCTAAAAGCCACTATGACAATCTAAAGCAAAGCTTAATTAAGTTTCCCTCAGAGCTTAAGAATATCTTTTCAGGCTGTGGCTTGTGAGCGTTTCCTTACTAATTCAGTACGGGTAGTCGACCGGTTTGCTGCAGAGCGGACCGCTCTGGCTGGCTGCCAGTGCTTGCTAGTCTTGACATGCAACTTTGAGGCCTTAAAGTAACAAACAATTTCCCCTTTGGTTGGCACAAACCTTAAAGCTCTGTCCGTCTCGCCTGTCGTTCCTGACTGAGTGTTTGGATGCAAGAAGATTGTTGTCCTCGGCCATTTCCCCTAGTAATCACTGAAGCACATGGCGCGCCTCTACACAATGGTCTCCCGGGAACACACTCCCATCCTAGGCAATTCCTACGCCGCGGACGCACGCTTCCGCATGCGGCACCTTCCGCATCTCCCGCAATTCTCTCCACGCCCACCCCTCTACAACAGAGATCTAAGCACGGCACTTATGCGTTCCTTTCCATGCACGCTCAAACAGAACCAAACACGCGCTCCTAATTCCGTACTACACCAACTCCATGCAAACGACTAGTTGGATGGATGTTGAGCAGGCTGGAGAGAAGGCTGTGCTACGGAGGCCTTCGCAGGCAGTCGCGAGAAGCTTCTTCGGTTCGGCTCTTCCAAACCTCCGCACAACAGAGACCAAGCTACTACGTACACTCACGAAGCACTGCGACAGAAACCGTTAGTTCGCCGCACAGTGTGACCCACCCACTGTACTGGGAGGTACTGTTAATGCCTAGACGGCTATATTTGCTCGGTCGGATCCTCTTCTGGTCGTCTTTCTCGGCAGAGTCGAACAGTCGTCGAACCACAGGCGCTGCACAGGCGACCGGTGGGTTCCCAGAATCAGATTTTTTGGTCTTGTTCGGCCATTCCCGTGCGGTTTTCCCAGCTGCAGCCAAGGCACAGACAGACCGAGGCATTTGTCCTTCCTTTTTCCTTTTCCTAAAAACAGCCTTGCCGCGGAAAGCTTCCTGGGCCGTACGACGCGCCGTCATCTGCCTCTATGTGTGATATGGTACGACAGCGTCTCTGCTGCTGTTGGTTATCCTCTCGCCCGCTGTGTATGTAGAGCTGAAGTGTAATGCTTTGCGAGGATGGGAGAAAACGGGAATATCGAAGTGCTGCGGATTGGAATCTCGGCAGAGTTTCGTAGCTGGATGTGGGGTCCTCTTCACTCCCGCCACCCGCATTGCTAGCAGCACTAGAAGAGTTAGCAGACAGAAACCCCGGGAGGGGGTAGTGGGTCACTAAGCGTGTTGGATCCACGCCTATCTTTCGACTTACACCACCCAGCGCGGGCGGTTTCCGTCAGAGTGTCGAGGTGTCAACAATCTCCACGTGAAATGCAACAGCATAACGGCAAGGACAACGGCAAATGACAACGGCAAACGACAACGGCAAACGACAACGGCAAACGACAACAACGGCAAACGACAATGACAGCGTCCTAGGTCCACGCCTAGGTCCTGCCCTACACCACCTTTAGGAGTCATCGTGCACCGAAAGGCTTGCTTCACCTTCCGAACAAACAAACAAACCAGCCTGCCGTACACTTTAGTAGGAAGAATGCTAGTACGAACTCCTCATCATGGTAAGGGTCGTGTGCTGCCCCGGGCCCGACCCGCAGCTGAAGAGGAGTCGTCAAGTCTCGACCCGCAAGCATGTCTCCAAGATGCACTCACGGATTTCCCCTCCGGATTGTCCCGCCGGAGCAAGAGGAGCAATAATGCCGCGGCTGCACCTCGTGATGCCGTACAAGAAGCCATTGATGCGTCGAAGGCCGCCGCTGGCGCGGCGACGGCGGCGGCAGCAGTTGCTGTGACCCCAGCAGCGACGGGTTCCCGTACTGCCTCATTATTGGGTGCTAACGGTATCCAACGGCTTTTTGACCACTTAAAAATAGCACCCAACGAGTTGACAACCTCTTCCAGCATGAGTGAAGTCGAGGATAGCGCCGTGTCAGGAAGTGAAGCCGCTGGGCGACCGCCGCTGGCGCCGCCGTCATCGCCGCCGCCAACGTCAAAGTCGCGACAGCTTGTCGTACACCGAAGGTTTGTAGACGCTTCGTACATCTGATGTGCGGCCCACGGTGCTTCCATCTACTTGCCATGGTCCATGTATGACCAGTGCACGTTGTTTTGCAAGACCTTATGGAGGTGGCGGACAGCTGCTTCTGTGTGTGTGTATGGATGTGTGTGTACGTGTGCGTGCGTGTGTGCGTGCGTGTGTGTGTATGCGTTACACCACCTGGAATTGCGTTTTACTCTCCGAAGGTGCAACGGGCCCATACGAGCCCCGAGGGGGCCCAAGGACCAGCAGAATAGGACTTGGCGTTGTGGCGTTGCCATCGGAGCTGCCGTAGTCATGCACACGTCACAGTCATGTACATGTGCCCGTCGGTTCACCGTTGCATTACCGTTTGGCCTCCCCATTCCTTTACCGTTGGATGACCGTTGACTGACCGTTGGCTCGCCGTTGGCGCTAACGAACCCATTAAACCACCAAACCACCAAATTCCCACCGCGGGCCCATGGACCCCTCATCAGCTCCCAGCCGGCACTGCCGCCGCCGCGCTGGCCGCCGTCGCTGCGCACAACAGCACTGCCCGCTTGCCGCCCGGTCTGGTTGGAGGATGTCCTGTCCGTGCGTCAGGCACTGTTCAGAAATCGAGCCATCCGGCTGACTGCCGTACTGGACAGGCCGCAGCAACTGTCAGAAGCTCTCATCCGTCATGTGAGTGTATACGGCGGTGGCTTGACGGGTTTAGGCTGGATGGGGGAGATATGGATGGAGAAAAGCAGTGCATTGCTTCTGTACGTTCTCCGTACTTTATACTCCGTACTCCGTACTTTGTACCTACCTGCAACTTGGAGGATCAACTTATGTGTCTCGCCGTAGGCTCCTACATACATGTCCAGAGGGCCATGTTCTCCCTGGTTCCCGATGCATATCGACTCAACACCGTAGGCTTATAAGACCCATGGGTCACCTACGGTAACCGCCGCGTGGCGCTCCCCGGCTGACGTGCACCGCTTCCTGTGCCACTCTCGCGAGAAACAGGAACTTGAGGTGAGTGTGGAATGTGAAGGGGAGGGACCCATGCTTTCCACACGTTTCCCAAACTCCCAGAAACAAATTCCCAAAAAATAGGGGATGTCCAGGTGCGCAAAGGAGAAGAAATTGCAGCAGCTCCTGTTGCTGCTGAGTCCACAGCTACACTGCGCCATCCTGTGCTGCTGTCGTACTGTTGTACACCGTACGTGACAGGGTCCCCACCGCCTCCGTTGCCCCGACACGTCGCCGCTGCTCCTTCCTGCGTCGCCGGCGAACCCGGGGCCTGGCAGTAGCGGCCGCGGCGACAGCGGCGGTGGCGGTGGTTGTGGCGCCGGCGGCCGCACGCCCACGCTGGCGGAGGCGCTCAGTTGTCTGGAGGAGTGGCAACAACACAAGCTCCTCATCCAGGTGACTGAAGGGGGCATGAAACTCGGCACCCCGTGGCACAAACCCCTCCTTTCCCCCCTCCCCCCCTCCCCCCTTCCTCCCTCCCCCTCCCCCCTTCCACCTCTCCCGACATCCCGCAGCACTATCCCCCTTTCCATCACCCCCACTGACCCGTGGGGTGTTCCCCTTTCCGCATGCCCCCGTGTTACCCTCAGCTCGATCTATGTCAGCTAGCCGGCCACCATACCGGGTCCGGACCCGGCGGCGGCGGTGGTGGTGTTGAGGCCGTGGACTTCAATTTCGAGCCGTGGACCTGGGGCCTAGCCGGCGGTGATGGTGACGGCGACGAGGCAAGCTGGTGGGAATTTTGCAAGGTAAGATCCATACCTCCATACATGCATGGTTTCCGTGTGTTGTTCTCCGTCAGCAGTACAGTGTACTGAGCTCTGTACTACATCGATGAGATGGACCCCCGAATGGACCTCTGGATCAGGAGCTGCTTTCTCCCGTACTCAAATGGGTACGGCAGGATCTGCTAGGAAGCTACTGGGGGCTACCACAAAGCCCAGCAGCTGCCGGCGACGGCGGACTCCAGGGGCGCCCAGTTGGTTTTCCCTTCAACCTCGGACCGTACGGAAGCCCTGCTTGGGGGCATCCTGGATTGCCAGTCGTACGACTGCCGTACTCCGGCGGTACGCTCTCCCTGGAGTGGGGCAGTGAGGGGGCGCTACTGCCGCTCCGTTACCACGCGTCTGATGATCGTGTGATTTTGCAGGTAGGAAACCTTTGGGGGGGATAGGGATGTGGGCTCTCAGTGGAAGCGGTAGAAAGGTTATGGTTCACAAACCATGATTGTGATAACGCCACATTCCACATGAGTCCTTAACAGCCGTGACGTACTTCAAGTAATGGTAGACCAACGTGCGCTAACGAACGATCAACTACCAACCGAACCAACTTTTACCTTGGCTGCTCCGGAACCAGGTCTGCGGCCGACGGCGTATCCTGCTCGTCCCTCCTGAGTACGCTCTGCCGTACCTGGCACCTTTCCCTGTAATACATCCGTACGATGGGTACAGCATGCCGGCGGTAGCACATACATTGGTGTACGACACTCCGGGTGTTGACATCACCCGCGCCGCCGCCACGGTCTTGTCGGCTTGGGAGAATCTTCACGACGTGAGCCCGGGGTTTGGCGTTTTGGTGGGGTTTGCAGGCATAGGTGTCCTCTGGGTGCACCGGAATCAGCAATTTTCATTACATATCATTACATACATCACGGCCTCCTGGTTCTGTTCAGCAGCCTGCCTGCCTTCTTCCTTACCGTTTGCTCCCCGTTTGTTCATAGTTGGTTCAGGAGACCTTTCTGACTCACCCTAGAGACCTACCGTTGACTAGGTCACAACCCTCGGCAACTGTGACAGTATACATACACATATACACATACACACGCACACACGTGCGCACGTGCACACGCATGCATGCGCTTCCACCGCCCCTGTTAAACCCAATCCGCGGGTCACCACGCACTTGCAGCATCCCATGCAGGACTTTGGTACACACCACTCTTCGACGCTTCCAAAGGTTTTAGTCCCTCTCTCCGTCGCCACGTACTAGCCTACCCTCTCCATTTCCGGTCTTAGGGAACGTGAATCATCCCATTCGCCGATCCCAGACTCCTTCCTGCTTGCACCCACCATCACAGGTCCAAGGCCAGGTGGCAGTCCTTGATCCCGGCGACGCCGTCTTCGTGCCCGCGGGTTGGTTTCTTCATTCGGAGTTCCTACCGCCAGCCCCTTCACCGCCATCGCAAGAGCATCGTCCTGCAGCAGCGGCAGCAGCAGCAGCAGCAGCAACAACAACAAAGGTATCTGGACCAGGAGCTGCTGCTGACCACCATCGCCATCACCACCACCCTAAGAACAACAACATCGCACTCGTCCTGTCCTTAACACCTTCAAGGCCTCTGTTAGGTGAAGCTACTACCGCAGCTACGACTGCTACAGCTGGTACGGCTGATGCAGCTGATACGGCTGCTACTGCTACAAGCCAAACGGCAGGCGAGTCGTACATGTTTGAACGCGGCTACCGGGGTGTCGGAGAGCGGACGGAGGCAGTGGGGCGGCCCATGGCTCCCGGCACCCGGCTACTGCAGCTGGCCAGACTGCTGGAGAGCTGGTCGCTGGCTGCGGAGGTGCCCCCAGGTTCGGAGCTGCGAAAGACGCTGCTGGAGATGGCCGAGTACCACCTGGTGCGGCAGCGACTGCAGCGCCACTTGCTGCAACAGCAGCAGCAGCAGCAGCAGCAACATCAGAGACAGGAACAGCATCAGGCACAGGGGCAGGCGGGGCAGCAGCAACAGCAGGCATTGCTGCTGCAGCAGCAGCAGCAACAACAACAGCAAGAAGGAAGAGGCGAGGTAGGGCTGCCGGCCTCAGGCAGTGGCGATGGGGATGTCGAGGCTAAAGAGACTAAAAGCGATGCGTTCTGCCTCTTACCTAGGGTAGGGCAGATGACCGCCACACTGGCCACTGCAGCCGAGTCGGACGCTTCTCGAAGCATCTGTAGAGCGCAGTCGGAGACATCAAGCCTACTGAACACGGAGCCAAGAAGCAACCCGGACGACCCACTGCCCCAGGAACAACACGGCAATCCGCCGACTGTCCCGCGGGTCAGTGACCCGCAAGCAAGCATCAACGGTGGCGGCAGTAGCGACGGCGCCGAGGGTAGAGCGTCCTCTTCACCAGTGCCTCTGGAACTGCTACAGCTACAGCTACAGCTGCAGTTTCATCCAACCTTCAACCGCAACACCCCACGAGGCCGTGTGCTCATGGATCTGTACGACATGATCGTACGACATGTGGCGCCGATCTCGCACGCGGTGCTGATAACTGTTGCGGCTGCCGTTAGAGCTCCGAAACCGGAGGACGCATCGCCGGGGCCGTCCAAGCGACATGGATGGCTGTATCCTGGAGGCGGGGGTGGTGGTGGTGGTGGTGGTGGTGGCGACTGGGGTAAGCGACATGGATGCGACGGTGGCGATGGCGGAAGAGACTTCGAGGGGAAAGGTTCTTATGACGGCAGCGGTGATGCGGACGGCCTGGCGGCACTCATTCGACTCGTTTGCCAGGACCGTCTTTTGCCCACGGACTGGGTGGACCAGGTACGGCAGGGGCGGGGTTTAACGGTAGCCCGGAGGATGCCGTACGGCCGTACGGATGTTCTTGACCTTTTTACACCTAAATATAATACCAGAGTTAAGAGCATCCAGAGATTGGGATCGTGGAGTGTACGTGTGTATGTGTGCGTTTCTGTGAGATCATCAGACTAAGGCTCCTGACGAAAACGTTTTTACCTTACCTGACACTGCCCAAGATTTTGGATGGCAGAGCGCTTCACCTTAGCGCTCCTGTTTAGAAGCTATGTGCTATGTAGGGTCAGATGCAACGCGCAATTCCTTGACACGCAGCGCGCGAAACTCAACGAATCAACGAAATGCATCAACCTCCCCATCCCCTAGCAGATTGCCGCCATGCAACTCTATGCAGCCATCGCACATTGTTCATTCTAGAGAATGTTCTAGGAAACCCACAAATTGAAAGCCTTCTTGCGAATTGTGTCACGAGAAACATCCTCCATGGCTGTCGTACAGCTGTGCCGAGATCCCGAGGTGGCGCGCGAGCAGCTTCTATGGTACGATGACCGCCGTACACACGACGAGAGGCGCTTTCCAGAGCTGTTCCGGCTGCAGGTGTGGCTAGAGTGTCGGCGGTTGGCGGTTTGTATAATCCCATGGCGTACGGATGGTGAATGGTTAAGGGAATTGTTTGCAGCGTTTGGATGGAGGGTTGGCCTTCCGCGGGAATGGGACACGTAGATTTATTGCGGACAAAATTCCGGTTCAGTCTCCCCAGGGGAATTCGTTATATGGAGAGGATTAGCAGAGCAAGAAAGTACCGCAGACTACCATAAGCCTTCACTTTCTCGCCCACACGCTGTCCGGTTTAAAATCTGCTGCCACCTGCGCCATAGGACTACACCCCGTCCGCTCGATTGAGGTGGTTTGCATGATTTTTTTCGCAGGTGGCTGCGAAGGATGCTGAGTCGCGTGCGACCAGCCTGCGGCCGGCGGCGCTGCCATACCAGAACTTGTCACTACAGCATGCGTTGGAGGCGCCACGACCGTTTCTGCCGCTGCTGTAGCAGTGGGAGCGAGTTCCGACACTGCAAGAGTGAATCTCATTGCCAACCCGCTGGCCTTGTCTTTTCACCGCGGGGAAACGGCGCTATGATGGACAAAAGGCGGAGAGACAGGAAGGAACACGAAGAGAGGAATATTGTGGATTGAGTCTTGGGATGTGCTGCGCCTGTGTTCGTTCAAAAACCCTAAAAAAGCTAAAACCCTAAGTTAACATCTTTCTGGTGACACTAATGCCATATGCGCTGAAATTCTTGGGTAGACCCCCGACATTGTCGGGAGCGTGAGATTATGGCTAGCTGCTGAGATGTGGAGTTGAGGTCACAGTTGATGGACCGAGTTCTGCACGCGGATTGGTGGCGATTGCTCAACCCTCTGTCGCTGCGGATGTTCGGGTGACTGGATGAGAAGGGATCCTAGAAGGCAGGATCAAACCCGCCTTGGACTTGGCAGTTCGTAAGGCGTAGTACATTGTGGTAATGGTGGATGATGCTGTGTGGTGATAAGTCGTAGAAATGACAATGTGTTCAAGTGCCCTGAATCCTCCCACTCCGTAACATTCAATAACAACAACAGCAACAACAACAACAACATGAGCAAATGTAATATTCGTTAAAACGCGACCGCGAACTGCCTGTGGCTGACCTCGCCGACCGCGGCAAAAACGGAGAACTCTCGCAAAATATGCTTGAGTTAACATAGACCAGAATGGCGGAAAATGGGCAGGCGCGGACCTCCGCGCCAAAACAACGTTCAAATGGATGGGCGACAGCCTCAGCTGCTCGCCCACGACCAAGCCGCTCCCAAGCGGAACGAAAGTTTGTGAACATCGACATAATAATGGACACGGTTCCAGAAGGAACCCCACTTTATATGGATCAGGACCAGGTTACCATGGAAATCCATTGGCCGGCCGGTTCCGACCCCGCGGACATACAAGCCCAGCTACATGGACCAATGGGCAAGGCCATTTTAAACAGATTACGGGCGATAATACCGCCCGTTGAGGCAGAGGGGCTGCTCGGGCCGCGAATCGGCAAATGCCCGCAACGGGCACTCCCCAGCGGCGTGATGGTGCAAGAGATCAGGATCTTGATCCGGAAAGGTGGTCTGGCAATGCTTACCACCTCGCCAGCAGTCCGGGGAGGACGGCTCCAGCTGGGGCCAGTCCAACTCCTACCCAGCAGCCCACCGGTGGAAGTGGAGCTGCCCATCACGAACCTATACAAGGCAGAACGCCCCCACTGGGAGATCAAGGGGATCCCCACCAACCTGGTCCCTAGAGCCATCCCTGGATTCCTTGCCCTCTGCTACTCCACCCCGCGGTTCAGGTGGGATGAAACAGACATCCATGAGCTGAATCCCACTATGATGGCAGACACCTGGCAAATCAAGGTGGCGCAGGACACCCCTGGTCTACCGGGCGAGCAACACTACGAACTCGGCAGGGCGGGGGAGGTAACCACGTCCGGCGTACTGAGGGCTTCCAGACTGAAACGGAACGATCAGGAGGGACCCTTCACTATGCCGTGCATAGCACCACCACGGAAGGAGCTGGCGCGCCAGACACAGCAGTTACAGCAAATGTGACGGCAGGGCCATACTGCACAGTCTGTTGCTGCCCCGGGCCAACCATGCCCCTCGAACGGTGGAGAGGGCCCTCGTATGCAGCGGCCGTGATGCGGCCAAGATGGGGCATGGAGCCAGTCATGGGAACAGGGCCCCAGCTAGCGCCCATGGGGAGGGGGCCCAACCCGGAGCTGCAGCCATATGTCGCACCCCCACCTGTGCCGCCTGCATCAGCCATCGCCACCACAAATGTAGCTGGTGTAACCGCCACCACCATCACCACGGCCGCAAACGTCCCAGCCGCCATGGCAGATACCAATCATGCAGCCAGCAACCCCGTGATCCCTGCTCAGCCAGGACAGGCGGCCCCTGCAACTGCTGCAATGGTGGGACCCCAGCAGGCCTCACCCCAGCTGCAGGCCCCGTCCCAGCTGCGGGCCCCGCCACCATCATCACCCTTGCTGAGGCAGCCGCCACCACTGGCCCCACAACAGGCGGGCCCCACGGCGGCGGCAGCAGCTCAAATAGTCCCATGGACACCAGCTCAACAAGGGTTAGGGGCACAGGCCGGCCCCACGGTGGTGGAAGAGGAAACCGCAACCTACAGGGAGCGCGACACCACACTGGCGGCACCACGGTAGCAAGAGCCACCAGCAGTCAATAGTTCGTGCCCGGTGCTCGTCCTTTTCTCGGGGCGAGCCGCCCACAGTGTAATGGGGGTAGCACATGATTGTGTTCAGTGATGCGTGACGGTGTTTTTCGGACTGTTTTTTATCCGTGCTGTCATGGCCTTACGGTGCTGAGCATTGTTTCCGTCGTGCTAAAATTGTCAATAAATGAGGATGTTACCAACTGCAGCTGACAAACTATTTGCCCATGGGGCGATGTGTTCAGGGCAAGGTTTGGCCAGTTTGGTGCTTTTACCTGCTTATCCACACTCCTTGTTCCGTCTGGACTGTTCAGAAACTCTTGACAAAGCCATGCTTAAAAAACGCCGTATGTTACTTATGGTTTTGGGCATGCAGGAGGTGAACGTGTCGCATTATTCTGTACCGACGTATACCTGTACCGACGTATATAAATGTCATAGCATGTTCAAGTCAAGCCTGAACAATCAGGAAAATGAGTTTCAACGTAGGTGCAGGCTTTTACACACCATCTTTATCTCCATAACACACCCTACAGCTAACGCATATAACGGAGGCAGGAAATTTATGCAAACAAATGAGCATATACACAAAAACACTCTGTTAATCTCTAGCCCGCCGAACACTTCTGTACGACAAGACACGGTTTCCGCCAGGAGTCAAGCGCACTGGAAGCACCAGACGCATTGTTGCTCGACAAACACGACGCATACAGGTAGCGTAGATATCATACACGTCGCTCTATCTCTTAACTAACCACGCTCTGTTTACACACACATAGAAGGAACCAACCAGCTCGACTCAAAAAATATGACGCTATCATTCGACATCATCCTCACGACATCATCCTCCACCTGACGGTTCAGAGAACAGAAACAGCACCGCCTCTCTCAAGTTATCTTCCAAAGATGAAACAAAACGCAGGAAAGATCAGCACAGCTTGCATGCACGGCCGTAAAGGTAGCATCGCATAAAACTCACTGAAAAACAATCTATACAATTCAATACATACATCTCTGCCCATCTACCACTTTTAAACATACATCTCTACCCATCTACCACTGTCGCAATCCCGAAAGATAACGGGCGTTGGAGCTACTGCACGCGCGCGGGAGAGGGGGAAAACGACGTCAGCACCTCAGAACCTGTCACCGAAAACCCTCTGCATAAAATACACACAGGTACACACAAAAAATGCACAAAAAAGTACACACGCATTAACACTCCACTCCGCTATTAATGCAAGTTGCCAGCCTGGCAGGCAGGCATACAAACACGCCTCCACACACGAGCTTTCTTTCTAATACTACTCGACAGCAGCGACACAACTACGCATAAATGAAACATTTTAGGCAGCGCGCACGGCTATTTTTTCACGATAGGCCACAGCCGCACAATGACTGTCGTGATAGCGGCGGCGACGCTTACAGCAGCCAGGAGCAGCAGCAGCAGCGGCAGCAGTGTACACACACGGTGGTGGATCTTCAGCGGTACCAGTAGACCTTCTCGGGGCCACTCTCATCCGGAGTCACCCACGTGCACGAGCCCAGCTCCTCCCACAGCGACGCTTACAGCAGCCAGGAGCAGCAGCAGCAGCGGCAGCAGTGTACACACACGGTGGTGGATCTTCAGCGGTACCAGTAGACCTTCTCGGGGCCACTCTCATCCGGAGTCACCCACGTGCACGAGCCCAGCTCCTCCCACAGCGCGCGGAACACATTGCGATTGTCATATGCATAATAATCGCCCAAAACCTGAGGACAGCAGCAGCAGGCGGAGGCGGCAGTGGTGAGGGCAGCAGCAAATGTAGTGTACGGCACGACTGTGACGGCATGGGTTGGCTGATGACATGTTGCCTTGACGCGAGGCAACCAACGGCCGATGGCTTCGCATCGCAATAGCTGCTTCCCACAATAACTTGAGTTGAACCTTTCCCGTCGTCAGCAAAGATTACGTGGCATAAGCATATGACCGACGTAAAACCAAAACAGTGGCGAATCGCTTTGGTCAAAAACTCGTGCTATCATAATTCGATACGGCGTATTGCATTGTATGCGCTCAGCTGCGCGGAGATGCCGTCACAAGGTACTTATTTGCATCCACAAGGGCTTTTCGACGCAGCTCGCGTCACGGGTCCAGCATACAATGCGCTTCGACAGACACAAACACAAACACACAATCACCGGGCTCTTGTCATCACTCCATTGTTGCAGCATCCTTTATACACGTCGTCGTAGACTACGGAGGACTAATTCGCTCGAGGGGAATGCCGATGGTGGTACACGCGCGGTAACGTTTTGTTCGCATACCATCAACGGCATTTCCCTCATCGCAGCTCTGCAGACCCACACGCACCTTTTTGATCGCCTGGGTTGCCTCCTGGGCATGGTAGTGTGGCATGTACGAGAACAGGTGATGCGCCACGTGGGTGTCGCCAATGTGGTGAAACACGTGATCCAGAATGCCGTACGAACGGTCAACGGTGGCCATGGCACCTCGAAGCCAGTCCCACTCACCCTCGCCGTAGTGGGGCAGTTTAGGGTGCGTGTGTTGCAGGAAAGTGATCATAACCTGGAGGGAATAACGGAGTTGAGGATTTGCGCACGCGGATGGATTTTCACGGCGGCTTGTTGTAGGAGAGCTCACATGCACCGGGAAAAGAAAATGTAAAGGCTCAACGCGGATTCGCGGGACCAAGATTCGCAGAATTCACAAAGTCCATTAAGGTGGAAGCAACATATACCCACTCTCCTTCGCGCTCCTTCACGATTACGTGGGGGTGATGAGGATGGCTGAGATAACCTAAGCCATGACGTGCAATTGTGATTTAGGATAGGATACCTTTATTCTTTTCTTCACACGACGGTTATCGACCCGTATAGTTTTATCCCCTGCTAAGGCTGCTTTATGCATTATGTTTAAGCTTTTCAGGTCCTCCAAATCCCCTCGGATCTCAGCCGCCACACTTTAAAGTCATTTGGTGCAATATGAGACGAAAGCAGTTATGTAATGAAATTGGAGTCAAACGTGGGGATGGGTTCAGGAAACAAAAAAAAGTAAAAGGAGGCTGGCATGTGTCATTTCGGGTGAGTTCCTCACCCCCACTACACAGCTATGAACACCCTTGTCGTCTGGCCCCGCTTCATGTTTTGGACAGCTTCCGTGTACGGCACCCAGGTACGGCATTACGTGCAACGGCTGTACGAACTCACCAACCAGTGGTTCACGACTAGGTAGGGAATGAGGTAGGTCTTCAGAAGCCACAGGAACCCAAAGGCGCGCGATAGAGCTCCCAAGCCGCCAATCACGGCCACCAGCGCAATATCACTGATGATAACTTCCATTCGTTCGCGCTTGGTGGTGAAGATGGGCGAGGAAGGGTCGAAGTGATTTGCCCAGCTGCGGAAGGACATTCGCATCACATATCAAAAACATTCCAAATTGCTGGGATAATATAGCAAAGAATAAAAATGATTTGATGAGGTGACCTTTTCTTGCATTCACTCATCGTATAGTACTAGTACTCCAGCGCCACCTACCTCCCCTTACTCTCACAAACCCTCCAGCTGCCCCCTCGCCTTTCCCCCTTCCCTTCCCCCTGCTACCCCCTCTCCAGGTCTTCCCACCAATAACTTCCCCCTTCTTCACTCCAACTGTTCCGTTACCCATTCACCCACAGCTCACCGGTCGTAGTAGTGTCCCGACACATTGAACAGCAGGTAGAGTGGCCAGCCTAGCACCTGCTGCACGAAGATGTGACCCACCTTGTAGATGGGGTTCTTCTGGTACCAGGGAACCTGTCGAAAGGGAAAGGTATGACATGTGAAATAGCACTTAAGAGGGTGAGGGGGGCGACAAGGATGGAATTCTGGCAGAACCTCCCCAAAAGCCAGGCAGCCCGACTTCATGCCATAACCAACCATTGCTTGTCCTTCTTCCGACGTACCTCGCTGCCCGGCGGCTTGATGGTTGGGACGAACACCTCGTCGAGATCGGTACTACCCGTGTGCTGGTGGTGGCGCCGGTGGGAATGTTTCCTGTTTACATTACCCAGCGACATTGGGACATGGCGACGGGGGACGGCGGCGACGTTAGCACTGCAGCGTGGGTAGTCTGGGGGGAAGGACCCATCTGGCCATTAAGGCCAAGGATCCGGGAAATCCTGCGGTGTCCGCAATACAGTCCTTCCTAAAGCTTAGGCACTTGATGGCTGCCACTGTATCTGCAGCGGGGCCCCCGTTGTACATCCCTCATAAATCCCCCTCCTCTTACCAGCTGTAGTAGGGCACCAGCAGTAGCGAATGGAAGACTAGACCGACGGCGTCGTTGAGGGTTTCCGAATCAGAGAAAGCACCGTGGCCGCATTCGTGCGCGATGACCCAGATGCCGGTGGCCACAGCCCCCTGCCAGAACCAGTAGGTAGGCCACAGAAGACCGTATGCTAGCCACCTAGCACGGGCAAAAGAAATTGAACATGGAGTCCGCAAGTTGATTATACCCACTTCAACGTGTTACGCACAAAAATTGCGTCCATACTTCAGAGGTAAGAAAAGGTCCGGGACTCATTTAAGGCATTGCTGGCGGAAAGAGAGGTTGGCGGGCTTCCTGAGAGACGGTGGCTAGCCCCGCCCTCACTATATCAACCTCTGCGTAGGTGTAACCATTCTTTTGGGATACAACCCAGGCCTTACGTCCAGCAGTGCGTGTTGATTACCAACTATGTACTTATGGAGAAAGGGCACACCTTGGGACAGCTGGATGATCGATCCAGTTCGATGCGTAAGCCATCAGGCCGCAAAGCAGCACATCGACGACCTGCACCGTACAAGCAGCTCGATTTTATGGTTTTGTGGCGCAGTAGGAGCCGCTTGCTTTCAGTAGCAATGGAAAACGAGTGAAAAGAAGACCTAAAGTACTCCGCCTTTACTGACCAAGTAGCTCAGGCTCTTGGCTGCAGACCTCTTGAAGCAGTGCGCCGGAATGGCCTTGCGGATTTCACCAAGGGAGAACTCAGGCTTGCTCGAAGGATACCTTTCCCTACGTAAGCTGCCGTCCTTCATCGGCGAGGGATCAGGGGGCGTTGTCGGAGCGGCTCCCCTTCGCTTAATGACCCCCATTTTGAAACAATACAGAGCTCGTTAATCGATCTAAAAATGTGCTTCCTCTGACAGCCCGTAATGGGGGGTATACCGGGCTAATCAATCTATAATGTTACTGCCTTCCAAATGATCAGAACTCCGTAGCACAGCTCTGTGATCAAAGCAAATAACATAAAACACCTTTGTAGGCCTGGGATAGCAAATCGGGCAACGACCTCATGCGGCCATTTCTCGTACGGGCGTTAACCCTTGTCAACTCATTTCCCCTCTGCACGGCCTCAACAGCCTCTCTTGTGATGCCAATTTTGCATCAAATTCGCATCTAGTAAGTAACAGTTCTGAAGCGGTTAAGGATTTGGCTCTGGTAATCGGTTGCGTTATGCTTTACACCGTTTTATCTCTCAAAGCAAACAGCTAGCGTGTCTTCGTCATGCTGAAGTGTCAGATAGAAGGGGGGGCAAGCGTTGCGTGCGTTGCATTGAGTTGCGTGCGTTACGAGGGTTGCGTTGCATTGAGTTGCGTGCGTTACGAGGGTTGCTGTCCAAGCCAACCTCGTTCTCATACAGTCCCCTCGCCCACACCTTCACTCGACCTGTAACGAGCATGAGCCGTTACATTGCTCTCATTCGCCTATTTGTTATCGTTCGCCTTTGTAATTCTGTACTCGCGATCGGGCCCACGCTTTACCTGTTGCGCTTTGCCGTACTTGCGTCGGTGAGCAGTCAATAAGACGGCTCACCAACCATCACTCGGGGGCCTTCGGTCCCATCAGTCATGTGGAGGGGCCATAAATAGGGCGACGACAAGGTTTTACAATGGTCATCAAGACGAATGGCAGGACTGGGGGCGAATTTGAGCCCAAAGAGGGTTCAGTGAAACAAGGCTGTCCGCTGTCAATTGAGTTGTTTGGACTTTTCATTTAAGCCCTTGCCGATGACATCAATATGCATGAGGGTGTTAACACCGCGGGGGCCCGGCCAGGGGATGCACCGAAGGTTTGCAATGAGCGAGTGTCCATCCTCCTCTATGCCGATGACGTTAGCCTCCTGGCAACGACACAGGAGCTGCTCAAAATCGTGGACATGTTTTGTAAATAATTTGGGGTGCGACCTCGTTTTTGCGAGTGACAGCGACGCAAGGAGTGGTGCTCAAGCATCGTGTTGTGAGCTCAGGATGGCTGGTGGTGCCGTACCAGCTAAGAAGGGTGCGCAATATCTGGGTATAGTGTATGGACCAGAACGGTCGTTTCGTGCCGGCCGCCAGCAGTTGTACGACATAGCTAGGGCAGCTATGTTCGTGCTGAGTACAACATTGGATAAGCTAAGTTGTTCACCATGGATGTGAGGATGAGGTGTTTTGATACTCAGGTACGAGCAATACTGTTGTACGGTTGTCAAGTGTGGGGGTTTTGCTTATATTGGTTGAAGTCTTGGACAGGCTCAGAGGCGAAGTCATCCGAGTAACCTTGCTGAGGGGCCCTTCGAGGCATGTCTGAAAGGTGGAGCGGTGCAGCTCCAGGCATCGTTCATGCGTCAAAGTGTTGGAGCTGACAGACCAGTGCGCCGCCTCCTGTTCGCTGAATTGTCACGGCTTCCTCTACACTAACCACGTTTTCAAGCAGATTGTGACGTTTTGGAACCGAGTCTGTTGACAGCGTGGGTCTGTGGCACACCAAGTTTTGCGACAGGAGATCGCAGAGGCTCTTAACTCCGAAGGGGGCGGAATGGGGTCACCACTCCTCCGTTTTCTGAATTTTCTTGGGCATGACGTATGGAAAGAGGCGCTGCAAGAGGCAGATGAACAAGTGGAATGGCTGATTAATAGGCCATTGCCGGAAGGTGTGGTATCGGAGTTCAAGGATCGGTTGATGAGCGGTTGGAATCGTACGCATCTAGATGTCCACTCAGACGTGTACACGTACCCATAAGCACCCGGGAATCCACACGGTAAAGTATAAGCATTGGATGGGTCTGGCGGATGAGTAAGCGGGCAGGAAGGAGGTGCTCCCGCATGTTACAACACTTATCCCGCGTTCAGCGAATTGTAAGCTGATGCAGTTTAGGCCTTGCTGTTGGACGTTGGCGGCGAACAGAGAACGCAAGGGGCGGCGTTATGTACCTAGGGAGGAGCTGGTATGGCCCTGCTGCGGCACTGATAGCCAAATTGAAGATGAGAAGCATGTCTTGTTGGACTGTCCGGTGTACGGCGAATCTGATATGGATTTCCCACGCTTTGAGGATATGAAAGACACTATGATGTGGGAACCTGAACGCCTGGCAAAGATGCTGGAGCGTATGTGGTCCCACCGCAACTCTATCGTTCGCTTTGGTCGTTAGTCTCCCTTATCACTTGCTTTGTCTGGAGTGGGAGGTAGAATAGTGCTTAAAGGCGATCTGGCAGCCCTTGAGCCCTCGGCTCGTATTGGGCGGTTTGCAGGTACGGGGTACGCAGCCCCACGACCATGTAACGCACACACACACATGCATGTGACAAGACAGTATCCGGTCCCGAGCGCTCGCCCCGGTGTGACGCCACACTAGCATATCAACACCCACCCAAGTCATGGTACCAGATACACACAACCCAAGCACGCACCCCAGCCCCGACCAACTGGTCAAAACGGCTTTCACGTGAGAATGCGGTCAAACTTATCACACAGACCACCAAAGCAAAATTAGCTCGCGAAGAGGGACCAAGAAATACGTCCACAGCAACAACCTACGTAAAAACCCCATCGCCACAACGTCGAACAAGCCAAATGACAATCAAGGCACCATGACGGCGAATCAGGCAACAGCCGGCCTCATATGTTTTAAAACAAAGCTTCTTCATTGAACAGTTGCAGCGAGCAACGCAAAGCACACCGTAGCAACGCAGCAGTGTCACCCAAATGTAGCCTCCAGCCTGTTTCGTAGCTGCCCGCCACAAAGGCTCACCCCGGCCTGGGTCTCAGGCTTCTCACACTCTCCCCGAACTGACTCGGAACAAGGCATGACCCCCCAGCACCCGTCAGCCCAAGGAGACAGAAACCGTCGCCGCCTGTAATCACTCGGCTTTCCTTTCCCATCGCCCTTCCAACCCAATGACACGGTTAGATTTTCGAGGTCAGACCACACCAACAGCACTGCATCATCGCGAAGCGTCCCCTAACCACCAGCCTAGCCAGCTGATCGACGGCCGCGGCCGCGCCCCCGGCCCCCACCTTCCTGGGCCCTTCGACCGTTACGTGCCCCCCACTCCTCATCCCCATCTTCCTCCTCGCTGCTCTCGCTCGCCAGCAGTACCGCCCAATTATGCGCGCCCTTGGCCGCCCGGCGCCGCGGCTGGCGTGTAGCACCTTCCGGTCCCCCATTCCCATGATTATCCAAACCCCGTACGCCGTTGCTCCCTCGTCGCGCCGCCCTTGCGGACCTTCGCGTCCGGGCACTGGGGCTAGCGGCTTCCTCCTCTTCGTCGTCATCATCCTCCCAGTCCTCATCTTCCTCCTCCATGACTGTAGTCCGGCTGGCGCGGCGACCGCGGCCCGCGCCGCGGCCACCCTCCGCTTGGCCTGCTTGCTGTTGCCCCTGACCCTGCGTTTGCGTCTGCCGCGGTTGAGCCGCCGCGGGCAGCTGCACGCCGTGCAGGTGGTGGTGCGCCTGCAGGTGGTGCGGCCCCTGCGCCATAATGCCCATGCCGGCCAGCCCGTCCGTCAGCCGCTGACACGTCTGCAGGCCGAGCCCAACGCCGCCGCCCGCCGCAAGGTTCAGGTTAAAGCCCGCCAACGACTGCGGGAAGCCCTGGAGCGATTGGAAGGCAGCGGGCAGGCCGCCAATGCCACCAAGACCTCCGAGGCCCCCAATACCGCCCGTTGCCTGACTTTGCAAGGCGCTAGCTAATGGTATGCCGCGCGAGGACGCGGCGGCTGCAGCGGCCGCAGCAGCAGTTGAGAACAGTGGCGGTTGTTGCTTGCCCTGCTGCGCCAGGCCGCCAACGGATCCACCAGCAGCCGCTGCCGCTGCCGCAGCGGCCGCCGCGTTGGCAAACACCTGCGCCGCAGGTGTGCCAGCCGCCAATTGCTGCAATGCACTGGTCCGCGCGTTGCCCATGAGGTTGTTAGCGGCGTTCTGGCCACCTGCCGATGCTGCAGCGGCAGCAGCGAGCAGGATGGAAGTCGCAGCGGCCGTGAGCGCATTGTTGGACCCACCGGTGCCTGCACCGCCACCCAGACCTTGCATACTTGTCAGGAACTGCATCGACATCGCCGGGGACTGGGCAAGCATGGCTGCCGCCGCCGAGTTGCTGAGCAGCGCAGGTCCAGCGCCTGACGACGCACCAACGGACATTGCAAGTGGCTGCGCTTGGCTTGTTAAAGCCGCCACGGCAGCCGGAACTGCCCCAGATGTCCCCGTCGCAATCGTTTGTGCTTCCGTCGTGGCTGCAGCAGCAGTTGCAGCTGCCCCGGTCGCGGCAGCCAGGTTAGCAGCGCCACCGTTACCGGCGGTGGTAGAGGCGGCAGTCGCGGGAGTGGAGTCCTGCTTAGTGGCGCCACGCTGCAGCTGTCCTGCAGCAGCGTTTGGCAGCGGATGATCACTGCGATTCGCAGTTGACTCTTGTGCTGTTTGCTCTGCAGCGCCCGATCCCCCGGCATTTGCCGTCTGGACCACTGCAGATTCAGTCGGCGGAGCTTCCACCGATAAGCCTGCCGCAGCCGTCGCAACCGCTTCCTCCGTTTTGCTGGTAAGTTTTGCGGAGGACTCTACAGATGCCTTTGTAACAATTGCGGCGGAGGATTGGGGCTCCGCGGCATTTGGCCCAGACGGCTGCTTTGGCTTTTCTGCCAGCGACTGCTGTTGTTGCCCGACTTGCGTTTGGGGTTGGCCTTCTTGCTGCTGCGGTTGCTGCTGAAGTCCTTGGACGCTTGGCGCTACTTCCAGCTGGCCACCAACGGCAGGTGGTGGTAGTTGCTCCTGCGCATCTGCCGACTGCATTTCCAAGGACCCCGGCTGCTGCTGCTGCTGCTGTGATGAATGGCCTTGTTGCTCCCGTGCCTCAGTCGGCGCAAGCACCGGTACCGAGGGCGTCAGCTCCTGCGGCTTTGCCTTCGATGGGCAATGTAAAGTAATCGGCAGCTCTGCAGCAGCAATATCAGCAGCTGCTGTCCTGCCCTCTACCGGCGGGACCGCTTGCTGTGGGGTTTGTACCGACGAAGCTTGCGGACCAGAAGGCTGCTTGTGCTGCAGCGACGGTAGCGGTTGTGATACCTGTTCGAGTGGGACTTGCGACTGTGCTTGTGGCAACGGAGGCCTTCCTGACGGTGCGGCCGGTGACACCGACACTGGAGCTGCTGCTGGTGGCAGAGGTGCAGCAGTCGTCATCGCCGTCGTCATCGGCAGAGATGGTGGCCGCTGCAGCGCTTGGCCTTGCGCGCCGGATGGCGACGGCTGCAGTACAGTAGGGGGCGACGATGTGCGCTGCGCGACGGCCTGTTGCACGATGACAGGCTGGGACAGTACCGGAACGCTCGCCGTCGAGCCGGGTGTGGGCGGCATCGCCGTAATACCCACCATTGGCGGTTGATACGGTTGGTACGGTTGGTAGTGGCCGTACGTTGCGGACGGTGGCGCGCTGTCCGGGCCGTCTACCTGCAACTCTGGTGATACAAGCGTCAGCCCTTCTTTAAGTTTAAAGCTGCTGCTATAGCGCGGGGTCTTGTTGCCAACCTTAGCACGCTCCTTTGCCTGGCTGGCCGCTGCCCCACCACCGGCCATGTTAGCCTGGTTCTGCTGGCCGCCTGAGGCATTGCTGCCTCCCTTGTTACGGCGCCGCTGGCCCTCTGCAAGTGCATGGCGCAAGCAGCAAGTTTGATATATGCCGCGGAGCAAAGCCCAGCAAGATGATTGTGCGGTGAAACCATCGTTTTCCGGACATGGTTCCCGCTGGTCTGACCGCGGTGTGTGCTTGTTATGCACGTGTGACCAGAAGGGGTAGTACCCGACACCACATACACAGCACAGTACAGCTATAATGGGCTCAGATGGTCGTACACCCGCGCCGTACGCACCCTAACTATCCCTGAGAACCCTGCTTCGCCTGCTCTCGCCAAGGCCATGAACAGACTGGTGCCACGCATCCGCACGCAGCGCCGTACGCACCTGCGACTACCGCCGCATAACGCCGATGCTCTTCCTCTTCCATAATACGGTGCCGCGCCGCATAGGCCTCGTCGCTGGTGTCTTCACTGCTGCTGCTGGACCCCTCGTCGTCGCCAGCACCGCTGTCGCTGTAGGCCCCCATGATAGCAGCAGCTCCCCCGCCCACGCCACCCCCGACTACCGCCCCTCCCTCATCGTCCGACGTGCTCAGCACACCGCGACCGGCGCCGGGCCCCATGCCCATGTCCTCGTCGTACTCCTCGCCAGACGCGCATAGGCCCCTTCGGCGTCGCTTTCGCAGGACTACCTGGATCTCCGGAGGGACCGTATCGAGCGCAGCGGGACCTGCACGCCGGATCCAGCAGATAGGGCGCTTCACAATGCAATCCAGCAAGCATTATCCGTAGCCTTCTAAAGCGACAATGCCAGGGGCTAATGCACGCTCTCGGTCACAGAATGCTAGTTTTAAGCCTGTCTTCCCTCCGCCGGAGTACAGCCCCAGTCAGCATCCCAAGATAAGTCCTCGCCGTAGAGCATGCATTGCGCATCAAAACACAACTCCGTTGTAACTAATGTAGTTAACCTAGGCTCCGCCAGTCAACCAGGTCTGGATGTGCGGCGTAGCTGACCGCTGTCCCTACCACATTTTACAACCGACTCATTTCGAGGCTGGGTAATGTCTACGCCCGCCTTTGTATTTTTTGCCGCAACGGCTCCACATGCAGAGAACTTACCTGTCGTATGGTAGTGCTGAGACCAAGTGGTTGCCGCCACGATGCGCGCACGGAACTCATCCGGGCCCAACTCACGGACAGGCGGAATGACAATGGCGGTCACGGACTGCGCAGCGTGAACCACGACAGGACATGATAAGGGACATGAGCATGGTTTGAGCAAAACAGTGGCATAAAGCATACGGCACATACGCAGTGCTAGCACTACCTCCTTCTAGGTCACAGCAACCGCCTTTCATAAAGGATTCATAAGCCGTGAAGCGGCAACACACGAGACGGAGCTGGTGGATTCAGCGCTACCTCTCAACGATCCCACTGTTACATAACCGCTTCTGCTGTCCGCTCCACCTGCTTTTCATCTCTCTCCCGCTAAGCTCGCAGTAAATACCCTGGCCACCGTATCGGCCATCTAGCCTGGCCCATGTTCCCTGACGTACCGCGCTCCGGTCCAGCGACGTACGACCATACGACGCCAATGGCGTGCCTATGTCGCCAGCCAGCAGCTCCACCTCGCTGCGTTTTCGTTTGCCTCCGGTGCCAGTGCTCTTGCAGCTGGGCAGGCCCATCGAGTCAAAGCGCGTCAGGACCGTCAGGCTACCCGGCCGCCGGCCCTGGCCGCTGGACTGCCGCTTGACAGCTTCGTGGCCGGCCAAGGGCCCAGAAGGCAGCATCTGTGTTCCTGGCGCTCCTGCCGTTGCCAACGAACCCGAGCTTGCAAGTTGGTAGCTGGGGACACGGCTGGCACAAGGCCCGTGCGTCCGGCCCACGGCCAGCCTAGTGGGGTCAAACTTGTACGTATCCTGCAGCCGCGCTCGCACGACTGAAAGCCTCTGCTCCAATAGCTCCAGGGACGCGAAGATTGCGCCTGACAGCATCTTGTCTGACTCCCCTTCGTCACAGGGCGGCAGCTGCTGCGGTAGCAGCGGTAGCGGCTGCACTGCTGGTCGCCCGGGACCCTGCTGCGACTGTGACTGCCTGAGTGAGGCTGCCTGGGGCTGCCCAGGCTGCGACGGCGGCTTGGGTGGCGGCATCGTGCGGCAGAGCTCCTCAGAGCGCCCTGAAGCGCCCGAATCTGAAACACCGGAACCTGAAGCATGCAGCTGGCGGTCGGAGTCACAACGGACGGCGGCATTGGGGCCGGCCGCCTGGGGTGGGTCAGCAGGAGCGTCCGTTTGAGCCACCGGCGTCGAGACGTCATTGACCAGCGGAGAGGCGGCCGCAGCTGGGCCTTGCGTCGACGGGCGGAGCCGGAAGTAGAGAGAGCTAGATACGCGGCCTGCAGACATGAACTCTCCTGCTGCAGAGACCAGCGCTTCCCGCTCCGCGCCGCACGGTGCAGCTGCCAGGCCGGCTGCCGCCGCAAGCAACCCCACTGCGGGCCGGCCCAACCCCGCATTAAGCGCATTGCCGACGATGCCCTCCTCCCCCGCTGCCTTCCGCTGCTGCAGCCAATTGATCTGGGTCTGTAATCGCTCCTGCTGGCTCCGGAGCTCCCGCATCCGCAGCTCTAACCAACGAGCTCTGAGCTCTACAGGCCGGCGTGCCTGCCGCCACTCCTGGCTGGGTACAGGGATCGTGCTTTGTCCCGCAGCTCCCTGCGCAGCGCCTTCCGCACTTGAAGCACCACCGCCGCCGCCCCCTCGCCCATCTCCTTTCTGTCTCTTAGGACAAGAATATGGGATACGTACGGCGGCTGTCCGTAGCTGCGAGAGAAGCGCGTCCAACGGCAGTGCGTGCGAGGGTCCCAGCCCCGGCAGGCTTCGGCTGGCCGCTGCAGCCGCTGTCGCGGCCGCAGCATCCGTACCCACAACCAGCAAAGGCTGATCATCTTCATCGGATATGTAGCCGACTAGCGGATCACGTGGCGCCGGCGGAAGCAATATGGCAGGGAAGGGCTGTCGCGCCTTGCCTGTCGTAGGACCCGACCCGGTCATCGGCAAGCCGGCCCCGTCAACACCGCCCTCTGGTGACGGTGGTCCGGACATGCTGGTTCGCGGAACGGCAGCGTCCAAACCCATCCCTTCGCCGTTCTGCTCTGGCGCTTGCAGAAGACCGGATACAGTTGCGGTGCCTATCGGAGACGTGGCGATGTCCATGCGTCCTTCAGTAACTGTTGCCGACGCGCTGGAAGCCGGGGCCTGGGCCCCCGCAGCCTGCCCTGCAGCCTGTTGGGCTCCGAGCGGGTGCAGCACCGCAATAGCTTTGCGGACTTCCAGCTCATAGTTAGCCAAGACTTTGTTACCATTTTTCTGTAAGTTTAACGCTGCCCTATGCACAAGCGTTTTGTTTGAGTTGAACCGGCGAGCGTTCTCATGGATGAGGTTGAAGTCATCCCGCAGCTGCCGCCACGTCTGGTATAAACCAGCGGCAATCTTCTCACGCATATCAGCGAAGCACATTGGCTGCTTAATTATGCTGTAATAATTTGGCGCCTCCTCTTCGCGGACTGGTCGCTGAAAGAAGCCCTCCTTGTCCAGCATGGCGATGCGGTTGAGAAAAGCCAGCAAGTACTCCGTCGGCTGCTTGAACGGGTCAGGCATTGCGCCTGGGGTATCGAGGCTGCCCGTTGTCCGCTGCTGCATGGTAACGGGCTTCTCCCTTGCTAAAAAGCTGCCAGGCTGGCCGAGCTCCGGGACAAGAGCTCACGGAAGTCGCCAACAGCAGACTGGTCTGGAAAATGAGCAGCGGTGAAAGCTGTAACTGCTATATTTGCCAGTCTTCCTGGAAGCCACGCCAGCACTTCAGGAGCGCTGAACGTAAGGACAAGATGCGCCGCGCTCAGCGGCTAGCCCACTACCCCATGGCCTTGCGGGGCTGCGGGAGCTCCCAGAGGTCCCCAGTGTCACCCTAAATGCCTGGAAACCAGCAACGCTTATGGAGCTGAGTCGCCCCCGGCGTTGACAAAGCGGAAATGGCGGGGTTGACGCAGGCGCAGTCCGCCGGAGACGCACTGCACTTCCACCGAGCGTTTATGGCCAGAGCAACCCTAACTGCTGGTTGCTTACCACGCCAAACGCCTGAACCCTGATACAGTGCGACCTTCTGAGGCTGAAAAGCAGATGCCGCACACCAAGTCCGAGCTGACAACCAAATTCAAACTTTTCAGCACGTAGCTAAGCCGCCTGGTCTCGTCAAAATAGTAAAGGTAAGAAGTTGAAAAAAGTGTCAAGCATCTTCGTAGATCAGGCCTCGGAGACTTGACTACTCAGGACGGAGCGTCCACACATACACGGATGCATTTCTGCCTAAAGATGTTTGTTTACTTCAGCTTGGCAACAGGCCAATTCGGCGAGCCGCTCGGTCCCCGTCGGTCAAGCAAGCCGTACCCAGGATAGAAAGAAAGCTACGCCGTTGCCCGTAATGTCATTTTGCTTAGACAGTTACACTTCTCTTTATGTTTGCACTCTCCTATGCAATACGCGCCCTGTAGGGGTAACACTGGCAGTTGTCTGAACACTCCAGATGCCCCTAGTTGTTGTCTGTGGGCAGCCGTGCTCCGGCAAGAGCAGCACAGTTGCTAAGCTGCTTCCCTTATTCCAAGAAGTTGGTCTTCCCGTGGAGCTAGTGGATGAGCCTTCTTTGCATCTGGACCGAAATGCGGCGTACACAGGCAAGGCATGAGCATATATGGCGGCTCCGCGTTGCAAGGATCAGCATGTTCTTGTCATGTTTTTATGTTTCAATAGCTCGGAAGCACCTTAATTGTGGGAGCGGGTGTGGGGTTGGCCCCCTGGGTGGCGGGAACCGCTTTACGCAGCATATGGAAGGACGGGGACGGCAACAGCCCTAGGCTGGCAGAGGCAATTTATGCCAGCTTCGGACAAAGGAGGAGGGAGAAGGCAAGGCAAGACTATATGCGAAGCGTAATACCCTTAAAGCCTGCCAAACAACTCCGTATGGGTGGCCGATCCTGTAGAAGCATCTATTCCACGCCGAAATCCGCGGTCGCCGCGGCATTACTTGTCCCTAGTTCGGCGTCTTTCTTCCCATGTAGTAAATCCATGACCTGTCTTCCCCCCGGGTATCCTACCCGTGGGGCATGGTTCTCCCCTACCTCTACTACTCCCTTCGTGCGGTGCTCTCTGCGAGGTGCTTCCCCGTCGCCTCAATTTCATCAGTTTTACTCAGTTCCCCTTCATCGCCATTGTGGCCGCGTGGCTTCTAGACTTGACTTTCCACCCTTTCCCTCCATAGACTTGACTTTCCACCCCTTTCCACCCTTTTCCCCCATGAATGTCCCATCCTCGCTCCTCGTCCCATCCTCTGGGGTGCTTTTTCCTTGAAACGCACGCACCCACGCACCTCCAATGCCTGAGGATTACCGGTCCCGCCGCGAAGGGCCTAAGGGCGCGTAAAACCCACGCAACCCTCCTGAACCTGGGTTTGCAGTTTTCCGCCATCCTTAACCCCAGCCCTATCCCCTCTCGCTCTTTCCCGTACAGGTGTTGTCAACGAGAAGAACACTCGGGCCAAGTTAAAATCGCAGGTGGAACGGCTCGTGGGGCGTAAGAGCGTCACCATCTTGGACTCGATTAATAACATTAAGGTGGGGAAGACTGCCGTAGGCGCTTGCTGTAGGGCTCATGACTAAGGGTTTTCATGGTTTTGTTCGCACATTCAACACTTGATGGATCGTTGAGTAACTTAAAACCTTGATACTACACCCTGCCGCGCCCTGCCTCCTGCAGTTGTTTCTTTGACTTTTGCATGTAATTCCCAGCCTGCCCAACACGGGACGGCCCTCCGCCCGCCTTCTTCCCGAAATCCGTCCCATTGCCCTCCGGTTCCGCTCATCTTCCTTGTCCTGTCCCCTGTCCCCTGCCCTGCAACCCTGTCCTGCACCTAGGGATACCGGTACGAGCTGTGGTGCGTCGCGAGAGCGGCGGGGACGAGGTATTGCATGGTGAGACGTGCTTGGAAGTATTGTACGAGGAAAGGGGATTTGGGGAAAGGAGAGGGCGTCCGGGACAGGACGGTGAAAAACGGAGACGAACGCATGGTGGAGCGGGGAGAGTGGCTCCGCTGTTTCCTGGACGTGAGACAGGGACCCAGACAAGTTGCAAGTTCCGCACAAATGCAGGGGGCGTCTATAAAAGCCGACCCAGACTCCGAGAAAAAAGTAGCCACAGCTATGGGCTATGGGCATCTGCGTTAATAGTACTAAGCATTTCGCGCCTCCGGAAGCCAATGGCCCCCTCATATGTATCTGGAAGGCCATAGGCTGGGCATTTGCAAAAGCCATGCAGCTTGTTCTCGATTACTCCGCAGCCACAAAGCCTGCAGGTACGCACGGCACGCGCACGGCCATTAGGCCGTTAATTAACTTCCCCTTTCCTGTCTGAATCTGAAACACATGAGCACCTCTGATTCAATGGCCAAGGCAGCACAGCCCCGGTGTGAGAGCAATCCGCTCCAGCCCTGCTCCCTTACTACTTGGACATGCTCCTATTCAGTTCAGATACCGACATGCCTGCATGGACCCAGACGTGAACGACACGAATGGGGTGGCTCTGGCATGGATGGGGGAAGAGATTAAATTAAGTAACTTAATAACAGTACATAAATACAATGGTACGTAAAATTTATATGCAGTAACTAATATTGTTATGAACTGGCACGGTTCCATTTACGGGCGCGGGAACATGCGCTTGAGAAGCCGCTGCACCGAGGCGCGATGGACGTCTGGGCGTCCTAAATGCCAAGCCCGTGCCTGCCGCGCTGCCACCTCCTCACCTGAATTCCTCCTTGCTTTTGGACCATGGGACATATTGGCTCTTTGATCGTGCCATGCCAAGAAATCCCGTCGGCTGGGTTGCCGCTTGATTAGTGCGGGTCCGTCTGAGGGTTGAGGGCCTTGTGCCCTTTTCCCAATCCCGTGTCGTTTTCCCTTGGACGCAGCCTTGTGACGTATCTCCATCTGCTCATCTCAACACCCGACAGCATCCTCACTCGATGTTCATTCTCGACATATCGTTCTCGCTTATTAGTCTTTTTTTTTCAAACTTCCGATTTTTGTCTTCGAGCATGTAGCCGGCACCCCAATGCAAGCACCCGTGCCTTTTCCGCCTGCTCCACTCTTGTCCCTGTGCTGCTGCGCGCTCCCGGCCGCAGATAGACCGACCCATCTTCAACATCATTTTCATCATCAGCACAACCACCACCATCAACCCACCTCCGCCACCGCTACCAACCCGCCGACCTCGCACCGCCGCAAGGTACATGTCGACACGGATGTGGCCACGTGCAGCGCCTGGAACGCGGCGCGACCCGAATCGGAGCGATATCGCCAGGAGATGTAGGTGACGTTGTTGGCGGCGGAGTCGTTGTGCGCTGGAGGGAAACGTAGTGTGCTGGAGGGAAACGTAGAGGGCGAAGGCATGCATCTTAAAAGTCAAGAAGGGCTGCTGTCCAAAAAACAAATGCCGGACTGCTGTCCAAAGCCGCAAACTGCCCAAGGCTCCAAGGCAAAGGCAATGACGCAGCTGTCTGAAATTTACAGACATGTTTGCGCGTTGTGTGCCAGTAGCTGTCCTCTGCATCTTGGGAGGTATAGAAGAAGAATACGAGATGTAAGCGTGGGATCAGGGTGATAAGGAGGGGTAGGAAGAGTGGATGGCAAGGGGAGGGGCCCGCCCATCCGCCGCAGCAGAAGGCTGGCTGGGGGGGGCAGGCAGGAAAATGGAGATGGTGTGTTAGGAAAAGGAGATTAAAGCACTGGTCGGTGCGGCGATGGTGGCAGCAGGGAACAGATAAAAGGACAGCCAGGCCGTGTAATGATGGAAGAGATTGCGGGTAAGGTCATTCCCATGTGAGGTCCTGGGACTCAAGGCTCAGCGGGCCGCAGGGCACAGGACGTTGCCGTCCTGGTGGTTGGAAAGCCGTGGCTGGCACAACAGCATGTCAGCATTTGGGATGTAGGCGTACCTTCGCAAACCTCTTCACGCCGCCGCCCTTTGGACTCCCTTATCCCGCCTTTTCTTCTTTTCCAGCTTTGACGACCTAGCCGGGCGCTTCGAGCGGCCAGACTCACGGAATCGTTGGGATGCCCCACTGTTCACATTGCACCCGGCAGGTGTGTGGGGTCGGGGCGGAAGGTGAGGGACAAGGAAGTGGGGGCTAAGGGGGGGCCCAGGTGGTTCTCTGGGTGTTTGATGTTTTACTGGCGAAGGGGCATCATGGTTACAGGAAGGAGGGTACTGGGTTTGGGCAAGAGGCCATCAGGTTTGGGGTTCAGAGAGGCTGCCGTAAGGTGAAGACGTTGGCATCCACTATGAGCTAAGGAGGACCCGTTGAACGCCCAAGTCTCCATCCATTTACCCACACACCCTCCTGTACCAAACATCCGCCGTTTCTCGTGGCTCTCTTTCCTCGTCGCCGCTGGGGTCTCCTCCATTCCGCGACAGCCGGCACCGGCTGCAGCAGCTGCGGCGAGGGCGGTGAGGCTGAGGCGGATGTGCTGGCAGCTGTCGTACGCGCGATGACGGAGGAACAGACCAACCACCAGGCTCGGGTAAGGCACCGGAAAGTCGTGGGAGTATCACCCTCTGTGTCCTCCGTCCTTTTCCCGTCCCGATTTTTTTCTCTTCCCGTACTTTTGCCTTCTGCGTGCATGCATGCTACCCTCTGAAAGCCCTTTCTGGCACCTCCCCACAACCCTGCTCCCTGAAACCCCTCTCCACCCGACCCACACCGCCTCCCTCCCTTAGGTTGCCCGCGACCTGACCCCCACTATGGCGACCTCCAACCCCGCACTACTGGCCACCAACACTCTGCATGAAATAGACCAGGCGGCCCAGGTGTGTGGTGGGATAGCAGGGGCCAGGGATGGCGACTCAGGAGGGCGGCTACGTTTTCAGCAACTGTAGTTGAGCGATCGTTTTAGGTTTAGGATTTTTTTCACGCTCTTTTTGTATCTGTTGTCTCTTCGTTTTGGGGACAACATGGGAGAGGGGAAAGACGAACCACGAGCGAGTGAAGCTGACGCCAAGGAAAGATTGCTGCGGCGGATGTGAAGAAAGCATAACCAACCAGTCGGAGAGGATGACCTCCTGCCATAGTCGGCCAGGAGTACGCAGTGTACAACTGATGTTTCTAATTTCGGGCTCCTCCCCATTTCGCCTCCACCCATCACACATTCAGGAGGTAATCAACACCATCATGGACGCACAGGCCGCAGCAGCCGGCGGCGCCGCCGAGGTGGTGCGCTTCGGTGGGGGCACCAGTGGTCCACCCATGGAGCTTGAGCTCCGTCGCGCCTTGACGCTAGCGGAGCTGCGCCGCCACAAACGCGCCTTCCTCAAGCTCGCCACCAAGATTACGTTTGCTCGCCTGCATGACGCAGCCGCAGCCCGTCGCATGTTTGTGGATTACCTGCGATCTAACTTGGCTGCGGAGGCGGCTGGCGGTGGTGGCTGCGGGACAGAGGATTTCTAGCTAGGGGGGTAACGAGGGGGCGGGCAGGAGCCTACGCAAGGGCGCGTTGGATTTAGGCAGGAGCAGTTTACAAGGGGTGAGGTACCGGATAGTATAAACTCTGGCCGGGTGATAGTGGTCTAGAGGCTTAGATAGGGGCGAATGTGGCAAGGTAGAGGCGAATGTGGCAAGTGGGACAGAGGTCCAGGGAGGTTGGGGAATAAAGCGGTCGGCAAGGGAGGTGGGGGGCTTAACCACGGCGGCTTTTGTCGAGTTCGTTTGGAAGAGGTGCAGGCAAGGCGGTAGACCAAGCCGCCGCGAGAACGGGCAGAGCGCTCTTTACCCCCCGCCAAACCCGCTAAATTTCCTTCTAAGGACCTGGCTTCTGGTACCCTGAAACATGACGTAAAGGAAAACCTATCTTGGCGCAAGCAAGATGGCAATATAGCACAGCACATCTCGTTAAAGCATTCCCGAGCATTGGCCTTCTCCGAATCCTGCAGTCAATTCATCATTCTGCGAATCGGAGCATAGACAGTGTTGCGTTCTGCTGTCAGTGTGCTGGAACGGTGTATGAAATGTCTCGCACGGACGCATCCACGGAAAGCTAATTCGGTAAATTTCCCTTAAAATTCTATAATCAATTAGGAAATTTGCAAACCGTGCGCCTATGGAAATTCTAGACCCTCATAGCCCTTACACGTAAGCTTTGGTGGGGCATTATGCCTTCAGCCCGGGGACCATCCCTAGATGCTAGCGTTCGAGTGACACCGTTTGCAGCGTCACAGGTCGGACGTTGCACGTCATCCATGACAAACACAGCGCAACCGCCCCAAAACTGCACATTTATATGGAGAAATTATCGATAGAGAGTCCAATGATTTGAGAGCCTTGAGAGCTGCCATAAATACAATGTAATGTACGATGTACGAGTCTGCCGCAAACCTACGAAAGGACACATGAAGGAGACTGACAATAAGTCATGAGAAGCATTCTAGGGGGTTCTGCAAGTGACCTAACGAAATGGCGCCCTTTTGTTTTCCTGGTGCTGATGCACTGGGCGATGCGATGAAAAAGTGTCCCTTCTTACACAACATTGCTCAGACTCATGGCACAGAGTATGCCACTAGCCTTGCTTGCAAGTCGACCTGCCCCAGTGGGCATGGTAGCGCGCACCGTCCCGTGCTCACAGAGGATGACGATGGTAGTGACTTTACTAGGACGTTAGCGCTCTTTCACGGGCAGAATGGCGTTCTTCCTTTGCCCCATCTTTCTGTGGCGGAGCAAAAAGTTCTGTACCCTATGGAGCAGCCTATTGCGCCTGCTGAGCCTGAGAGGCCTCGGTGCCCTTTCTCGGCTGGGGTGCCCACTAGCGACACTTCCAGTTTCGACGCTCCTCTTTTTGCGGCTGCTCCTTTTGCCTCGATGTCTATGTCCTGGGGCAGCAATTGGGTAAGGAGTGTACTTGTCATGTTTGGTACCGGCACTTAGTGTCGGCGTGTGATTGCTTATATGATCACGTTCTTGCTTAACCTTGAGTGCCCGGGCTTACAAAATATATACCCTGATTCCACGGTCGTCCCTGCTTGCCCTACAGTTCAATATTCATCACCTGTTTCAGAAGCACCTAAATCAACATCGGGCCCAGCAGCGCAAGCCACCTCAACAGCCGCAGCAGCCCAGAGGAAACCAGTACGGAGGGCTTTCAGGTCCCGGGCTGGGAGGCCCGGGTTCAGCCAGCGCGCACGGCGCCGGCACGACAGGTGGAGGCAAGTGCCCATTGCGAAGAGCTCTGGGCCCTTTAGCCGGCGTTGTCTTCAACAAGCATGGCCATTTATCCTGCCCGGAGCCGATTGTCAAGATGCGTGCTGCGCTAGCAGCAACGCGCCCCGTCCGCGAGCTTCGGCCGCAGGCGCTTCCCATCAAGCTCCTGGCAGTCGCTATGACTACCGCTGTGCTCAATGTGCCTTGCGGTGCGTTTCGTGGTGGAGCAGAACATGGCAGGCCTGGAAAAAGGGGCTAACGATAGAAACCCTGGGAAGACCGCGGGAATACGATTTGGTTGGATTTGATAAGGTCCAGGTTTAGTCCCCGGTATGATAGCGCAGGGCTGTCACAGCCAGGTCTGCAAATGAGCCATATGGCGTAGCAGAGGTCAGATGCCGCGAAGCAGCTTTTTCTGTGTATTCCCTCGCCTAAGTGGCTAACTCTCCCGCGGTGGCAAACAACGGAAGCAGGCATCCTTGTGTAACATTGACATCCCCGGCTAACGACGAGGAGGTCATCTTGCTGCTGCACCATTTCGAGTTTCCACCTGCGCACCGCACCCCTCTGAGTCCCTCGTTTCCCCCCAGTTCCCGCCGCCGATTCCTGGAGTATCAGTCTTATCCCTGGTATCGGCTTATTTGGAAAAAAATAATTAAACGCTTTTTATTTCATTTACTCGTCTGTGGTTCGTCTTTCTCCGCGCCCCGTTCCCGTCCCCCGATGCCTTCCAGGCATGTGGAGGGAGCACACGGAGAAGTTTTCATCACAATGGTTCATTGCGGTTCACGCGGTAAGTCTTCCCACAGCAATGTTGCTCCGGTGGCGCGAATGTGGATGTGAGGAGAGGTCCTTTGTCAGCTGCCAGCTGTCGCGGATGTCACGGCTGTTTTGCCCTGTAGAGTCTTTGGGATGACAGTTGAGGCAGAGCTGCTGTTCGTTTCTTGTTGATTGGTCATTCAACAGTCGTTGGAGTCTAGTCCTGCTAAATAACCTTGGGCACTATTTAATGTTCCAGTTGCCATTTATAAAGCAACCTTCTCTTTTTCCTTTTGGCGTGTTGTGTCACGCCATCTCGACATATCAAGCTGTTTCTAAACTAATGACGTTCTGCCGCTTGTGTGCTCTGCCGTGCCTGCTCTCTTTCGTCTTGTGTGCTGATGGCGTCCGCCATGCAGGCTAGACCGCAGTGCATCCGGTGATTCGCGCCGCATATTTCACAGACTACCCCAGTGCTCTTTCGCCCCAGTTCCTCATGTTTCATGTCCCCCCTATAATATTACCTATGTGACTCCGCCACAGACCATTCCCTTCATTGCAATGCTGCGGAAGGCGGTCATTATGCCAAAGTACGCCATCCTCTTCACCATCTGCTCGGCCATAGCGGGGCAGGCCATGGGCGCTAGGCTTGAGCGCCGGCGGCTGCTGGCGGCAGCCAAGGATGAGCTGGGCGGCCTGGCTAAGGCATCGGTGGCCGTCTCATCCACTCACAGCCGTTCCGCTGCCCCCGTCAGCCGCCACCAAGCGCCGCTTCCTGTGGCGTCCTTGCTCATGTCTGCTCAGCCGTTGGACCGATCCGTCATGATGCCGTTGGTGGCGTCGGCGTCGGCGGCATCCGTGACCCACGGGTCGTCGTCGGCGCTCTGGAGAACGGCGCAGGACGGCAGCGCAGGCGATGACTATCCGGAGGGCTTTGGCGCGGAGGGCTCACCGTGTGGGACGAAGCCTCTGGCGGTGGCGGGGTGCGCGGATTCGCCGCAGTGGGTTGCGCAGCAGCAGCAGCAGCAGCAGCAGGTGGGACAGGTGCAGTTTCGGGTCAGCAGGAGGATTGGCAGGAGACCTGAGCAGCAGGCCGTGAGGGGCGGCGGCGGCGGTTCGGCGATGGGCAACGGCGGCGCACAACGGTTGCTGTTGGAGCATGATCCTTTGGTAGCCCCTGTAGCTGTGATGGCCATGGTGCCTGAGGTCCAGTGCTAGGCGTAGCTAGGCCAAAGTTGCCGATAGGGCGTGCTTGGTGGCGCTATGGTCGCTGCAGCCGTGTTGAGCGAGCTGCCGAAGCTGGTTTCGGGTCGCCTGTGTGTGTGTCGACGGCTTTGGCGGCCATGGCCGTGGAAGTGCTCTGGTCGTGCTAAGGCGTGTTGACTGTTGTGTAAAGTAACTGAATTATTGTTTATAACTGTCTCGTTTGTTATTATAAAATTAGTTTTTAGTGTTTTAGTGTCTCTATGTTATGATGTATATCGACGTGCATGTCTAGAGGCGCCGACATATCTTCTTGCGGTGCCTTCTGGTGCCGCGTCGCAGCTATTATATTCTACGCGCTGCGAGCTATCGAGCAGATGGCGCCCAAGAGAATACTGCAGGCGCCCGGGAAGCTGTCCGCTGTTGGGTACAAAGCCGTGTCACGTCTCAGTACCGTGCCGTGCACTATTGTGTCGTTTGCATACGGTCGATATCAACTGTGCGACAGTAGAAATTTGAATGTAGCATTAGTTAAGCGTTTAAAACACTCTGGCGGTCTTCTGCGAATGATGGCAAGCTCCGAATCTTGGTGCTCTTTATGGCCATGAACCAGCTGACGCACGCGTGACGGCTTTCCTGTGCACGACATGCATTCCATGCAACGACGCGCTCCTGTTACCGATTTGGTGCACGCCATGAAGAGGCAGACGACCTATACCTGCTCATCCCTCGTCGTGCGGGGTAACGGTTGACGAGTCGATTTTGTTTACCAGCAATTTGCTCCCAGCAACTGCAAGAGGCGAGCAAAAGAACTCATTCAGAAAGATCTGTTACTCCATGGGAACAGGATGTGCATCATTGTCGCCACTGAAAGGTTATGAAATTGTGCCAGGGCATGCTGGGCGTTGGGTTAATACGTTTCTCTGCTGACAAAGTTATATAGCTTGTTTGAAATGGAGCTTGACAGTTCAAACAGGGTTAGAAAATCTCTATCCATGCAAAGCATAACGTGCGGTTTTTCCCCAGATCCCCTCGCTTCTTTCCCTACGCTTTCGCATTGCGCCACTCTTGCGTCACTCCTGGTTTGGCAAAAGAAGCAATTCTGATCTGGTCAGCGGCTGGTTATGCTTAAAGGACAATTTGCCGTACAATCGGCGGTTGGCCGTTGGTGCTCTACTGGCATGTCGCAGGTTGCCATGCAAGCATCACAAACGCATGCAACCCAAACAGAACTGTGAAAGCCTACTTGCAATATCACGGGCCTTTGCTTCACTCGCCTTGTGCGTCTGTAAGTTGTTTTTTTCGCAGTGCCTCAGTTTTGCTGTGCGAAATTCAATAGTGTGCATGCATCGATTTACGTCGACAACTCGTCGTATAAAATCTCCAATCAGCATTAACAAAATAAGCTTTAGCACGTGCTGGTCGTTTTGTAATTCTCATGCTGCATATGCGCCCGCCTTTTGGTAGTCCTGGAATACCGCTATCCATTTTACTGCGTTGTGCTTCGCGCCTGCAGCAAATCCCATTTCAGTGTAAGCTCGAAGCTCTACCTGTCAAGCAAGCAGCAATTTCCAATTTTCAGTTGTCTCCAGTCTTTTTCGTCCGCTGGTGCATATCGAGCAGACCAATTTTGTGGGTCGCAGCGCCTGGTTAAGCTGACGAGCCCACATGACAACTTTTCCCAAGTTAAATTCATTATTTCGCTTTTTGGAGCTTCCTGTAGAGATTCAGGTGACATGCCTCGGGCTTGCGTCCGACACTGCGAGCCTCTGCACCGCGCTTTCCACATGCACGACGCTGCTTAACCTCAAAGAGGCAGCTTTCAAAGCTTTCTGTCATCGCAACTGGCCAAAAGTGGCGGACGTGGCCATGGATGCGCTAGCAAAAGGCGTTGCCAGGCCAAAAACGTTCTGGCAGCATGTCGTGCGGACCGCCTTGATGATCCAGTCATCTTCCGCGGCAACGACCGACCCATCGCTTACGTTCAACGAACACATGGTAGAGGGGCGGCGCGTGATGCTCGTGGAGTGGCTGGTTCAGGTACGGCAGTTGTACGACTACCTTACACGCTGTCATCACGGAAAAAACCCAAAACTTTCTACTAGGCGAAAAGCGGCCAACATCTTGGATCTTGTTTAGACTCTGTTTAAATACAGTTTTCGTACAATAAGCTCAAACACTGACATGACACAGGACAGAATACATTGACCTGCCGCGGGTCGTACATTTCATGCCGTACACCCTGCATATCGCTTGCCGCTGACCCCAACCAAACACTTTCTGGCCTGAAAGGTCTCGTACGCTTGGAGCCTCGACGGCGCCGCCATCTTCTTTGCCGTACGCATCATGGACGCCTTCCTAGCTGCAGTGCCGCCCACCAGTGTCCAAATGTAAGTTCCGTTTTTTTTCAATTGCATACCCCACAATGGATTCAGGAAGACCAGGATCCAGGTTTACAAAATCTGGCGCAACATTTCCAGAATCAAAACCTGCTCATCTCGCTCCCGCACCAATGGTTTTCTTTATTGAAGCAAATTTAACCGCATCAAAATAGGATCCACATAGGGTTTGCATAGCAACCACACCGGTTCCATAGCATTTGCAATCCACTTTGGATCCAAATTTGGACCAACATGTCATACAATTACGAATTCTCTCCTGGTCTCACATCAGGGAGACGAAAGATTTATTGCCTCTGCCGTCTTTAACCTTCGCCCATATAAACTTTACATAATAAATTTTCCGCAGGTTACAATTGGTGGGCATCAGCTGTCTGAGAGCGACGGTGCAAGGCCAACAGTTGCTCACTCATCGCATGGAGGACCAAGCGGGCGCTGCTCCGAAGGACACGTGCTGCTCAGGTTTCGGAGCGCCACGCTTGCAGGACAGCCCCTGCTGCAGTCTTGACATACATGCAGACACGGCGGCGGTGACCACGGCCATGCAGCTGACGGCGACGGCGACGGCGATCGGGGCGACGGCAGCAACAGAGTCGCCGGTTGCAGATCCGTCAGATCCGTCATCACACCAGCGACTGCCATCATCCGCATCGGCGGCCGCCCACCTATGCGCGGACGTGTACAGCTCCGAAGACGTCGAGCGAATGACCGGCTTGGTGTTGGAGTGCGTCTTCGGAAGGCCATCGCCAGGTTCACTACAGACTGTAAACGTAGGCCAGCAGCTGTCGCAGCCGCCGGTGCCGCCGCTGCCGTGCCGCCAGTGCCGCTGCCGTACCACACGTCCCGTACTTTTGGCGGCGCCCACTGCCCGCCACTTCCTACGCGGCATCTGGGCTGCCGACGCCGCCGAGACGGCGCTGGATTCCGGTACGGCGTCGGCGTCGGCATCGACGTCGGCGTCGACGTCGGGGGCACTGCACTTGGCGGGTTTCCTGCTCCACCTGTCGCTACTGTGTCCCGCGTGTTGCGCCGCGGCACCGTCGCACGTCGCCGCGGCGGCTGTGTCGCTGGCACGGGAGACGTTCGGGCTGCCCCCTTGGCCACCCGCGCTGCGTGCCGTGCTGCCCCTGAGACTGGATGTCGACCTGGATCCATTGCGAGAACGCATCGCGGCGGCGCAGACCAAGTACGACGTGCCGTACCTGCGTGGGGCGTGGATGGAGCGGCTAGCGAATGCTCATTGGCCGGTTTCGGAGCGCAGCGGCGCTGCCGCCGAGGACCAGTCGCGGCAAGGCGCTGCTGGTCCTAGCCGGGCGGAGGGGAGGGAGGGCGTGGAGCGTGCTGACGGCGGCGGCGGCGGCGGCGGCGGTAGCGAATTTCGGAGCATACCTGTTGAGGTTGGTCATTCGAAGCGCGCCATCGGGGCTGTTGGTGCCGGTGATGGTAATCTGGACGCCGCCGCCGCCGCCGCCGGCTTTGTGGACGTCGTGGCGGCGGTAGGGGCGGATGTAGCACGACGGCTGGTGGAGGATGTCGTACAAGGAAAGGTGACGCTGCTGCCGCCGCGAGTGCGTGTGTCGTAAGGTGTCCGTTAGATAGCTCGGTTGAGCCGTTGAGCGCTATGTCGTGCATTCAGTCGTACTGGAGCTACTCCTGTCGGATGATTTTGTACGCTGAAACGATTCGTATTCATGCTTCTCGTTGTCAGTTAGCGCGCGCACACACTTCCCACGTTCGTACATTGTACGAATTATCTATCCTGGAACTATTCGTACATGCTCGAGCCATTGGTATGTCGATGAGTCATGCGTACTGGACAGTTATTCGGTAAAAGACATGCGTACTCGGGCCATGCGTCATTTGGCTGCAACCGATTCCAAGTTTTCAACCGATTGGATTGCAACGGCCAACGAACTCATTATTCACGGGATCAGTCGGTTGAAATGAGATCACTTGCACTGAAATAATTTCAAGTTTACATAACAGATTGCGCAAATTTGTGTACGGGCCGGTAGTAGGGGGCACTGAAGGCGGCTTTGTATTCATTTAGCGGAGGATAATGTATAGACGGACATGTTATAAAAAGGGGAGGTCATAATGTGATGTCGTGGCGAGGCTTGATGGTGGCATCCTAGTCAGCATCACCATGTGGATGAGGTAATAAGCAAGCTGTAGGGAACGTAGGGATCTGTAGGGAATTTGTAGGCATCTGAATTTGGTTTGCGTTCTCTCGAACTCGTGGATTAGATGATGCTAAAAAGCACATATACTGCCAGCGCGTGGCGTCTTAGGGAGATCACGTTGATGCTCGTTGATGGCGCTGTGTGCATAAGCTGGGGAGGGGGGCAACGGCCTGTACGATACTGTACGGGAAGAGGATTGGCGGCTGTGGGGGGCCACATTCAGCCACTTGACATCACCGTCAAGTGGTCCTAGAGAGGGACTCTGTGAAAAGCGCATTACGGGTTTCGGGTCAATGCCGGGCAGATAGTAATTCTAATAATAGATATAAATCTATGATATAATTGTACGGCAACATTGTACGCATGTATGGACAGTAGACCCCGTTTGTTGGCTGGTGGTGGAGAAAATGGTGTTTTTAGGGCAGGTAGGGCAGGTAGGTACGACAGATATGTACGAAAGTTAGATGAAAAGGCAGCTCCAGGGCAGGCTTTGCAATTTGGACAGGAAAGCTACCTGGTTAAAGAATACCTTCGGCAGGCGAAGTTTCGGCGCTCAGCAAAAAAGATTTGGGACTTCACGGTAATAGTTTATTTACCATTTCCCTTCTGTCCTGACGATACCTGAAGTCGACGAGCGTCGCGTAGCCTGCTGCGTTGTGTGCAAATATTGCCAAAATTTGCCACAAAAAAATACATCCTGAGTTTATGGTTAAGACCTCTATATCACACCGGAACGCAAAGCGCGCATATTATTTCAATGACGCCATCATGGGGCGGATAGGAGTGCATCGGGAGCTCTGGCCGTCATTGCTACCTACTACTACAACTTCTAACCGAAATCAACAAACAAAACCTCAACAAATCCCCAACCCCCAACCGAAACCAAACAACGATAATCGGTGTTGCGGCCCCCTATCCGAGTCGTTTCGCATACAGCAGGGTCATGGCCAACGAGGTGACACGGAGATAGCAGCAGCAATAATCAAAAGTGCATCATCTCTCGAGCCATGCATTTCTCAAATTGAGGCATGTGGTGCATCAGATACATGCATACTGGTCTTCAGGTAAGTCGGAGATGCTGTCGGGAACCTTCGGCGTAAGTTTTGATTGGTTATAAGGAACATCGGAAACGTACGCATCCAGTGCTTCCATGCCGCATCCAGTGCTTCCAGCGCATCCATGCCGCTTTCCTGGGGCCTCCGAGACCCCTCTTCCTCTAAGCCAATGAACCAACATAGCAGTTAAAGAGCCCAGACAAGGAAAAATCTGAGGAAAAATTTGGAAACTATTTTCAACCTCAGTCCTTTTGCGTCAATAATAACAACCGAAAAGCGGAAAACGTCGTACAGCCACGCAGATCCTCTTCCAACCTGCCCTCGAAACCTAGACATTGCCAATCTAGACCCTCGCGTCAGAGTTGTACGGCATCCCGGTTCACGCTGCCGTACAACGCCACCAACGGATCGTCGATGGGCACAGTGCAGCGGCGCTTGATCAGGGAGTCCGCAACCCGCTCTAGGTGGGCGTGTAGTTGGGCGTCCGCTGCCGTAGCGGCGGCGGCCGTAGCAGGGTACGGCAACGATGGCGGCGGCGGCAACGGCACTTCGGCATACGCCGCCAGTTGTAGCGGTGGCGGCGGAGTCGCCGCGGCCGCTGCTCCATCCCCTGGATCCGCCTCCTCTGGAATATATGTCCGTCGCTTGCGACGCCGCGGCGGCGGCTGCTGTACGGCACCGCTGCGCCATGGGTAAGGTCGCTGAGCCGGCGGCAGCGGAGGCTGCGATCCTGACGGTGACAGTGCCAGCTCCGACACCCCCTGCGGTGGCAGGTACGATTCATATTGTCCGGTGCAATTATGTACATATCAAGGATCATCCTTTTCACTCAGATCTCCACAAAGACCGGTGGCCGAGTCATGATGTGGGTAAAATTCCCGACCCAAGCGACATCAATTTTGTGAATAAACAACATTATGGTGCGGTTTCCTTAATTTAGCAGCGGATTCGTAATTTTTTAAACACCTCTCAGAAAGCCATGTGGACGGCAGGCGGCAGCTGCAGGACAATCCGAAATATCGAATCATTCAGATCCAAATCCGGATTCGGTCTAAGATCGATCGGAACTTAGTCCATCCGTGCCATTGGACCATCAGTGCCGCATAGCATTCGGAGTTTCGAGGCTGCCGCGCCCACAATGCCCCCCTATCTTGGCTAAATCTGTTGGCCGGAATCCTGTTGACCAAATCCGTTGGCCGGAATTCTGTTGACCAAATCTGCATGGGCCCCTGCTTTGCTACCTTACCCCGCCTGACTTCTCCTCCTCTGACGCACCAGCCCCAGACTCCTTCGCCTCCGTGTTCAAATCCACTTCCACATCGGCAGATCCAGATACCTTCGCCTCCTCCTCCTCCTCCTCCTCCTCCTCTGAGTTTGATGTTTCATCAACAGGTGTACTGCCTGTACCGTTCCGGTACGACATATAGCCCAGCAGCTCCTCTAGGAGCTGCCGCTCATCAGGATAAGGATACTGCTGCTGATCCGGATGCTGCTGGCCAGCCGACGGGTCGTTCGGGTCAGACGGCGCAGAAGACGGAGGCGCGTATCGCTCCATGGCCATCGAGCAAGCAGCCACCAGCCCCGCCGGGCCAGCGGCAGAGGCTGGGACTCCATCTACAGCAGTGAGAGCTGGGATTTCAGCAGTATCAGTAGATCCAGGCTCTTCTGGGAGGGAGCTCAGGGCCACCGGTGTCCCTCCTGCGTCGGGGAAGGAATGTAATGGACATGGATTCGCAATCCCGCGACCGTGGTGGGTGTTGACGCTGATGCCATTGATCGCATCCAAATCAACAACTGGTGAAGCGCTGATATTAGCTCCCGTCCAAGTTTCTGCAACGTGTGCGTCGGTGAGCGGAACCGCTCCGAAACTGCGCTCCATAGCTTAATCGCTGCCGGCAACTGGTTCTAGTGTTGCGTCCCCCAAACACCAATTTTGATGTTGAAATTATTTACGCCTTTTAAATTGTTTGATGGCCAATTGAGCTTGATCGTCCTTGACGTAATGCTGAATAAAGGTATATTGGCCCTCGCAAGGGTTCAGTCACGTAGCTTTTGTTGCATGAACTATAACAATTTGCAAAGGCTGCCAGGAAGTGTGACCCTGGCAGCTCGTATCTTAACAGAATGCTGGTGCTGTCCTGGCAGGCGTAACTTTAACCGCTAAGCATCCTTTCTTCTCCAAACTAGAAACAAAGATGAAAACTGATGCATGGATGTTGGCAGTTTGCTAAAATGCTGCAGTACGAAACTGTACGAGGACTTGTGTTCAGATCAGGGCGGATCAGGGCTCCATTACTACTTGGCAATCCTCCTCGGGATACTGCAAGCGCGGAGAAAATGAATGGCGCCGAAGGGAGTGCTGTAAACTTGTGAGCTGCTCAGTGCCATATGCGAAACGGATTTATTGCTCAGTCCTGCCGTGTTGCGTTACAATAGCTAAGCCGCCAACCGCCAGCACAATTTGGCAGCAAAACAACACGGCTGTGAAACCCCCTCCCACTACCAACCCGTTGTGAAAGTTGCACTAGTGGCCGATAGTAATGACAGTTACCTGTGTTGCACCGAATCCTAGGACCTCAAGCGCACGGGCGACCCACCCGAGGCCCGCAGGGACAAAACCAGGAACCGCTGCATTGTGGCAACCCCCGGGATTGCCCTGGGTGGGTGGGGGGTACTACGAGGCACAGGCGATTGACGAGAGAACGCACATAGACGGGTACTCCAAGATTAGACCAATAATGTAGGACAATTAGTAAGATACTGACCCGTGGGTGGGTGCGGGGAAAAGTAGAGGACACTGTCCTAGCAGCGGGACACACCTCTTGGTAATAATAGTCAAAACAACGGCAGCTAAAGGAACCAATGCGCCTGAGTCACCCAGGTACGAGCTTGGCGTCCCTCTGCCGTACTGTGGTCCGGCACATGCATGCATGCGCCCTACTTCCACGCACCACGGTAGCTCCTTCGCAACAACTTGCCTATCTCTACAGTCAAACTTCGCTTCGAGAAGTCGAAGCGTATTCAACACATCGGAAACAGTGCATGAAACGCTCGGCTGGAGCGCAACCAAGCCCTCCCCTTGGAAAAACAGGAGCCTGCGGGAGCCTTCGACATATGTGCATCAACCTTATGAACGTGATTAAAAACGTGATAAAAGAATAATGTGAACTTGCAATAAAGCTCCTAGCCCGACGCAGCACTGCGCAGGCAGCACAGCAGGAGTCAACTGGCTAAAGGCACGGGTTTCTCCTAGGGGTTTATGGAGACGTAAGGCCAACCAAGCCATGCCTTGCGCCTTATCGCGCGGTGTGGCTCTCAGGCTGGGTTGCACTTGCCGCCGCCGCCACCGCCGCAGCGACCCTGTACGTAACAAACAGTCTGAGAACAGTGTATATGTGCCACGTGGGATGTCAAGGTGTGGGGAGGCTCTTGTTTGGACGCGAAACAGTCCCAGTGGAGATTGATGCAGGGTCTTGAAGCCCTGGTTGCCGGAGAGAAGCCTGCAGAGATGCTGTGGAGGGTGTAGGGTCTTGCAGGATTGAAGGCAAGGGGCTTCGAGGATGATAAGGTACCAGTTGTTGACTGTTCTAATGACTACAATCCCAAGAAATTCACGGGTTTGCCATTCTGCACGACAATGCAGACCATGTACGTCATCGATACCACTGGAGAGGGCTGCGCATAGCTAATGGTTATGCTAATAATTATGTGCTTAATTCTTGCGACCCGTGCAGGCGGGCTACATGCTACAGGCCAAGGCCGACATGTGAAAGGCGCATAATGTTGCTACGAATATATACGTTAATATCTCATGATAAGCTACAAGATGCAAGTATGAATACATATTGCGATTACCAAAGGAAGAAGCGTTGTTTGGGCCTCGTACATGTACCGGAAACCACCTCTCGACGGGCAAGCAGCTCAGTCTGAAGCCAGGCAAGAAATAATACAAGTTAGTTACATATCATCAAAGTTAAATATTTCGATTGGCTTTTCCTTGACTGCATCACGTTCAGAAGGTACGCAGAGACAGGCGTAACACCTTCTGCAAATAGTGTGATAAGATATGCATACTGCTTAATTATTGTGATATGCTAGTAGCGTAAGCCTCATGACCTGCTCGCTGGCCTGCATCTCGAGCATCACTTGACCGGTGTCCTACCTTACTTGTACCGCCGACCTAGTGCTTTGTTTGAAATCTGTCATCACACAGCTCGCACTCATATTACAGCATGTTTCTTGGTGAACTGATATTTAACGTTAACCATGACGGTTGTTGCACAGGGACAACGAAGGAGTCTGCTCCGAGGCTATCGACACGATCAACGCTGGGCCCTAAAGTTGTGTTGGGCATATATTGGATAAAGTAGCAAAACTCAAGGTAGGCTCGGCCCTGGGAATGTTGTTCGACATGTTCGAGCCATGTTGGGTTATGCCTTCCGCGAAGGTATGCTGTGGTAACTAGATTGAATAAGAACTTATTGAATTTAATTCAAACTATTTCCACGCTTGCAAGACTGAGTCCTGCAAACTGTTCCTCTCATGCCTGGCTCGCAGGCAAGCCAGCCTACCCTTTGTGTACCGGTTCATGTACCTATTGAGGATTTCTCCCAGCCCATTCAACGGACTAGTAGGCTTCTACGGCTGTCTTTCTGGACTGTAGTTCGCGAGGTTCAGGACTGTGCCGGCTCATCAGAAACGAACAGGAACCTACAACGCAGATAACCGCGAATATTACGCTCATCAAAATATCTTAAGGCGTCCTGGTCATGCGTCAGAGGCATAGCATATCCGGTCCGCGGAATGTGGGTCATGTGCAATCAACAGGTGACAACTCAACGGACCACCCTGCGCCGCGGCTTGGGATGATGCGAGGCCGTTCCACAAGTAGTCGCACAATTGGATTTATTGTGCCTGAAGAAGAGCAAGGTGAAGATGTGGTAAGTCACATCGGACGCAAGCATTCATGTGCAATGTGTGACCTGCCTAGTTTTGTTCGGGAAGACGTCGATACTTCATTTTATAATATGCTATCAATATATTATGAAGGATTTTACGAATAAATATTTTTCCAACACTTAAACTTGTACGCTAAACTAAATTACTCGGCTCACAGCACCTCGTCCACGCCAACTGGTGCGCACACCCATGTTGCAAGCAGGCTCGCGCAACTGTGGACCTTCATGGCCTCCAATTCCCCAGAACCCTCCGCGGATTCAACGGAGCCCCATTCGCAGCCTTCCCTGACAATTCCCGCCCGACTTCATCTATTTCCGCAAGCGGGGCCCCGCTGGTCGCCACAACTCCACACCAACAGCACCAGCACGCTCCCAGTACAAGTGTCGACGGCAGCATTTGCAGCAGCATTGCTCCGGAACCTCCGTACTGCCCGACGCCACCGGAGGCGCCTCCGCCGCCCCGCCGGCCGCCACTTATACGGACCTCCAGTACGAACTCAAGCGCCGTCACTGCTGCCCTCACGTCGCCGCCGGCACTCCCCAAGATTAGCCACCCTGGAGCAGCCCCAAGCCCCCTTCCCCTATCCTCGCAAAATCCCACGTCCAACCAGCCGCCACCGCAGTCATTCCCACACTTGTCCGCACCGCCCGCCTCGCCGCTAGCGCTGCAAAGCACCTTGGGTGTCCGTCGCGGTCACCTGTCTGCGTCCGTCCTGGCAGGTACTTCTGGAACCTTCCTCACATCAGGAGGTGGCAGCAGCTCCGGGGGCGGCAGCCCGGCGACGCCGTCGTCCTCGGCCGCTGCTGCAGTGCCCAGCAATGCAAGCGCACGCTTCCGCATGGCGAACACCCGAGAGGCAGCGCCGATAGCGTCTGGCGGCGGCAGCGGCGGCGCCACTGCGGTGCTAGCTACGCCGCCGCACACAGCGGAGCGTCGGCAACGGCAGGGCAGCGCAGGGCCCGCCGCCCATCCAAACTCAAGCGCGCACCCATTTCGTCCCAATGAGCAACAGCAACAGCAACAACATCCTCACCACCACCAACAACAACAGCCGTCACCGCAACCACAGCAACTGTATTACCGCAGTTTCGATGATGATGATGAGCTGTGGCGTTCTGCTGCCGTCGACGGCGGAGAGCCCCGTGCCACTAGCAGCGCGTCCCAAGTCGCGCTGTGCGGAATCCCGCTGCCAGATGCCGGTGTAGATGAAGACGCGCCAACCTCCGCCGCCGCCACTGCTACGCTCCCATACGGGCTAAGCGGTCGGAGCTTCCGCTGCAGCGGCGGCGGCAGCAGCACCTTGCTAGTGCGATCTGTCAGCCTCGGGACACAGCACCGCAATGTGGAAAGCCAAGGCGACGCCAACGCCTCCAGCAGCCCGTCGTCATCGCAAGCCCCGCCGTGGGTTCTGGGTGAAGGACGCGCAACCGGAAGGTACGGCAAAGGCGTTCGTCGGGCCACGTCTCTATGGAGTTTGGACCCCATGGTGGAGGATGACGGCGACGGCACGCATATGCATGTAGTCGAGCGTACTTCCGCGCCGGTCCTACCGCGCACCTCCACGTCGCGTCAGAGCTGCTACGGCGTGTTCCGCAGCAGCAACGGCAGCAGCAGCAACAGTAACACCGGAGCCAATGAATCGCAAATGCTGCCGCTCACCCGAAAGCCCACGCATTCTGTTCCGGGCTGCGTGTCCAGAATGCGCCTCTTCGAAAGCATTGAGGCGCTTCCAGCCCAGGAAGGGATGGGCGAGTACAACCGCGTCGGTGGCGGTGGCGGTGGCCGTGACGGTGGCAGTGGCGACGGTAGTGGGAGTGAAAGCGAAACCGAAGGCGACACGGGAAGTGACGGCGGCGGCGAGGGTGGCGAGGGCGGTGACGGCGGCGACGGCGGCGGCGGTCGGGAAAAGGGTCAGCAAGCGCTGGATTTTGCTCATCTGGATCAGATCTTGGATCCACTTTTGGATTTGATTGATCCAGGGCGACAGGTGGCACGGCGCTGTGAGCAGCGGCTGCAAAACGCCGCCAACGGGGTTGGCCGGCTCAGAGCGGGTACGGCGGCAGGGTGGTGGGCTTCTGGGCTTTTTAAACGCGGCGCTATAGACGATGAACCGGACTGACCAGTTCTTGGTGCTCCGATGGCATAAAGCGCATGGCTGGATTAGCACTGTGTGCCCTAGCTGAGTCTGTGCTCTAGGTTAGCCTGTAATGTAAGGCAAATCGAAGCCCTAGCTAGGCTGGCTTGTCGAGAAATAAAGCAGTTCACCTAACCAAGCATCAACCAGACCAGACCATTGCTTGGCTTAGCCTGAAATCGTACCACGCCGGTGATCTATCTACCCGCTATAAGTTTAGCCGACTGTGTCCTATTAAAGCACGCGTAGCTTAGCCCCTGAGCATGCGTAGCTAGGCCCGTGCCCTGCAGTCACAGCCATGACCTAAGCCATTAAGCCAACATCTAAAATAAGATCTGGGCTGAACCTGCAAGTCCGTGATTGAATCTAGGACTCAGCCCAGGGCGACAAAGGTCTGCGCCGATATGCTTGTTTATATGCCTGAAATGATGCCGCTCACCTACCCTCCGACTGTGTCCGCGCCACGTTGTCCTATCCTATCCTACTCCCTTACGTTCTAAATTACTCTCATTCTATTCCTTCCTCTCTACTCTGCCTTGTTAACTATCAGTGGAAAGCTGGGCAGATTGTGATGCCTCGAGGTCTCCGGCGGCCAGTAGCGGTGGCGATGGCACACTTGCCGCCGCAGCGGCGGCGCCGCTACTGCCACCGCCTGCCCTGGCCACCGCCGCGCCGACCTTGGCGTCTCTGGCTGGCCAAGCGCTCAAGCTGCCCTGTGTGGGTCTGGAGAAGCTTAGAGACCCAGAAAAACGCCAGAAGGTGGTGCAGAGGCTGCGGGAGGCGGCTCACGGTAGGTTGGCAGTTGGCAGTTGGCAGTTGGCAGGGTTGGTGGCAGCTCCTGGGCGACCTGGGGCTTTTGATCAGGTTATGAGACTGATGAGTATTGTGTAGACTGGAAAGAGCTCCCAGATCTTGCAGATCTATCGGCATGTGGCCAGGGCACTTGGGAAAGGCCCTGAATGGGCTGAGGGCGACGTAGGAGACAGGATGGGTTTAGGGGTTATCATTATAATGGTTATTCGGCTTGTCTTGCCGGTGGTGGCGGTGGGGGTGGCGGCGTGCTAACCAAACCCTAATGCCGTGCTCAGAACCACATTCGCATGCATATCGCAAGCATGCATGTTCGACGCCTTACTGACAAGGTTTATACATGTGATGCAAACGAACATGACTGTGTTGCGATGCAAAAAACCATGCATCAGGAGCTGCTGGGGAGGCTCCGCTGTCCCACTTGTTCGTTCGGGTTCCTAAACGTCTGCCCTATCTAACCACTTCTTGCATCTGTCCGTCCTTCGGTATGTATATATGTATGTTCGTATGTATGTCCGTCTATCCGTTTGTGTCTCTCTGTCCATCTACCTGTCTGCCGTCCCTCTAAATCGTTCGTGTCCCCCCCTATTGCCCTCTCTTACTTTGCCTGCAACCTCCAAAGTGGGCCGTGCGGCCTTCGTGCAGGCTCTTAGCAACAACAACAACAACAATAACAACAACCAGCGGCCAGGCAACCTCCGGTGGCATATGTAGCTGTAGCTGAGTATCTGTAGTTGGTGTTATAGCTACAGCGAATCAGACGGTATTCCTTCTCCAGCAGCTACAACTGCTACTGCGTCAGCTGCGTCAAGAGAGCAAGCTCTTTGCCTTGCATACGGCGCCGCACCGTACGGCACCCTGAATGCTAAAATGTGAGAGATGTTAAATGAGAGGACTCCTAAGAAATGCGTCATACAGTAAAGGAAAAGGCGGCGCAGGATGTGCCTGCTGTTGCTGGCAGACCTTCCGGACATGTGTGTGTGTGTGTGTATGTGTGTGTGTGTGTGTGTGTGTGTGTGTCCATACCCGCGAGACCCAGGCGAACGAGAGCGTGTGTAGCCCCATGTACACGCAAATGTGATCTCAGTTATCCAGCAGAAACATATAAATATTGACTGGCTTGTAGGGATGCACGACAGAGCACTCCATACGTGACTCAGTCGCAAGCACCGCACGCAGGTCTGCGGGCAGATATGGGGTTGGCGGCACCGTACCTTACTATGAACCAGGATTTACGTGCTCATAGCTGTGAAGTAGTGGTTCAGGGGTAGTTTGCTGAGCTGGGGGGAGGGTGACACTTGGATGGCACTCTCGTGTCCCCTTGCGCTCGCATGCTTACCAGCACAATACGTACCAGCGTGATTAAGGCCACCGGTAAGTGATCGACAGCTTGGCGGCAGCAGCGGCGGCGGTGGCGGCTTCGATTTTGTGATGAGTCTGCATCGAAGTTAGCATGCTCACGGCAAGTTGGTCCTTGTGTGTCGCCGTACAGTCATATCGTGATGCGCATCGGCAGAAAGAAGAGTGGGCGAGTTGGAGTTTGCTTTTGGACCAAGACGAACTGGGTATTGCTGCAGAAACCGTGTTTTATGACTTTTATTTCTGCCGAGTTGCTGACTTCTACATGATGCTCTGCTTGGATTGGCAGCGACGGATGCGTTGCTTAGCGGGATCCTTTTACATCTTTTTTCCAGTGAATGCGTGCGGGTGTACCTGTGGGCCGTGTGGGCCCCGCAATCAAGCAGCCAATGCCCTCGGCGGCAGGGTGGGCAATCACACGCGAGCATACGAGGCGGGGTGGCCGGCTGCTTTGTGCCTCTGTGGTTAAGGCGCATGGATGCCCTAAAGATTTGTAGATTCCAACATCATGTCTAGCCGACGTTTGTATGGGACAGCCCCTATATGGGCTTTTGATATCACGATCCTGTTTTGGAAAGCTTTAAGCTACGCTACAGTTTTATACTGGAAAAAGTCCAACACGTCGTCGGTGACTATTCGGAGCTCGCTACGGTAACGTTATTCGTTTTTGTGTACCACCATCGGCATTTTCCTTATCGCGGCTCAGATCATGATTACACACATACACATATACATACATACCTGCAAGCGCAGGCAGGTGGAGTGCTACTAGCTCACTTCCCAACTCTCTAAAATGCGTCAGGCACTTGCTTATTATTCATTAAAAAACATATCTTATTAATTGTTGCCTGATTTGGACTGGTAAGGTTGCGAAGGTGCGCGTCTTGAGTTAAGGCCACGTCAGGCCTGTCGACAGGCGGATCTAGGACTATTTGGCTTGTATCGCGTATTCTTTGAGATCCGCTGTGACAAAATTCGTTTGCCGTACTCCGAGAACCACTCGCGTGGATGTACGTGAAGGACCGATTGGGAAATGGGGTCCAATAGGGACTCAGCAGGGGTGTCGGCACACACACACACACACACTCTCATACACACACGCACACTCTCTGACACACATGCGTGAGTGCTGAAAATTGAACGGCCATATGCCGTACGCACGCGCTGGTAGTTAATACGGAGACTATCACGAATCTACCTGGATACCGGAGCGGGATTGTTAATAATACCTGCATGCCGTATGATTCTGTTGTTGTTGTTACAGCGGGCTACCAAACCTCTATGCCTGGGCGCAAAGAAGCCGGGATAGGTTATGCGCAGGTAACGCGGACAATTATTTTTGCCGTCGAACATGGCAAGATTGCGGGGTGTTTTCTCCACCCGTCTTTTTATCCGTAGTTGATCTATCCGCCCCTTTGCCCGTCCGTCCGCCAGTGTATCTGTCCGTGATCAGTTGCGCCATCAGCTGAGGTCGGAGTGCCGGGTCCCAGTTCGCACGCGCGTAACATTCCGATCGCGTAATGAATGCTTTACAGGCAGGGCCAGATAGAAAAAGACAGAAGCGCACCTGGTTAGCCCTTCATTAAGTGGCAAGAGATTGTTAACCTAAATCAGAGCAACGCTCCGGTTTAATTTTTTGCGCTTGCATTGCATGCATGCGTCATTATTGATTCGTTCCGGCAATTTCTAAGTCCTTGCGTCCGCCGTGTTTCTGGGTTTCTTGTAAGGCTCCGCTCTGTTGTATCTTGTCTCCATCCTGCTGACTGTTGAGATGATCTGTGTCACCGCCTCGAGAATCCTTTTCCATTGGTGAGGCAAGGTAGGATGTAGCATGCTCCTCACCGTCGTGTTCCTTTTGCCTGCTTGTGGCATCAAGGCCGCACGTATGCCGCATGTGTGTGTGTGTGTGTGTGTGCGTGTGCGTGTGTGTGTGTGTGTGTGTGTGTGTGTGCGTGTGTGTGTGTGCATGTGTGTGTGTGCGTGTGTGTGTGTGTGTGTGTTACATGGTCGGGGGGTGCGTGACCCCATACCTGTAAAACTACCCATACGAGCCGAAGGCCCAAGGGCAATACTACAACGCCTAAAAGCCACGCATGTGGCTACGACGGAAGGCTACACCATCTAAATAGTACTGTGTCGTGTGGGAGGGAAATCCTGAAAGAAAGGATGCTGCCCAGCGCCAGCCTGGGGGGTACGCGGGTGTCTACCTACGCCACCCACGCATATGCCCACGGCAAAGGAATGACACTCGTCAGAACTGTGTGCGCAGCAAATTGCCTTTCTGCAGGCCGTACTCCATATGACGGTACGACGAGTGGTTACCTGGCAATGCAACGAACCCTAGCCCGTACGCGCCATCCAGCTAGCCTAATTGACAGGTAAACGGATAGACAGACAGGCGGCCTTAGCTCAATACCAGGTATAGCAAAATTATATAAAACTGGGGTCTGGTCTGGGTTGACACTACTGCGATTCGCGGTTTAAGGTCCTGGGTTCGATTCCTGGGGAGACCCCCGAATTAGTCGGGAGCGCGAGATTATGGCTAGCTGCTGAGATGTGGAGTTGAGGTCGCAGTTGATGGACCAGATTCGCACGCTAGATTGGTGGCGATTGCCGAACCCTCCGTCTCTTCGGTTGTTCGGGTGAATGGATGAGGAGGGGTCCTAGACGGCTGGACCCGCCGCCTTGGACTTACAGTTCGTATGGCGAAGTATAGTGTGGTAGTGGTGGACGGTGCTATAAGATGATAAATCGTAGAACTGACAATGTGATAAAGCGGCCCAGAAGCCTCCCACTCTGTAACATTACATTACATAACATTACATAAAACTAACACCATGGCAATCGGATTCATTTAAAACGGATAGGGCTCCAACACGGCAAAAATACCGATGCAGGTGAGGGCCTAATAAGCAAGCCAGACATTGTCCCCCACAAAAACAGAGCTACCGGAGGGCCAAAACCCATTGCCAAGTTGAAGCTACAGAAGCCGAGCACAACATACACACTCACAAATCGAACCCTGCAGCTCAGCAAACTCACACTATACGGAGGGGACATATCAATTTGTGTGCCGAATTTGATACTATCTTCTTCGCTATAGTCTAGGCGGTTATGATATGAGATTTTCACTCTCGAGACCCGGGTTCGGGTCCCGGTAGCGAAACTAAGCAAATTTTGGTCTAGTCTGGTGGCGTTTTTGTGTATATGAAAGTTCTGGGTTCGTATCCTGGTCAGACCCCCGACATTGTTCGGGAGGTCTAGGTTTACTAACGCTGCTGAGGTGTGGAGATGAGGTCTAGTTGATGGACTAAATTTCGCATGCTGTGGTGGTGGTGGTGGCTGATCTGTCACCGTAGCTTCTCGTAGCGCAGCGAAGAGCGAAGCGGAGGGAAGGCATCTCTGAATCGCCGTAGCTCATAGCCGTAGCGACTACGTAGTAGTCTAATAGCGACTACGTAGTAGTTTAACGGTTTAACGGAGGCCTTAGGCCGATTCGCCGTCCGTCTGTCCATCTGTCCACCTCGCGCCGGTTCAATCCCCGGCGCGCGCGCGTCTTTTTTTTGCGCTTTTTTTTTTCTTCGTATGCTTCATATGCTATGTTTCTTCGTATGCTTCATATGCTATGTTTCTTCGTATGCTTCATATGCTATGTTTCATATGCTTCATATGCACATATAAACATATAGGACCACAATTCGATGCGCGCTTTTTTTTTTCCTTCGTATGCTTCATATGCTATGTTTCTTCGTATGCTTCATATGCTATGTTTCATATGCTCCATATGCACATATAAACATATAGGACCACAATTCGATGCGCGCTTCAAAACGCGCTTCCGCGTCGGAATGAATGCCGTACGCGCTTCATACGGCGCGATTCGCACAGCTCTAAACACGCAATTCGACGCGCAATTCAACGTACAAGTAGCCGCGGAATTCGACGCGCACTTTGGCGCATAATTCGATGCGCGCTTCATATGAATGCCGTACGCGCTTCATACAGCACGATTCACACAGCTCTAGATGCGCAATTCGATGCACAATTCAATGTACAATTAGCCGCGGAATTCAACGCGCGCTTTACCGCATAATTTGATGCGCGTTTCAAACCGCGCTTCCGCGTCGGAATGAATGCCGTACACGCTTCATACAGCGCGATTCGCATACCTCTAAACGCGCAATTCGCTATGCAATTCAACGTACAATCAGCCGCGGGATTCAACGCGCGCTTTGTTGCACAATTCGATGCGCGCTTCAAAACGCGCTTCCGCGTCGGTACACGCTTCATACAGCGCGATTCGCACAGCTCTAAACAATTCGACGTACAATTAGCCGCGGAATTCGACGCGCACTTTAGCGCATAATTCGATGCGCGCTTCATATGAATGCCGTACGCGCTTCATACAGCACGATTCACACAGCTCTAAATGCGCAATTCGATGCACAATTCAATGTACAATTAGCCGCGGAATTCAACGCGCGCTTTACCGCATAATTTGATGCACGCCTCAAAACGCGCTTCCGCGTCGGAATGAATGCCGTACGCGCTTCATACAGCACCGTTCTGCACTTTTAAGCTTTGATGCTTCTCGCAATTCCCCTTGTCACTGTGCCGAAATACTTTCGAGTTTTTTGCTCTTTCTTTTCGCTTCTTTCGCCTTCTCTGCCGTTGACGAGCTGATATTCTTAACGGCTCAATTAGTATACGTGTCCACCTCGCACGTGTTCGCCTCGTGTTCGCCTCGTTAAATCGTTAGGTCTTTATGGCAGATCGGCCTCCTTCGAAGCGGCTTCGGCTCGGTTCGCTTGCAGACGGGTTCCGTTGTGGGAGAACACGTCCGTTTAGTGATTTGTGCACTGACCAAGCACCTCAGCAGCGGCAGCATGCTGCATCACAGCAGACAGCCGCGCCAGCTAATTCAAGGGGGTCCGCAGAGGGCCAGCAAGCGGTTGCTGCTGTCGATACGCCGGTGGAGGAGCAGCAAGAGGCTGCTGAACCTTCTGCTGCGGAATTACGGGCTAAATGGCGACGGCAGAAAGCTGCACAGCGTGCCGCAGCCCCTCCTGAGTTGCGGGTGTTGCAGCGCCAGCAGGATGCTGCACGGCACGCAGCTGCACGTGCCGACCCGGAGGTGGGGTTCGATTCCCGCGCGAGTGCTGCACACTGCCCGACAGACTACATTTGCGTGCTAGGCTCCGCAAGCTTCATATTCCTACGAAATGCGCGTGTGTCATACACGCCGTATACGTACGCCCTTAACCGCCGTACAACGCACACACGGAGCTACGGCCCACTCGCGCGAACAGCGCGCTCTAGTCTGTCCGTCCGTCCTCTGTCCCTCCGTCTGTAGCCGTAGCGACTACGTAGTAGTCTAGCGGAGTCCTCTGTCCCTCCGTCTGTAGCCGTAGCGACTACGTAGCCGTAGCGACTACGTAGTAGTCTAGCGGAGGCCTTAGGCTGGGCGGCTGTCCGTAGCCGTAGGGACTACGTAGTAGTCTAGCGGAGGCCTTAGGCTGGGCGGCTGTCCGTCTGTCTCTCCGTCCGTCTGTCCCTCCGTCTGTCCACCAAGTCGTCAGTTCGACCCTCGGCGGGATGTTTGCGATTTTTTTTTACTTTTTTTTTCTCTTAATGCGACCGCGAAAGTGTTTTCTGCGTTATTCCTATTTCATACTTCGTAATTGCGTAATTCGACGCGCGATTTAACCTGCAGTTCGCTGCGCGCTGTGGCCGCTTCGCCGTGTGCTTCGATTCCGCGCCGGAGTGAATGCCGTACGCGTTTCATACAGCGCCGTTCTTCGGTTCTGCAAGCATATGCGATCTGCAAGCATATACGATCTGCAAGCATATGCGATCTGCAAGAATATGCGATCTGCAAGCATATGCCATCTGCAAGCATATGCCAGATGCGATCTGCAAGCATATGCCACATTCGATGTGCAAGCATATGCGATCTGCAAGCATATGCCAGATGCGATCTGCAAGCATATGCCACATTCGATGTGCAAGCATATGCGATCTGCAAGCATATGCGATCTGCAAGGATATGCGATCTGCAAGCATATGCCATCTGCAAGCATATGCCAGATACGATCTGCAAGCATATGCCACAATGCGCAGACGGATCAGTCAGCCAGCACAGGAGCTACGGCCCACTCGCGCGAACAGCGCGCTCTAGTATGTTATGAGCGGAGGCCTATCCCGAGTTCGCGTGTCCGTGCGTGCGTGCGTGCGTGCGTGCGTCCGGAGCGTATTGGAAATTCCGGGTCGGGAGCGTGCCGTACGCGCTTAAGACAGCGCCGAAAAGAACGGAAGGTCGCCGGTTCGATCCCTACCCCGATTATGTTTTATGTTTCATATATGTGCATATATGCATATATGTATATGCGATATGCAATATGGAGCGATATGCAGCGATATGCGATATGCAGCGATATGCAATTTGCGATGTGCGATATGCGGTATGTGATATGCGATATGCCATATGCAGCGATATGGGATATGCGATATGCGATATGCAATATGCAATATGCAATATGCAATATGCAATATGCGATATGCAATATGCGATATGCGATATGCAATATGCGATATGCAATATGCAATATGCGATATGCCATATGCAGCGATATGGGATATGCGATATGCAATATGCGATATGCAATATGCAATATGCGATATGCGATATGCGATATGCAATATGCAATATGCGATATGCAATATGCAATATGCGATATGCAATATACGATATGTGCGATATGTTATACATATGCGCATGCATCTGCATTATGCAAGCATACACAGTCTGCAAGCATGTGCCATATGCGATCTGCGAGCATATGCGATCTGCAAGCATATGCCATATGCGATCTGCAAGCATATGCCAAATGCAAGCATATGCGATCTGCAAGCATATGCGATATGCAAGCATATGCGATATGCGATCTGCAAGCATATGCGTTATGCGGTCTGCAAGCATAGGCGATCTGCAATCTGCAAGCATATGCGATATGCTATGCTATGCTATGCTATGCTACGCTATGCTGCGCTATGCTATGCTATACTATGCTGCGCTATGCTATGCTATGCTATGCTATGCTGCGCTATGTTATGCTATGCTATGCTATGCTATGCTATGCTATGCTATGCTATGCTATGCTATGCTATGCTATGCTATGCTATGCTATGCTATGCTATGCTATGCTATGCTATGCTATGCTATGCTATGCTGCGCTATGCTATGCTATGCTATGCTGTGCTGTGATCTATAAGCATATGCGATCTATAAGCATATGCGACACTACTGCGATTCGCGGTTTAAGGTCCTGGGTTCGATTCCTGGGGAGACCCCCGAATTAGTCGGGAGCGCGAGATCATGGCTAGCTGCTGAGATGTGGAGTTGAGGTCGCAGTTGATGGACCAGATTCGCACGCTAGATTGGTGGCGATTGCCGAGCCCTCCGTCTCTTCGGTTGTTCGGGTGAATGGATGAGGAGGGGTCCTAGACGGCTGGACCCGCCGCCTTGGACTTACAGTTCGTATGGCGAAGTATAGTGTGGTAGTGGTGGACGGTGCTATAAGATGATAAATCGTAGAACTGACAATGTGATAAAGCGGCCCAGAAGCCTCCCACTCTGTAACATTACATTACAAAATATGCGATCTGCAAGCATATGCGACCTGCAAGCATATGCCATATGCGATCTGCAAGCATATGCCATATGCGATCTGCAAGCATATGCGATCTGCAAGCATATGCGATCTGCAAGCATATGCTGTCTGCAAGTATGTGCAATCTGCAAGCATATGCTGTCTGCAAGCATATGCGATTCTGCAAGCATATGCTACCTGCAAGCATATGCAGTCTGCAAGCATATGCTGTCTGCAAGCATATGCGATTCTGCAAGCATATGCTACCTGCAAGCATATGCAGTCTGCAAGCATATGCAGTCTGCAAGCATATGCGATCTACAAGCATATGCCATTTGCAAGCATATGCGATTTGCAAGCATATGCAATCTGCAAGCATATGCGATCTACAAGCATATGCGATCTGCAAGCATATGCGTCTGCAAGCATATGCAATCTGCAAGCAAATGCGATCTGCAAGCATATGCGATCTCCAAGCATATGCAGTCTGCAAGCATATGCGATCTGCAAGCATATAGCGATCTGCAAGCATATGCGATCTGCAAGCATATGCAATCTGCAAGCATATGCGATCTGCAAGCAGATGCGTCTGCAAGCAGATGCAGTCTGCAAGCATATGCGATCTGCGCCATATATGCAATCTGCAAGCATATGCAATCTGCATGCATATGCGATCTGCAAGCATTTGCAATATGCAAGCATTTGGAATATGCAAGCATGCGCAATATGCAAGCATGTGCAATATGCAAACATGCGCAATATGCAAGGTTATTGCATATGCAAGCATGGGCAATATGCAATATGCAAGGATATGCGATCTGCAAGCATATGCCATATGCGATCTGCAAGCATATGCGATCTGCAAGCATATGCGATCTGCAAGCATATGCGATCTGCAAGCATATGTGATCTGCAAATATGCCATATGCGATCTGCAAGCATATGTGATCTGCAAATATGCCATATGCGATCTGCAAGCATATGCGATCTGCAAACATATGCGACCTGCAAGCATATGCGACCTGCAAGCATATGCCATATGCGATCTGCAAGCATATGCCATATGCGATCTGCAAGCATATGCCATATGCGATCTACAAGCCTATGCCGTCTGCAAGCATATGCGATCTGCAAGCATATGCCGTATGCGATATGCAAGCATATGCCATATGCAATCTGCAAGCATATGCTGTCTGCAAACATATGTGATCTGCAAGCATATGCTGTCTGCAAGCATATGCGATCTGCAAGCATATGCGATCTGCAAGCATATGTGATCTGCAAGCATATGCCATATGCGATCTGCAAGCATATGTGATCTGCAAGCATATGCGGTCTGCAAGCATATGCGATCTGCAAGCATATGCGATCTGCAAGCATATGCAGTCTGCAAGCATATGCAGTCTGCAAGCATATGCGATCTACAAGCATATGCCATTTGCAAGCATATGCGATTTGCAAGCAGATGCAGTCTGCAAGCAAATGCGATCTGCAAGCATATGCGTTCTGGTCTGGGTTGACACTACTGCAATTAGCGGTTTAAGGTCTTGGGTTCGATTCCTGGGGAGACCCCCGAATTAGTCGGGAGCGCGAGATTATGGCTAGCTGCTGAAATGTGGAGTTGAGGTCACAGTTGATGGACCAGATTCGCACGCTAGATTGGTGGCGATTGACGAATCCTCCGTCTCTTCGGGTGTTCGGGTGAATGGATGAGGAGGGGTCCCTGAAGGCTGGATCCGCCGCCTTGGACTTACAGTTCGTATGGCGAAGTACAGTGTGGTAGTGGTGGATGGTGCTATAAGGTGATAAATGATCTAGAACTGACAATGTGATAAAGCGGCCCAGAAGCCTCCCACTCTGTAACATTTAAAAAAATATGCGTTCTGCAAAGAGATGCAGTCTGCAAGCATATGCGATCTGCGCCATATATGCAATCTGCAAGCATATGCGATCTGCAAGCATATGCAATATGCAAGCATATGCAATCTGCAAGCATATGCGATCTGCATGCATATGCAATATGCAAGCATTTGCAATATGCAAGCATTTGGAATATGCAAGCATGCGCAATATGCAAGCATGCGCAATATGTAGGGCATATCTAGGGCCAGGGGACCCGGAATGTACGACCGTGGGACCGGCGAGGGACCTAATTTATGTGCCTTCCGGTCCCCAGCCCATTCGAGCTCACATAAGCACCAAAAACTCAAGTACTCGCAATTTCTACGAGTGTGATAAGTGAGATGTTTAACGAAGAACATATTGACAAAGAATTGTGCCTTTACGTTCGCGTTTAGGCACAGGTCTGACTTTGGATGAGAGCAGGACACTTTGTCAAATTCCTTGTAGGTCATTGTATTAGACTCGGTTGATATAAGAGTGTTTCACGCAAGTATGGGTACTAGCGAAAGGTAACCGCTTCGATGGCAGCGAGCACGATTGCGGTAACAGATAGAGGAGCAGCTGTGAAGGTCACAAACCCACGTGCGAGGAGAGCGTGAATGGTCAAGCAGCAAAGCCTCAGCAGGTACCAAACGGGTACATGTTTAGCGCAATCACAGAAGGCAGAAGTGTGGCGCCTCTCGTGCGGCTTTCGCTTAGTTCGGTTCGCAGTCTTCTGTGTCCGCTGTGTTGCCTAGCCAGGGGCTGGGACAGCGCCCCGGTTGGCGTGAGTGAGGGGGTGAGGCGAGCGCGGCGGAACAGACGGACGTAGAGCCACGCGCCCGCCCGCCCCTGTGTTTCGGCCCGGTCATAGCCCCCGGTGCTTGTCCTCTCTCGGGACGAGCCGCCCACAGTGTAACACCCCATCAGAAGCAGCGGCAGCTGGTCAGAGCTCCCTGCCTCACGAGCACACAAAGCAAATCGCCTTGAAGTGGCGGCAGCTGTCATAGGCTGATGATGGGCCGGGGCTGCTGTGTGAATCCCTGGCAGGGCGCGACTTGTGCTGCGTGTGATCTGATGATGGGCCGGGGCTGCTGTGTGAATCCCTGGCAGGGCGCGACTTGTGCTGCGTGTGAAATCCTGCACACCCTACACTACACACATAACGCAATGCCCTCTAAGACCGAGAATTCATGCACTTCTTCACATACACTGAATGAATGAAGGTTACAGTGGACCCCGTGCAAGGTCAGTACAATGCATCCCCGCATCACAATGCCCGAAAGTGAACAGTAGCTACAGCCCGCCAGGAGAACACCCAAAAATGCAGAGACACCCAGCGGGACACCACTACCAAACAGGGGGCAACAGCGACGCATCACAACTGCACCAGAAAATTATAAAGCAGGACTCGGGGAAAGTCGCCTACACAGGCACCTCAGGACACACTACCACAACCTACACACAGCCCTCCAAGGGGGTGGCGCTTGCATCAGCCAGAGCTTTGCTCGGCTCACCCGAGCAACCATCTGCAATTGAACTTGGCCCACCGTGCCCAGGGCCACGGGGCAGGCCCAGGAGTGATGCTGCCGCAGGGTGGCGCCCCCACCACCCACCGCGGGGGTCCCGCGGAGGTCCCGCAGCCCCACCAGGCCACCACCGTGCGGCGCATGTCAATGTGACAGTGTCGGAGATAATCGGTCACTTGTAATATGTTGTCCTGTGGAAAATGCACTTCGTGCGACATGCGACTTGACCCGAAGAGTTGACCTGCCGAACCTCTTTATCCTTGGAATCCTGGTTCCTAGAGTGAGCCTCCATTGCATCTCTTGGTGTTTTCATGAGTGATCGCTGCGTTGATCGATTGCGTTAGGTTCCGCAAGGTTCCGCTTGTTCTTATCTTTGGGTTCACCGTATTCTTGATGAATTTCGTAAAGCTTTTCTGGAGTTAGTTTTGGTTCCACTAACGCCACCACGTCAAAGTCTACTTTGACGTGCGGAGCCCCTTGTCCTATTATTGTATGGACGCTCCTGTAGCGTTACTCTCCCGATTCTTTACGAAGAATGGAAATTGGATTGCTACTTGGCCATACAGAGTGGCTGCTCGCGCAAAGTTAATTCCTGGACTCCATGGACGTGCATCACTCCACAAAGTGCGTCGCCACTGCTCCTGCGACGCTCGAGCGACCCGAAAAAGTTCCATACAAAGGTCCTCTAATGAAATGTCGCGCGAGCCGACCAAAATCTGCGAGTTGCCAGGTCGAACAGGTCGCGTCCCCGCGCGCGTCCCACTTAGGTCGCCCAGCTGGACGAGCGTGTACGGCGCCCGGTCCGCCGGCACCCGATATGCAAGCATGCACAATATGCAAGGATATTGCATATGCAAGCATGGGCAATATGCAATATGTATGTAAGGATATTGCATATGCAAGCATTTGCAATACGCAAGCATTTGCAATCCGGATGCACTCGAACGTCCGGATGCACCCGAACGTGTCCGGACCCGGACGAGAGCTACGGCACCCTCGGGACCGCAGGGACCGCGCCTCGTCGCGTCTGTGACCGGCTCGCGTCCGGAGCTCATTGGAAAGTCGCGCTCGATTGGATGGTTCCGGAGCTTTGCGTTTTCCGTTAGCGCGCCCCCTCTTCACAATCAGAGGTCGCGGGTTCGAGTCGCACTCCGCGAATTTCGAGTTGCACACCGAAACGCGAGGACGCGAGGACGACAGGTCGCGGGTTCAAATCACGGGTCGCACGCGAGTTGCACGCGAGGATGCGAGGACGCGAGGACACCAGGACGTGAGGACGCGAGGATGCAAGGGCACATGGACGCGTGAGCGTGTGGGCACGTGGGCACATGGGACCGTGGCACCGTGGATGTAGCCACACGTGGATGTAGCGTGGACGCGTGGACGCGTGGACGCGGGACATGAGGATGTAACATGGGCGTGTGCATGAAGCGTGGACGCGTGCATGTGAACCTTGAACATGTGGGCGGGGACACACGGATACTGGGCCATCAGGCCATGGGGACGACTGGGTGCGGTGGTGGGTAACGAACAACAGACGCGCGTAGTTGTGTTGTTCGACTTGAACTTGCAAGGTTAAACGTTTATCACAAAATATTAGGATAACCAGGTACGCCTGGGCGTGGCTGTGGGTATATCCATGTAGTTCCACTGTGGGACAGGACTTGCAGTGGAAAACTAGACTACAACGGCTCCGCCACGAAATGACGTGAAGTCGCGCACACCGCAACATTCCCCGGGATAAATACAGTCGCAGAAATTCTATAGAATCATACGGATTCAGAATACATTCTATCAACCAGCGATGCTGTGCAGCACAGTTATTGTATAGAAGTAATGTGTGCCATTGGCCCTCGAGTGCATTTATCAATTTTGTCAAACGGATCCAGGATAAAATTTATCATACGGATTCAGGAAAAAATTCTACAAAACAGCGGTGCTGCGCAACATACATCCATATTGTATCAATGTACTGTGTTCCATTGGCCCTCAACTGCATTCCTTGAGGATAGGAGGATAACCTGTCGCGACATCAGTCTGACCGGCCATTTCTATGGACAATTCTGCTTCCGGTAAGGAGTCCTGGTTGAGACTGATGCCCGTGATGTTGCTCCATCTCCTGCATGGGCTGTAGACTAGTAATCCTCTTCCTGACATCATGCAGGACGTCGGCGGTTAGGTACAGTTGCAGGTGGAGGCTCGTGGCTTCTGAGCTTGACAGGCCGGACTCAAGCCACAGCTTCCCCCCCGACACCCCAGCTGTCCAGTGCGGATGCAACCAGAAAGGTGCAGGCGCGAGCCAACCGGACGCCTGAGCAAGTGGCGGCGGATCGAGCAGCAGCTGCAGCGTGATGGG